GGCTCCACCACGCAAGGACCAGCGGTGAGTGGAGTGGAGATGCTCCTGGATTGGAGTACGCAGTATGGTACTTTGTACTTCCTGGGAACTCCTAGCGACGGTAGCGCGAAGTTAGTCGCGTATAGCAGGAGAAAAAGAAAATAATAATCCAAAATCATTGAGGCTGAGCGAGGGATCGTCGCAGTCGGATATCCCCGATATGCACTGCAGTGTAGGTAGTCTATTGTAGTGCGCCATGCTGTAGGTTCGTCCACATGATGCGAGATCTACTCCAGACACAAAGGAACACGATCAGATCGGGAGCATGGAAAAAGAAAAGAAAAAGAAAAGAAAAAGAAGAAAAAAAGCTAGGTACAAATTCGGAAGCCGGTTAACTATCGTGGCCTCAAGGGACATACGGAAAAGTTTCCCCCCAACAACCACACTGGGGACTAGACTAGACCAGACCAGACCCTGCCTGATATGACTGAACTAAGCTAAACCTCCCAGCCAATATTTACCGATGATCGAGTCAGATCGAGTCAATTCAATTCGATCGTGCCGATCGCATGGATCTCGGGATTGTTCGCTTCGCTATGTGTAGATGCTCTGCCGAACTTGTTAGCACCATCCAGTATACCCACCACCCCACTCCACAAGCGAAGGAGGGTGGGGGGGGTTCGTCATGCCGAGGGGAATATTTGCAATTGCAAATGTCATCGGTGTCGCAGTGACAATGACAATAGCTTGCACAAACTCACCTCCGTAATCTGATTAACAGCCAGTCCAGGCTCCGCCATCTCAGCGTCACGCAGGAAATCCAATGGCAACCAAACCAAATGACCCTTAATTCGATCCAACTTCTGCCTCACCTCGGCAGCCGGCATATACGGATCGAACAGATGGCCCTGTCTCGCCCCACGCGGGACAAAAGCATCGTATTCATCGAAAGTCTTGATATGGTCATCGGGGTCAGCGCGGAACAACATCCGATACGTCTCAGTGTTAACGCTAGCCTGCTCAGTCCAGAGGTTCCAGACCCCATCGCTGAGCGGATCCATCACGAACGCATCCTCGGCACCCGTTTCATCCTCGTTAAGGCAGACGTCTGGACTGCGGGCGTTGGGCGCCTGGCTGGCATCGTAGTCTTGCGCGGAGAGGAGTCCTAGATGTTCGCGCCAGAGGTGTCGGCGGAGGGTCGCGGCGTGTCTGGCTGCCTTGTATGGCTTTCCGTCCATTTGGCTATCGATGAAGTCTTGGTCTTCCATGACGATGGCTAGTTCGCTGTCGTGGGAGCCAAGTTGAGACTATTTGGTCAATGTTAGCAAAGCAGCAGCAGCATCCAGCTGAGAAGAACATACCCGATCATTTATATTGGCACTGCCACAGATAACAATCCGGTCATCAACAATGCACACCTTACCGTGCACATACAGCTCCTCCTGAACAAAATTGTCCTTCTCAGCTTCAGGGTCACCCTCCCAAAACTCCTCGGACATCTTGCCACCATTCAGCATGGTGCAGTGAGCCACAGAGTCGCGACTAGCATCGCCTTCATTCGCCTTGGCTTGTTCAACCTGCTGCTCGAAAGCTTCGAGCTTCCGCATCTTCTCCTCCTTAGCCTTGGCATTATCATCGTAGCTCTTCTCATTTTTGTCACCATCTTTACCAACAGATGGATGCACACTCTCGCTCATGATCGACTCAGCAATACCGCGCTGGATATCTTGGTAAGTGACATCAGCCTTCTTCTCCAGCTCGATCAGGGCAGGTGTCTTGTTGATGCGATCATAAGCGCGCAAGGCAAAGACAAAAATGTGCTGAGTAGGATCAATACCAGCCTTCTTAATCTGTCCCATAATGGAAGTCTCCCCGCGACAGATAGACTTATACTGATAATCCATAATAGCCCTCGTCCCCGTCGCCGCATTATCCCGCAAATCCCCCGCAAAGCCCGGGATAGCAGGAATAACAATAACAACGCGGAACTTGCGGCCCTCCTTACCAGCCCGCACACAAGCCTCAACAATCGCAGCCCCAATCTGATTGTAAATAGGATGCTGCTGATCACCTGTCGCCGTGATAAAGAACTGATTCTCAATGTAAACCAAATGCTGCGCATTGCGAATCGTCTCACAGTAAGCATTCTGAATACTATGCTCGTTCAAAATCCCACTGCTCCAATCATCACTACTTCTAACAATCTGCGCCCGCACCGTCCCCACCGCACCACGCGGCTTCGTCGAGAGCGGCGTTAGCGGATGCTGGATATATTCACCGCAGGGGTACTTGGGACGTTGAACGGCGATGATATCCTCATCCGCACCGGTACGACCTTCCATAAGCATCCAATCGACATCATTACTGCGCTTGTACTTATCGCGCTTGATAAAGTTCCACCGCAGAACGAAGTGCTCGGCGATATCGTAGACACAGTCTCCGATCAGACCCATGGCGACGTCGTGCCACGGCATGCGACCGTAATCAGCCTTGCTGAGCTCGTTGCTCTGCCAGTCTTCCACGCTTTGGAAGTCCATGATGCGGTTGTTATTGAATTCTTGGCCAGGGAAGATGTCGTCGCGTAGACCGGCGGGGTGAACGTCAGCGAGTGGGTGCTGGTTTGAATCCCAGCGGCCGAAGCAGAGGTCGATTCCGCCGATGAAGGCGACGGAGTAGTCGATGACGATGAATTTCTCGTGGTGGGCCTGAGTGAGTTAGCAGTAGTTCGTAGACGTGCCAGTGTAGGCCAGAACAATTCGTGAGGGGTAGTACCCAGTAGAGAGTCATATCAGCGGCATTCTCGAAAACATTATGATCCGGGTGTCGCAGGACGTGAATATTGCCGTGGCCGGGGGTACCCTCGGGACAGAGATTGCGCAAGGCATGTTTCGTGTGTGCAGAGTTACAGGTGAGAGCCTGATTAACCTCCTTGTAAACGATGACATAGATCTGCACGCCGGCCTCGGCACGACGCTTGAGGACATGATCGAGGCGCCAGTCCTGGTGTTGTACGGGTGGGCGGCGGAGGAACAGTTCTGGGGAGAGCCACCAGTCGGCGATGTAGATGGTCTCGGTGGCCTTTTCCAGGGCCTCGGAGACGGCCCAAAGGTAGTCGAGACCGTCAACGTACCATTTGATGCGGTTTCCGTCGTGGATGGGGGCGAAGGAGCCGAAGCGGTGGGATTCGGCGATGGCGGAGCGTTTGCGGTCGGTCGCCTGTTCGTGTTCTTCGTCGTGGCGGTGATTGGGGTTTATGATGTTGAAGAATTTGCCGACTTTGTGTTTGAGGTGGGTGGCTTGGGCTTTGGTGTCATGGAGGGAGTGGTCTGATGTGGTGTTAGTGGGGGGGGATTCATGACAGTGGATGAGGGGCAGTGGGTCAGAATGCACCTTTGAAAGACTCTTCGAGGTGCTCGAATTGGTTCTCGAGCTTTTCCTTGAACTTCTGCATGTCGGAGAAATCAAGTTGGAGGGTGGAGGGGAATGGAGGGGAGGGGATGTGGGGAAGGAAGTTGTCGGAGGAGTGGTGACCATACCTAGGTAGACTAATAGTGCGAACGACCATATCCAAGTATATTTAGTACCAGGCTAGCATTGGCGCCCTGACATCACAGCCTTATGGTCTTGGCAAAGTTTCAGATTGTACCTGGATACTAGTATTAACTACTAGTGAGAGTACCAACGGTAGGATAGGGAAATTAAAGGGAATTGATGGTTGGGTCCACTCAGTGCCGTGGGAGCAGTGTTGATCATTACATACACTGAAGGAAAAAGAACTTGAATACTAGAATAATACTAGAAATCATAGAAATACCTAGGTATGTAATTTCTGGATCAACATCTCCACTCAATTGACACTAATAAATGCCAGTGGGCCGGGATAGCACTGATCGATCGGCAGACCCAGGTCGGATCTAGTAGGAAGTAGGTAAAAGTCACCTTAGGCGGCATACGGAGATGCCTTACACCTAAGGCTGACCCACTCCCTCCGGCGTAGCGTGTGGGTCAGCCTTAGGTGTAAGGCATCTCCGTATGCCGCCTAAGGTGACTTTTATATATAAACACTAAGTAGATAGTCTATATATCTAGTTCAAGTTGATTTCAAGAAGTTCAAGTTCTTCAGGGCCGGGCTGAACCTTGAAGTAATATTATTATATAAATAGACTAGATTGAATAATATAATTAAAATACGAGTAAGGGTACCGGGATAAATACTATCACTGTGGAAAGACAAGTTGAACAAGCCTGTTTTGTTCGTGCGGGGATGACGTAGGAGGCTGTAGTAGAGATGTATCATAATATAGGATAGCAGAAGTAAGTAGTGAATAACTGCAATATATTTGTTATTTATACTACCTATGTACTATAATTCAACTTGAAATTTATCTAGTACCTAGTACTAGTACCTAATACTGCTAGTATAGCTCACACGATACGGTCGTGATGTTATTCAGTCACGTGACTCAAGTACACACTCACACTCATACTCACAGCATAGTCGCAATTATTACTAGAGTTGTCGGTGTCAGTGACAGTGTCAGTGACAGTGACAGTTGAACAAATTAAGTACCAATTAAGAACTGTAAGTTTCAAACAGAGTTCTCCCTGGAATACTCGAGTACATACTAGTATAGTAGTACTCGACTACTCTGTATGGCTGTATACTCCGTGGTATGTGTGTGTGTGTTGTGAATGCTGACTAATTCACGTGACCACAACAACGTTGGCAGGTCGACGGGACCGTCTCTGTTTACCTCCTCCTCTCAAGTTCTCTTCACGCGGTTGTCAGTACTGGCGGTTTTGCCTCTCAGGTCTTGGTTACTCGTCTGCCAGTCTGCTTGGTCAAATAATCTCACCACTGCTCTTAACTTAATCACACCTGTCTCCCATCCACCCACGAATGCTCATCGTCGTCGCCCACTTCCTCACCGTGACCAGGTCTTGCACCGGTTCATCTCCCTGGTGACGGGCCTCCTCCACTTTGTCCAACCTAATCCAACCACGGACACTCGCTCTGTATAATGCCTCCCGATTTAGGTGAGTCGATCCCTTACTCTGTTCCTGTCCTAGGCCTACCCATTTCACCTCGTCCGATCTCATCTCATCTCATGTCTCTCCCCTCCAGTCCGCGCTCCGTCGCAAGGTAGCGTCGTCTCCCAGACCACTCAACACATGGGTCCGCTCAGTCGCCCTGGCACGGCCGATCACCTTCGCGGTCGTTCCGAGACCCTCTCCCGCGCTGGTCGTCGCCCTCGCTCTCGTGGTTCCACCGCCAGCATCCATTCGAGTACCACCCAGCAAACACAGGACCAACTCGATGCCTTTCCCCAATTCATGCCTTCCCAGGTCGCTGGCGCCCAGCACGTCTTTGCCAACAACCCCGAAGATATGATCATGCGCTTTGGTCATCAACTGGTCCACCAACAACAAAATGGCGCGTCCTTGGAGCATGCCCACCGCGATCATTCAGTGGCTTCGCAGGCGGAGGAATATGCAGGTCACGCTATGCACAGTCATAATCTCTCTCATCACGCCCTCCCACAACACATGGGCCACAATGGCATGTCCACCGTCCCTGTACCGCAATATCAACCCATCTATGACAGCGGTATTGAGAACCACCTCCCCGATACAACATTGGAAGAGCAGGAGGCCTCGGAGGCTGGTGGAAAGAAGAAACGCGGCTCCAGCTCCACACTGGCCAACGATAATGAGCTGCGGAAGCTGCTCCGTCAATACGAAGGATATTCATTGAAGCAGATGGCCGCCGAGGTCATGAAGCATGAAGGTGCCGGAGGCAAAGCAGAGAAGGTGAAGCAGGTATTCGCCATGATCTGGCTGCGCGAAAATTGCCGCAAGAGTAATGGCTCTGTGCGCCGGGACCGTGTCTATTGTTGCTATGCGGAGAACTGTGGCACCGAGCGAGTCTCCGTCCTGAACCCCGCCTCCTTTGGAAAATTGGTTCGAATCATCTTCCCCAATGTGCAGACGCGTCGATTGGGTGTCCGTGGCGAGTCCAAGTATCACTATGTCGATCTCTCGGTCATTGAGGAGAAACAAGTCAAGCATGTACCCCAGCAGGTTGCCACCAACTCACACCTCCCCGCGGGGATGCCGGACCGCCCAAACAGCGCAATGCGTTCGCGGCGATTTGACGAACCCTCCCCAGCCCCATCAGCGCATTCCAATGGACGCTTCGGAGTAAGCATTCCACCGCCCACCGCAGACACCGCCGTCTTCCCTTCTCCGACCACCTCGTTCCCGCCGCGATTCTCCAACAGTACCCCGACCAATGGCTGCGGATGTGAGGGCCAACATAATGTTGGTGCCGATGCCGCCATCACCACGGAGAATGTCGCTCAGCAAGCCGGGAAAATGATCCACCAAATGCTCCAATTCCCCAACGAAGAAAGCCCCTCGATGGATAATGACTCTCTTATCCTCCCCGACATTCGTCCCTACCTCCCCCACAACACCGATCTCAAGGTTGCCGACGCGTTGGCAGCTCTCTATCGATCGCACTGCATTTCCGTCATTGACAGCTTTCGATTTTGCAAAGAGCGTAATCTTTTGAAATATTTCTCCGCCTTCCACGGGACTCTGACCGTTCCTGTACAAAAATTGTTGACTCACCCTAATATGGCTCCCTGGATCAAGGAGTGCGATTGGCTGATGTATCAAAAAATGATTGCTTTTGTCGCTCCTCTCACCACTCAGGTGGTTCCCAAGGTTGTCATGGATGCCTTTGGATCCATCTCAAAACGCCTCTGCGGTCACATTACCGAGACCTTCAAGGCTCAACCGACCCATGTGTCGGTGGCCCGTCTCATTCCCGCCCACATCTTCTGCAACCTCCTCAAACACATGCTGGATGTCAACCAAGCCGCTAATGCTGCTGCTGCCTGGCTGTGCCACCCGGATAATCGTAACCAGATGTGGTATGACTTCAAAACATTAGTTCACCCGACCGAGATGATCACCAGGGCCGACATTCCAAGCTGCGCGTCGAGGGCAGCGGAGCAGATCCTGAAGCATGATGTGCGGGCCCTGCTCACACCCGTCACAGATAGCAACCAGTCTGCGGGCCTGCCCTTCTTCCAACAACCCGACCAACCTGCTGATATTGAGGCTCACCTCTTCCCCGTGGACACAGCTACCGGCGAGGACTATAACTTCCCAGATAACTGGGTCTCCTTTATCCTCAATCTCCCCGCGGCCTTTGCCAACCACCGAGCAGGATGCATCATTCAAAAGGTCGACGCTCTGTGGGACAGCATTCTGCATCGTCTGACTCTCGGCGGCGCCGCTAGCTTCAGCGCGTGGTGGATGACCAAGGTGTTCTTCCACGAGATGATGGTGTGGCAAGCAGAGAAAGGGGGATTCATGACCAGCACCCCAAACTCCCTCCAGAACGCGGTTTTTGGGGAACCCGCGGGGATGGGGGGCATGAAGCAGAACTCCAGTCAGACTTCTTTTGATCCCAAAAATCACCCGCGGCAATCCATGAGCCACGAGGGCTCGGCGGACACGCCCAACACTGAAGCGGATGCTAAGCACATCCCCGAGAAAGAGCTGGTTCTCCCAAACAACGATGACAGCGCGATTGATCTGGAAGATGATCCCATGATGATCGCGGTGGGCAAATACAACGACATGATGGCATCTGATCCCGCCGATGCGGAGGGTGATGTAGTCGTCATCTAGCATTGTGACTAGTGACTTGTGACATTGTTCTTAATGCTTGGGCCGGAGTTGGATATCCATTGGGTGAATATTTGCCGTTTCTCTTTTCCTTTCTCATTTCCTTTGTTTTTTTCTTTTGTGCAGTGAGGTGAATGGCGTTAGGATGATTGTATTGAGAATTGTTCTGCACGATGCGACGAGACACGAGCATGGGAGGTCTCTGAGGATGCAATTATGCAGTCCTTCCCTGATCATTACAGCATTTAATCGGCGCGAACCTTGGATCGGTTCTTGCTTTCTCTCTAGCTCTTATGACTAGAGCGGTGTATATACGCTATGAATGGAGTGCAAGACACCCGATAGCTTTCTATTTCTTCCAACTTTGCTTCATTGGAGCTAGACACAGTAGAAAACTTAAGTACATGTATACGCCTCCATCCCAATCCCAATCCCATGGCTACCTCCTATCTAAACAGCAATCTCCTTCCACTTTCCAAAAGTAAACTGCGAATTACACATATTGGTCAACTCCCAACTCTCCGCCCCCAAAACTCCCTCAGCATCAGCATCCTCCTCATCCCCAGCAGCCCCAGCCACAAAAAGCGCCGCCATAAAATGATCATCCGTAGCATGCGCATCCCGAAAACGCGGATGCTTCATCAACCTCGTCATCGCCCTCCGCAACTGCACCCCACTCGTCTTAGTAATAACATCCTCAACCGCCTGACGAAACTCCAAAGCCCAATCCTCCGGCGGCGTCTCCATGGCAAAGTTATCCCTAAACTTAAGCATAGGCGCCCACCGATTCCGGTAAAGATTATGCACCGCACCCCCAGTCCCGATGATGAGGAAATTCTCCTTTCGCAGCGGCCGCAACGTCGCGCCCATTTTCATGTGGAAGTGCGGATCGTAGCGTGCGTTTGCGGAAATGAGCGTCGTTGGCGGACACCCGCTGGGAAACATTCGGATGAGGATTAGGTAGACGTCGTGGATCCACTCGAAGGTGGAGTTTCCGGAGACGTTGAAGCCTTCGTTTTTCAGAAGGGTGATGCAGCGGTTTGTTGTGGGGAGGTCGGGGTTTAGGGTGTAGTTGATGTATTTTTTGGGGTTGACGTAGGCTACGGGGCTTTTTCCAGGGTTCGGGTTTGTGGAGAGTTGGATCGAGTCGTTTAGTGCGTCCCAGTGTGCGCCCTGGTGAGTTGTGAGTACTAGTACTTTGCTGGTAGGGGGGGAGGGAAGAAGGGATGTATGTGTGTACCATGATAATCACGCCCTGGATTTTGCGGGCTAGGGCTTCGTCGCCGCATTTGTTCCAGTAATCTGCGCTTTCGGATTCTTCGCCCAGCATCATTGTTGAGCCGTGGGAGAAGAAGTGGACGGGGGTTAGGGATGCTGGGATTGGTGTTAGTGTTGGTGTTGATGAGTTAGGGTTTTGGGATAGGAAGAGAGGAAGTACCCATGTTGGAGGCGGTATAGTGGTGCAAAGGAGCCTCTGAGATAGGACGAAGTAGAGGAGTTTGAATTCAATAGAGGAATATCGCTACTCCGCTACTTGGCTGAAATAAAATAGGAGACCAACCAAGCAGTATGAAGGTACGGAGTACTCTGTAGTATTATAGCGATGGCAAAGTAGGTGGACCTCCACTCGGATGTCATCCCCCACATCCCGAGGAGAAGGAAATATAGGGGAATCCGGATGGGGGTGGATGTCTTGTTATTTGGTAGGGGGAAGATATTCCTTGCTTGATAATATATACTACAATCGATACTGATGATGCCTATTCCTTCCTATACTTTCTATAATTCTCATCCTTCAGCATTGTAGAAATAAAGAATGATGAGTCAGCGGCAGATCAAGTGTGGGGAAGGACCCACCCATCATCCATGGAACCAATCACTGGCCAACCGCACTTCCCTGGATGAGTTCCCTTTCCCCGGATTCTTCCTTCCTCCCCTCTTCATCTCCTCCACCATCCCCCATGCATCACCTACACAATGGATGCTAGTGAGATGGATGCTAGTACAATGGATGCTAGTGCATCACCCACAAAGTCGAAGGACGGCGGCTACTTCCAATGCGGATTCTGCAGGCGCCATTATAATCGTCCTGACCACCTCATCCGCCACGTCCGTTCTCACACTCGCGAGAAACCCTACGTCTGTGAGGTCTGCGACAAGGGCTTCGCCCGTCCGTAAGATATCCCTCTCCGTTTTCATCCCTTCTCTTCAGCTCGTGACTCACCTGACGAACTCAGTGACCTCCTGAAACGCCACGCCACAGGCCACGCCTCGGACCGGGATCGCAAGAGGAAACGTAATTGGTCCTCGCCAATTTCAAAACAGAGCCGTGTCTCTCAGGCTTGCAAGACCTGTGCTTCTTCGAAACTGAAATGCGACGAGGAGAAGCCTTGCCGCCGCTGCCGTGAACGCAATCTGCAGTGTGACTGGCACGATGCTGCGCAAGATTCTTCCCCAGAGCCTAACTCGGCCCCCTCGGTCGCCTTCGAGCCGATGCCCAGTCCCATGGATGAATTATCAACAATGGCAGCGACAGTTACCGCCACAACCGCGACTCTCCCATTACTCTCTCCAGAAATGCCCGCGTCCGAATTGGTCGAATATACCGGCCAGTCCCCCCAGTTTCAGCATCCGGCCATCTCACCTACCGACCAAGAGAGCGGAGTTTTCAGTGTTGATGGCACTTTCTTCCCTAACTTCATACCAGACTCTTTGGTCTCCTCGCTAAACCGCTATAACGATCCCTTTGAACCATCCAGCCTAATTCCCGAGTTCACCCACTATGGCGCCTTGGAATACCCGCCCTTCGACTTTAATCTAACTGATGGTGACTTTGGCCTCATCGACATGTATAACTCTGGCAATATATTCCCGAGTATCTACGACGAAAAAGACCAGCAAGACTCCTTTGACGCGGACAGCGGGATCGGCATTGGCGCCGAAGCCTACAATCGCTCTTCTCTCTCCGCATGGAAGCCCGCCCAGGAGGACAAGGCTGGTGTCGATCACGAGAGCTTATCGATTCCGCAGAATATCAACAGTCCCGAGGCTATTGCCACACCAGATCAACAGATTCTGTGTGATCGGCTTTCCTCCAGTAGCCGCGATCTCATCTTTGGCCTTGTTTTGGAGATCAGCCGAGAGGTCAACTTGACCCGCATTATGAAGTCATTTCCCAGCACCGAACTGCTGGATGGCCTGATTCAACAGTGCTTCGAGCGCCAAGCAAGAAATGTCGTCTCCTTCGTCCATGCCCCAACGTTTCGGCCGAACAGTGAGCATGCAAGTATTCTCGCGGCAATGGCTTCTTCTGCGGCGGTTCATTCGCCGATTCCAACTATCCGGAAGCTGGGATACGCCCTCACCGAGATAGTTCGACTATACATGCCTACCAAAGTAAGTCTCGCCCCGATTTCTCTTGTTAGGACCACTCTGACCAATTAGTACGAAAATGACAACAGTACGACGCGCGATCTGCGGGCTTCGCAAACATACGCCCTGACTATCGACACTGGCATCTGGAGTGGAAATCGGCGGAAGACGGAGATTGCCGAGAGTTTCTCGCAGCCTCTAATTACCATGCTCCGTCGATCTCTACGTTTCCGGCGTTCAGTCTACACTAGTATCGTACCTCTGCCCGAGGACGAAGGGGAAATCCTTGAGAAAAAGTGGCACGCATGGATTGAACAGGAGTCTTTCAAAAGGTATGGAGTTGCCATCTGTCTATTCGAGGATTAATCTCATGCTGACATGACCGGACAGACTCGTCTACCATGTCTTCGTCCACGACGCGCAATCTGCGGCGACGCTGAACGTCAACCCGCTCATTACATACACCGACTTGGACCTCCCGCTACCAGCAGCTCGTAAAATATGGGAGGCAAAGTCGGCTATGGAATGGAAGGAGCTCCTCTGCAATGTCACCTCCGAGCGCATGCCGTCGCTCATCGACCTTCTGCGCGACATGTCGCAACTGTCAATATTCCAAGATCGTGTCGACACACAATTGTCCGCTCTCGTCCTTCTTCACGGTCTCTCCGCTTTGGTTAATGAATATCACCGACTCAGGTTCATCTCGGGCGGCGACTCTAAACATTGGCATGCTCTCGTTACCAACTCGCGACAACAAGAACTGGAACAGGCACTTCAACATTTCCGCTTGGTGTGTTCAGAGCTTCGTGTAAAGTGCCGACCGGAGATAATCCTGGTCTGCGAAGTGGTCTCGATGCTCCTGCACATGTCCTTGGAAGAACTACAGCTCTTTGCCGGCAAAGAGGACAAGCAAGAAGCACGGCGTGTCTACCAATCCGCTCTGGAATGGATAACCAGCCCTGACTCGCGTCGTGCCATTTGGCACGCCGGCCAAACTCTCCGTGCGGCGCGCCAGATGGCCCCAGGCTCTATAACCGGGTTTCTTGCTATCGGTGTTTACTACGCAAGTCTGGCGTTTTGGTCGTATGGGGTTGTTTCCAAAGCCAGAAACTCCCGGTCAATTGAGAGCCCCCGTCTCTCCCAGGGACCCACCGTATTCCTTGATGCGGACGAAGTGCCTGATGTGTCAAAATTTGTCACTTTGGGATGTGGCTTCCCGGCCTTGCAGAGTGCAGGTGGACCCCTATACCTTGTAGACCCCGGGACAACGATGCAACTAGTACAATCGGTGCTCCGGCCATGTGTGCCTGAGCGAGCGCCACCTCTAGTCCAGAGCCTTGCACAGCTGATAGGAGATCTAGGGGCTGCTGTGTATACTAAATGATTTAATTATGATACGTAATGAATGATACCCAATATATGAAATTATGATCTGATCAATTTCCTGGCCTCGCTGCTCCTAGCTTCTAGATCCTCTAAATAGTAGCCGTCTACCCCATAGAACCCACACACACGGACTTAAGCATTGAACCAGCTGACCAGTCTGCGAATGGTCATTTCTAAGCCTTTGCGCCGAGCCCCTTTCCCCCCCTCGGCTGGCACCTTTTTGCTGATCTCCACATTCCGAGCTGCTCATGCGGGCCACGATTGCGGGGCATCGGAATCGGCGCCGAGCCCGAAGTAAACATGAAGCCAGACAAGGTCAATCATTCGTAGTTCAAATTTCATATATAGTAAATGCGTATTCTCTATTAAAACAAGACATCCCAACAAACGTCCTCATCACATCCAAAGCCACCATGGTCATCAAGCTGAAACAACCCAACACCTCCAGCGCAGGTCCAGCGCCGACAATCGACACCCCCGCAATCGTGCGGGGTGTGATCGACGATATTCGTGCCAATGGTGATGCAGCTGTGAGGAAGTATTCTGAGAAGTTTGACAAATGGAGTCCAGCCAGCTTCAAGCTTTCCCCCGAAGAGATCAAGGAGATCATCGCCAGCGTCCCGACACAGATCATCGATGATATAAAACAGGTGCAGGATAACGTCCGCACCTTTGCGCGAGCCCAAAAGGATTCCATCAGAGAATTTGAACTGGAGATTCGTCCGGGCGTACACCTAGGACAGAAGAATGTTCCCATCAACTCCGTTGGCGCGTGAGTACATTCTACAGATTATAGCAACCAAGCAAGTCCCTAACCACCACTAACGCATTTTCTTTCACAGCTACATCCCCGGCGGCCGATACCCTCTCCTCGCCTCCGCACACATGACAATCCTAACAGCCAAAGTAGCCGGCTGTCCCCATGTAACAGCCTGCACACCCCCCATCGCCGGCAAAATCCCCGCCAACACCGTCGCAGCCATGCACTTCGCCGGCGCAGACGACATCTACATCCTAGGTGGCGTCCAAGCCGTCGCCGCAATGGCCATCGGCACACCAACAATGAAGAAAGTCAACTTCATCGCCGGACCAGGTAACGCCTTCGTCGCCGAAGCAAAGCGCCAACTCTTCGGTGAAGAAATCGGCATCGACCTCCCCGCCGGACCAACTGAGATCCTCATTGTAGCAGACGAGCACGCAGACCCCTTCATCGTCGCAACAGACCTCCTCTCCCAAGCCGAGCACGGCCCAGACTCACCAGCAGTCCTAATCACCAATTCATCTGCCGTGGGCGAAAAGACCATCGCAGAAGTCGACCGACTCCTCAAGATCCTACCCACTGCCGATATCGCCAGTGTTTCGTGGGCCCGATTGGGCGAGGTAAATGTCGTGTCCGATCTGGACGAGGCGTATAAACTCGCGGACGAATACGCATACGAACACGTTCAGATTCTGACGCAGAATCCCCGCGAGGCACTGGTCAAGATGTCGAATTATGGCGCTCTCTTCCTTGGCCAGAATACTTGCGTTTCGTATGGTGATAAGTGCATCGGCACAAATCATGTTCTTCCTACTCGTGGTGCGGCGAGATATACCGGTGGATGTAAGTACCCCCTCGAGTCATCCTGTCCGAGTCCTGGCCCGCATAATAATACTAATACTTGCTTCTACGCAGTGTGGGTCGGAAAGTTCCTGCGCACAGTGACATACCAAGAAGTCACCGATGACAAGGAAAGCGGCGAACTCGGCCGTTTGTGTGGCCGTTCAGCGCGCGCGGAGAATTTCGAGGGACATGCGAGATCGGGGGATGCTCGGGCTAATAAGTTTCTTGGAGATCAGTTTGAGTGGATTTGAGATCACATTTGGTTTGAATTGAATAGATTTTTCCTGTGCAGATGTGTCAGTGGCTTGGAGTTAATACTAATAGAAAAGGGAATCGATGAGACTTCCAAGGTCGAATTGGAGAGTCTTTCGACGTTGTAACAGAATATGGTAGATTAATCCATAGGTGACTTGAGATTATCCTTGTGAAAAAGACTTTAGTGAGAGGGTCTCTCGGAGCTTGGAGCGAAGATAACTCTTCGAGTTTGGAATGTGGCTCCTTGCTTTGTAGGTTACACGAGTCAAATCGCACTATTGAGTCGGTATGCACGCTTCGACGCTAAATTCTACCACTCCGCACCAATTAGATTAGAGCTTCCAGCTTGTGTGGATACCTTCGAGCACAAGCATGGCTGAGCTGAAAGCTGGAGAAGATCCGCATGCGCAGTGTCGACGCGACAATAAGAGCAAGGGCCAATCTTTCGGTGAGCATTGTATAGGATCATCATGCACTTATTTAGCTATAGGTAGTTCATATTTAGAGTGAATATAGATGATGATTTCCGAGTCGAATTCAGACTTGAAAATCCATGATGTCAATCCGGATGAGAAAGTCATTCAATGTAGGGGTAATATTTGTGGTCCTGACACAAAAGTCAACGCAGCAATTATACAGTAGTCGACTATGTATGCAGACTGACGTACACGACTAAAGGCAAGGTTAACATACCCAAAGTCCAAGGATGTGGGATCTGCACAAAGTGGACCATGGAGACAATATTATGCATGAATGAATTGAATCGGCATGGTCACGTTCTCCAGCAATGGCTCTTGTCGGATCTTTTAAGAAGCCGGCATACTCCCCAGTCTTGTGAATCCGCCCAGTTCACCGAACGTCAATTTGCCCTGACTTTTCAGTACCCTTCGCTAACTTTTCGATATCACTCACACAACTCAGAATGGTGTCATACGCTTTTCTCGCACTTGCCATTGCTTCCTGCTTGGCGCCTGCTCTGGCAGCGGAGAAGGTATTCTTATGCAAATAAAATTGCCGTCGTGCAATCTTGAAGAAGTGACTGACTCGCTTCAATCAAGGCCACCGTTTATTCCCAAGAGCCTTGCACAGGAGAATCAGCCCAAATCGAGCCTAACAACCAGTGCACTCTTGTACCTGACACATTGTATGCGCAACCAAAATCTACACCAGAGCCTGGTTTACCTAATGGAACTTGGATATTAACCGCAAACTTTCAATCAACAGAAAAGGCAAAGTGACCGCTGTCAAGGTCCCCGAGGATGTAGTTTGCAACTTTTATAAGTGAGTTCGAATCAATCCAAGCAAAAATAAACAGGAGAATCCGTACTGATCCTGACAAAGGGACGAATTGTGCGACGAGCCAATCTTGTACTCGGTTGAGGACCCTGGTATTTGCAAATTTACAGAATGGGATACCGACGACCAGAAAGTCAGCAACGAATCAAAGAGTATTAAGTGCTATGATAGCACTATCGAGGAGGCGTGAGATTTAAACCGATACTCCTGAAAGGCATGGCTTTGATCAATACCTTGTATCAAGGATGTTATACGTGCTTGCTAGAATGATTTGGCGATCAGCCCGAGCCAAAGAAAAACCTTGATTCAAGATTCAATTTGATTTGTGCATTTGTAAAATTTTCATAGAGATGCCCATCAATATAAGCCAAAGCTAAATAGGTTTTCAATCTGCCATTCCGATCCGTTATTGCACTACTTTCGGTGATTTGACGCAATTCAAAGCTCGAATGTAAGCACGTCCATCAAATTACGATCCAATAACCCAGTCAACATCATCTTTTTTCACTTGATCACTGACAGATGGTTTCCTCTCCCCTGGTACATTTTCCTGGTGGTGTTTCCAGCCCCAAGGATAGTGCTTTTTCGTAGTAGGCTGGACCGTATCAGCTAGCCAAGTCTATTAGCATGCGTCCGACGCTATGGCAATCCGGGAAAAAAAAAGAGAAGAAAATGGGCAGATACTAGTTGCAGTTCCAGCAAAAGCTTCGTTGACATGGGATTCCGACTGAACAGACCCAGTACGCTGCTTGTTTGGTTCTTCAGGAGACTTCGCTGCGTCCGGAGAGATTTGTGCACCCGTGGAGTCGGACGAGCCTTGACGCTGGCGATTGTGAAACGCGTCTGATGCTCGGCGAAAAAAGTCGGACATTGTGATATACTCAATTATTTTGAGGGGCAATCTTAGCAGAAGATTTCTTTGCGGGGGAGGTAGATTTAATGGTGACGAAATCATATTATATGGTTCAACCACATGACATCATTTGACCTAATTGGTCTTGTACTCGTGACCATCGAACAGGTTAGATAGTACGATCACCAGTAGGATATTTGATGGGATAGATGGAAGTGCCTGAGACGAACAAGAATTCCCGACCTGTAAAACATCGACTTGAGGTGAAGCTCATCGAAGGCCATCCATCACGAGGACCGTGCGGGAGGATGGTGATAAGCCAGATCCTCTCCTTAAGTCGATTGACCAAAACTGCCAGATGACTATGATTTGTTCATCCTTGATCCACCTCACTGCATCAAAGGGTTCTTATCGGGTGCGATTCGGGATGATCTTTTTTGATTTTTGATTTTTTTTTTTGAACTTGAGGGAATTCACACTCCACGCCACACCTAGTATAGATATCTGTTTGATGTGCATTTCCCTAGAAAAAAATAACCTGTTGATTATTGGATCCAGCCGACCCACCTTTTTGTACTTAAGATACCCCCAAGTCTTCCGCTCCAGTTCTACAAGCTCTGCGACCGGCATCCAGCCGTAGCCATATCTATTAGAAGTATACTCCGTAGCAAATATTCAATCGCCACCAGATGCATAAGCAAGAAAAATAATCGGAACAGATGGGAGATAAGCTCTCCGCTCATCGACAGTCCATTGTCATGTATCTTTCGGAGAATGTTATCCGTAAAAATGGAAAACTCTTCGATGCGACGCCTGGATCCACTTTTTCTACCATTTAGCCGGGGACATTTGGAGCATTCATATGTATGTGTTTGCCCCCGCGATTTCTCTCTTTTGATCTGGATTTTCCCCCAGCACAGCGTTACCGCCAGGAGTTGCTTTCATAATGACACCGACACCCGTGGGCGATGGTGCGAAAAGTACCACCCACACCATTTATGAAATGGGATCGACAGCCACCTCCACAATGTCACTGTCAACGACAGCAGATAGCACCAGAAGAAATTCCGATGAGCTGAATGATCTTCCTGATTCACAAGATGTCACCGACCTGCACAAAGTTCCCACGACCCGGACTCGCCGGGGTTCGCATATGGGAGAAGCACTTGAGAACTTAGCCAGCACACTAAGTCACCATCACGACGGCCACCTAGATCTGGATGTCGTGCCTTCACGACGAAGCGAGCGCAGCACTCATCGCTCCTTCAGACATGCGTCACCAAGGAGAATGCCCGATCTTGCAGAGGAGGCTGGCTCACCTAGTGAGGCTAAATACCAAGGGATCCCACCAGAGATTGGTAGCTTCACAGCCGAAGTCATTTTCGTCTTTGTGTGCTCTGCTGGCCTGATGCTATTCTCTTTTCTACTCGGCGATATCACGGTAAATCAAGAAGAATTCAAGCGCTCTCTAGGTATCAGCAATAGCGAGCTTCCCTGGCTACTGGGAGCATATACTACGCCGCTCTCCCTCTCAGTCGTGATATCAGGCTCACTGAGTGATTTGGCTCCACCAAGAATGATTATGGTCTGCGCATTTGCGTGGCTTCTTGTCTGGAATGTTGTTGGCGTGTTCGCCACAGAGAAGGCGATTCTCTTCTATATCGTCAGGGCGATGCAGGGACTCGCTATTGGAGTTTTAGTCTCCGGCTCAATGAGTATCCTCGGTCGAGTCTACAAACCAGGACGTCGCAAGAACCAGGTTTTCTCCGCCATGTCAGCCACTGCACCTTTTGGATTTTGGCTCGGCGGTATCCAGGGCGGAGCGTTGAAGTCTTACTTATATTGGATTTTTGGCTCAAACGCTATCATTTCTGGATTCTGCCTGGTCGCAGCATACACCACAATCCCTCCACTTCGCCCTGTGGCTGATATTGCCGGTACCGATGCACCGACAATTCGAGACTTTGACTTCATCGGGGCTGGCTTTGCAGTGACCGGTTGTATATGCCTTCTATTTGGACTGACACAAGGATCCGTTGTACAATGGAGCCCATACACGTACGCCCTTGTCGTGGTCGGGATTCTGTTGTTGATTGCTTTCTTTTTCGTGGAACGTTGGGTTTCAAGACCGCTTATCCCCAATAGCCTATGGAAAACCAAGGGCTTTACTCCGCTCATGATCGCATACTTTCTCGGTTATGGCGCTTTCTCCGGAGCCTGGCAATTCTACGCCGTCCAATTCTGGCTACGCATCCAGAACCACGCACCTCTTACGGTTGCGCTATACCTCCTTCCAAACGCAATAGTCGGAGTCCTAGCAACGTGGCTAGTCAGCAAAACCCTCCACATTGTTCCCGGCCACTACATCTATCTCACGGCGATGTTCGCGTTTGCCCTAGGGCCGGTATTCTTCCTACCGCAAACATCAGGAACAACCTACTGGGCACTCTCGTTCCCGGGAATCGCGTTGGTGACCTTTGGGCCGGATCTTTCGTTCGCGGCTGCTTCGATCTATATCACAAGCAACGTACCACGCTCATACCAAGGGAGTGCCGGCAGTCTTCTTGTCACGATGCAGAATCTGAGTTCAGCCGTCATGACCGCGGTCGCTGATGCGGTTGGCACGGGAGTGGATCGAGGACCATCTGGCGATATTGGACTGGAGGGATTGAGAGCGATTTGGTGGTTTGCTCTCGCTTGTGAGATTGTTGCTGGTTGTATTACGTTGTTTTGGGTGCGAATTCCGAAGGAGGAGGAGAAAGAGCATATTACCTGATTTCAAGTTTTAGCCGTTTATAATCAAGATTACAATATTCCATTGCTGATTGAAAGACTATGCTGTTCAAACGGAACACTTCCGAGAATTTGCGCTTACTTTCTCAATACTGGAGAAATGGAAGGTTACTAATTAGTACATAGCCGGCCAGAAGTATGCGATTACCGGGATTATTACGACAGCTTAAACTGGATGCCAAGTGCGAGAGTCTCATTCACGATTAAGGAAGGGAAATCTAGCCAGGATATTCTAAGTTTAACGCGACCAGCCCAATGAATGATTTGCACTAAGGACTTGGCGATATGTCCTATTCGCACTCTTCAGCCAGATATGTAGCTTCTCCGATGGGTGGGGCTTGTCTACCAAATGAAAGGGCAAGTCGCAACGGCCCCCGGGGCTGAAAAGTGGATTCCGTCAAATTTTGTAGGGGAGCTAGCATGATGATCGAATCGAAATAGTCAAACCTGAGTCCTACTGCAAGACCACGTCTAGTTAAAGGCATAAGCTATTGATGAGCCACTGAGGTAGGAGAGATGTATCCGTACATAACTAGGTATGCACAACTCCAAGATCGTCACAAAGAGTACCACGGATTTCAATAGTCCGGCCCTGCTGCAGATACTAGTTCTATTTGGGTTTGGCCAGGGAAAAATATCTATGAGTTATTTTTGACAGGGAACTTCTCCGAGAGAAGCAAGACGTATGTCATAGCAATTTACTCAACACCTAGGCGATAACCAAGCCTTTTCGCCGCCATCTGGCCAGATTGACACTGACGGGACAGGCAAGGCAATTTGCAGCTTCGGTGCCAATACGGTACAGGTTCAGGCAATGTCTAGATCACCGTCTTCATGCGGTTATACGGGATTAGCCCACACCTAGACTCTACTTAATACCACCAACATCCACTTCTACCATTACGTTTCCTCACCGTAACATTTAATTGGGGTTTCAGTGCCTCTAGCCTCATTGATTTGATTTGTGTGTGTTGTCTTTCAACAACTTCCAAAGGCTACGGGAGCTAGTTAAACTTTCTTTTGTGGGGTAGGGGCGGTATGTAGATTACCGGATGAGAGAAGACTGACAGGGACAGATTAAGGAAGGGGTTTAAAACCATCTTAATCTTCGAAGCATGTCTGTACGGCATAGCGAAATTTTATCTTGTCTCATCTACTGCAGGACACAATATAGGGCTCAAGTCATCTTTGAAAAGAAATATGGTATTCCTCATGAGATGTCTCATCTCCCTTGGTCTCCTCACGACTGGTTTTGTTTCCGCAGCCCCAGTATCTGATAGCAACAAACAAACCACTACTACTTGCGCCCCGGTCCATTTATTTGTCGCCCGTGGAACGAGCGAAAGCCCTGGTGATGGATCTATTGGATCCCTAGCCGACCTTGTCCTTCATGCAAATCCGGGGGCTACTCAGGAAGCTATTGATTATCCGGCCTTACCTTTTCCAGTCTACATCACAGATGTTGGGATAGGGATCAAGGCTGTCACGGATCAGTTCGCGCGCTATACGAGCTCATGCCCCGATTCAACCCTTGTTCTAATTGGATACTCGCAAGGGGCTCAGATTATGCTCGATGCCTTGTGCGGCTCAGGAAGCATCTTAAAGGGGGGTATTGGAATCCCTACGATCAGCGAGGCGCAGGGCAAAAATAGTAAGTGGGAGGCAGTGTCGCGATTATTCTACAAGATGCAGTCGCTCCACTAAGAGAACTTCTGTCTAATTCAATACACCCAAATTCTAGTTGCGGCAGTCGTCGGATACGGCGATCCCGGCCATACTGCAGGGGAGTCTTGGAACCAGGGAACTGCAAACACGAATGGGGTGAGTTCAGTTCCAAAAGTCCAAGGTTTTATCCAGAGCGGACCTATTACTGACCGTGGGCTGTAGATATTCTCTCGACCGACAGATGCATGTAACGCATGGGCCAGCAGGATACACTCGTACTGCAATGCGGGGGATCCATACTGTGCCGGCGGCAATAACAAAACAGTCCATCTGCAGTACACTCAAGAATTCGACAACGTGGCTTCTCGCTGGATTGATGGGCAGATAGAGTCGGCAAGAGCCCAATAAGACGGATTGTGAGTTGGTCCACGACTTTTGAATTTCCGGTGATCTGCGAATAAACATACTTATTATGAGTCTCCAATGTATACCTTTAAATCCCTTTTGAAATATAGACATGCTAAAATAGAAGCCCTCAAGGAATTACGTGTTTGTCTCATCGATATTGGAAAAGTAGAATGTCACAGACTAGCTAGTAGATGGTGTTTGGTTTGCCTTTCCTAGCTTTTACTTAAGCAAAAATGTCAAATATACCAGATGCCAACCTACGGCTGAAAAGAACCTTAGAAATTCATCCATGCCACTGACGAGTCACATAAGATAAATCAGTAAAGAAAGATAGCAAAAAGTGAAAAAGTGAAACTGAATTTTCAAGTGGCGTTAATTTCAGGAGCTTAAAAGCTTCTTAGTATACTACGCTCAAAACATTATTGAAACCCGGAGTTGAATTGGTAGTAGCGAGGAATTTTAGTGCGCGCACTATAATATCTCTTTTTCTGCGCGTTTCGCTGGCCCAATATTTCTTAGATTCGGCATTGTTTAATCGCCAATTTTATGCCAATTACAGGGCTATGTCTAAAAATTTCAAAGCTTCACTGGATCCACCATGCTGGATCCGTAATTGGTTCAGTAGTAAAGTGATGATCAAGGATCTGAGGCTTGTTTCCGTGCCGTGTTCGATAACTCCGAGTTCGCGGAAGCGGATATTTCGGGAGCTTCCTGCTCATATTCGGCCCGAACGTTTTCGGTATTAGTATGCATAATTTTGACCGTGCACCTCTCAACCAGGAACATCCTTTCCGCGTGGGGCTATTAAATACTACGTAGAGCAACGTGTTTGCCAGAGCGACAGAGACCAGATATTGCCGATCTATTGAAGCAGAGTCAAAATCATGAAGTTGAAACCAAGTCACAATCTCTAGTTGCATACAATTATTAAGTCATGCGTAGAATAGGGCAATTAAGCAGGCACTGGGGCGGTAAGCATCCTGCTTCCAGCTATCAGCTTATGCGCTTTTAAACGTGACATGCAAACTGGTGTACTTTCTACCGTCACCTACTACATTAGCAAATTCGTGAATTATTAACGTTGGAACATGGACCGCTAATTGTGATCCGCCAGTTCGCATAAGAGGTGTCCACAGTTTTATAAGCCAAGTAGCAAGTATCTGCTGTCGTCGTCTTTGTTAAATTGGCTTGAGAGCCTATACTTCATTTTTCTTTTCGTGAGACAACCCACTCTTTCTTGAGCTTCGTATGACAAGATTCTTCATTAAGAAATGAAAAATCCCAAAAAGAATCCATGTACTAATTATGTTTGATGTTCACGCATTTCAAGCCAAAAACTTGAACAATTGCTCTGCGTTTGTCTGGCAAATTTTGCGCAGATCTGACGGGGCAACCACATCGCCCAAAGCGCGGATGAAGCCCGGAGCTCGCTGCGCATCAATGTAAGGATAGTCGTTGGCAAAAAGGATGCGGTCAATCCCCCAGGTTTGGATGGCAATCTGCGTTGGAGGCAGGGAGAAGAGACCTGAAATTGCCAGCCAGACTTGACGTCGCATTGTTTCTGCGACGCTTCGTTTTAAACCGAAGATCTCTGCATCAAACATGGCATCGAAACGTTGAATCATCATAGGTAGCATTTCACCCTGGTGGCCGACAACGATTTTGAGGTTAGGATGACGCTCTAAAGTTCCTGATATGGCGAGTCTGAGAACATGAATAGCGACTTCATTGTGCCAACCCCATCCCATACCAGCGAGAGTGGCAGAAAGTTTCGGTTTGCCCGGGAACGAATAGTATGCATCAATGACTGCAGGGGGTGCGATTCCCGGGTGCAGGTACAGCGGTACATCCAATTCTTCGAATTCCGTGAGGAGGCCGTCAAATTCCGGATCATCGAGGAATTTACCAGTGCAGCCAACTGAACCAGCCATCATCGCACCAACGAACCCTAGTTCCTTCACACAACGACGTAGCTCTTGAATGGCCTTTTCTGGCGCATGAAAAGGCAATTCTCCGAGAGCTTTGAATTTATCGGGATGCATATCAACAGCCTTTTTGAGCTCGTTGTTAATGTCTCGCGCCAAGGCTGCCCCGGGCTCGGGCTCCATCTGCATGCAATTGACAGGCCCAGCCAAGCTGAGGATTTGCATCGCAATTCCACCCTCTTGCATATCCTGAATCCGCTGGCCACCAATGTCGGTAGAGCGGCCGCGGGCATATGCCATAGCTTCATGACTGACAAGCTGACCGAAAACCTCTTTAGCATGAACAGCAAGGCCTTCATGAGGAATTCGCGCGGTCAGATCCGGGAAAATAACATGCTCTTCGACGCCAATGACTTTTAGATCCCGAAGCTCCGGGCGAAGGTAGCCAGTGCCAGGGCCTAGTGTATTGATAGGGCCGACTTTGGCATTGGAGGACGAGGCCATAATGGTCGGTTAATAGCTGTCACTTTATTACAGTAAAATCAAAGACCGGTCGGCTTGCACCTTGCTTGAAGTGGTGACAATAAATAGCTATATTTTAGGTTTGTGGAGACGAATCCCGAAATGCCATCATACATCTCTCGGATCATTCGGATATAGTCCTCCCCTCGGAATGCCGGAGCGAACGCTTTCGGTCGGCCCGAATTTTCAAACACAAGTTCTGGCACATAAGCCACTCTGATACCCATTACGTTAGAATTGCCAGAAGAAGCCTAAAGCAACCAGGCTTGTAGCAAATTATCCGCAATAAAATCGAGAACTTTACCTATGAATAGAAATTATCAACACTAACTAGGCCAAATCCTGGCGCACAGAGAAAGAACATAAGAGTTCCTGAGATCCAAGAAGCACAGTCTGTTTATTCCGCTTCTTGCCAATCTCTAAGCTAAGCTTTCCATGTGGACATGAGAGGGTTTAGAAGATCCATCAGTTTGTTGATTATTTTCCTTTTCTTCTGGAAGTAAAGAGACATGTCCATCTTTGCCATCAAAAACAAGGATCATCTCTTCAAGCGTGAAACGTCTTGTCTCGGGATACGTATAGTATATAGTGACAATTGCGAAAACCAGAACGCATATGAAGACTATATAGTACTTCCATGCGATTGCTGCAAGGGCGATTGGATTGACGAATAAATTGAAGAGGAGTGCCGAGTATATGGTCATCGAGCCTAGGGCGACTCCACGAGCGCGGAGCGCAAATGGCCAGATCTCGGTCAGATAAGCAGTAGTAATTGGCGTGAATGCAATGCTGTAGCCGCCGAAGAAGATGAATAGGAAAGGGACCACCTATGAGCATGAGAGTAAGCACATTGATGTCATCTCAATGGGATAGAGAATTTACATACAGCAATTCCCGTTGGTTTGGAGCCATTTTGAGCGAAGCTTCCTGACAACGCAGTAATGGTGATATAAGAAGCAAGCATAATAGCGCAAGATGTGAGGAAAAGCTTCCTCCGGCCGACTGAATCAATGATCAAGGCGGCAGATACTGCCAGGATCAAATTCCACACATTCAAGAACCCATTTAGCAGTGTCTGTTGGGTCACTGAAGTGATCCCTATGGTTTCAAGAATGAGGAAAAGATAATAGGATACAACACCACTATGCGGAAATTCATGATTAGCAAGGAGGTTAAGGCCACAGAACAACTGGCAAATGACTCACTTCCCAACCCATTGTCCAAAAATACCCAAGGACACGGTAATAAAGAGACGGTGACGATTTCCCTTGGTTTTAAGCATATCGATATAACTCGAAGAATTTTTGGCTTCTCTTTCCAGAGAAAGAGACTGTTCAATTTCGGCCATTTCAAAGGCAATTAAGGGGGAATTGAGGTCTCCCCCGGCGTGGAACCTAGCAAGGACGCTTCGAGCCTCCTCCGCCCGGTCCTTCGAAACCAACCAACGGGGAGACTCAGGGGATAGAATTGTTCCCGCCACTCCCAAAATGGGAGTGGCTATTTGCAAAAGAGATGGTATGCGCCATGCCCAAGAGTTACTCATATTTCGAACGCCATAGGTCACCCAAGCAGCAAGAATGCTTCCAAGGTCTGCGAAATGTCAGTCTTGTCAATTGAAATTACAGTTGGGATGCACGGGCGTACAGTATTGGCACTGGAAAAGTGCAGTAACCCTTGCGCGATGAGAAGGGTAAGCGATCTCCGTGATCAAGACCACGGCAATACCAAACCATGCCGAGGAAACTCCGATGAAGAATCGACCAAGGATAAACATAGCTTGGTTATAAGCAGCAGTCTGAAGGGCGGTCCCGAGTGCACAGAAGAAGAGTCCAATGAAAAGACAACATCTTCGACCAAAGTGGTCTGCGATCCAAGCTTGACAAGGGAGAGTAATGAAAGCACCTAGGGTCATTGCTGCATTGATGAACCCGAGCCAAGCCCCGGTAGGGTACTTCATGAATGTTTGCCATTGTGTGAGGCTTTGCAGGCCGTTCATCATGGAGCCATCATATCCAACCGTCCCCGAGTACATAAGTAGGGAGAGAATGATGAGATTCAGCTCTCTCAGGTGAGGGATGGTATACCATGGCTCTTTCTCCAGGGGTATTTCCTGTTAAAAGCCAATTAATAAGAATGATCTCATGTGAGTACGAGGAAATATGCCCAAGACCAGAAGAGACCGATCCAGAAAGCGCACCTGAACGATGGTATCATCTTCAAATGATTTGATAGGCATGTCCTTAATCTGGTATTAAGTCTGAGTCGTCTTATGGAGGGAGCGCTGGACCATGAGTTGCGAAGGTATTGATGCAAATCACAAGGGAAAGTACCTTACTCTTATACTTCTGTCAGCAAGCTTTTCTCCTTCGTCACTAGGTTTGGGCGATGATTCCGGGAATGGAACAGGGATAGTAGGATTCTTCTGGCGTTTTTCTCGCGTTTAAGTGGTCCACTCAATCCAGCCTTTCTCACCGATAGGAGACCTAGCTCGCAGCTCACCCATCAATTTCGCAATACGGTATTGTAACGTCTACCCCGCATAAAAGCCGATCTGGTTGGGCTAATAGAAGAAACGGAAGATGAGCTAGTGTATCTCCACAATTGAAAGCAGATTTCTCCGATTTGAGTTCTTTCAGACAAACTGCGAGAGCCTCCCATAGGCTGATGTACATACGGTCAAAATACCGCAGGCGGGGGCCGGAAAGATTCGCAATTACCTGAGCCTAGTCACAGCCAGATGGCAACGAGCTCGAGCACCGAGGTGAAGAGTATGGGACGAGTGTCGTAAGAGCAGTTACTTTGGTATATCTGGGGTGCGTCTGATAGCGGGGCTTTGTCGGCAATGCTGACACTGGGGTAATTCGTCCGTGGACCGGTTCGGTCTTATCGATTTCCCCGGACAAAAAGAGCCTAGAGCCGACGACTTGTCTAGTAAAACACGCGACTCATCGACCCGGATATAATGCCCCCTAAATGTCCGCGCTTTCGCTCATTCAAGCAAAACTCCGCGACTTCGCCCGGCTGCTTCCTTTGTGAGTGAATCTAGAGGTTACAGCGACCCACCATAAACTTTGCAGGAGTTCATAGGAGGAGCCCAAGATTTTGGTTGAAGGAGTCAAATTCAGGAAGGTCGGGCCTGTAACCATGCAAAGGCAATGACCTCGGCAAGGCAAAACAGCGCAATGTGTGGGAGGGAAAATTATGCGCGGCAGCCTTGCTCAAAATACAGGAACAAGAGTCTGAATGGGCACAAATGCCATTATAATTCACCTGTACTGATGTTACCGATCATGCTTCTTGGGAAACGATAATTTCGCCAAGAAATATGGACAGACTTAACTTTTATTTGTCCGGTAGAACTTCGGGAAGCAAGTTAAATTACGCATTAGCGCGACGGCAGACTGGACTCGGAAGGTCTTTAACCCCGAGTCCCGAGCAAGTGATCATTGCCCGGAACCCACCTTGGATTACTTTATAAGGACCCGATGCAATAACCAAAAGCAGAAATATGACATACCAACTAACCATATCTGTGCATTCAGAATAAAATATACACATTACCCAACGCACGATTTATCGGACTTCTCAAGCACGACACGAAGAACACGGATACTACCCTTCAGCAAAATGGAGCTCCAAGATTCGCAAGGCACACCATTCATCTATCGTGATAGATCGAAAACGATCGACGAAAGAGTCTCAGACCTTATCAGCCGCATGACACTGCCTGAAAAGGCCGGTCAGCTCTTTCACAACATGCTTGTTCCTGGACCAGAGGGTTCACTTGCGACAGCGAATTCCACTTTTGGCATTGAAGATACGAGACATCTCATTGGCACAAAATTTATGACCCATTTCAACCTTCTCGGCCCGGTCAGCGACCCGTCTATGGTTGCCACATGGCAAAATGCCGTGCAAGACTTTGCTCTTTCACAAACACGGCTGGGAATCCCGATTACGTTCTCTACAGATCCTCGGAATCATTTTACCGAGAATATAGGGACGTCCTTTCAGGCTGGTCACATGAGCATGTGGCCGGAAACTCTAGGATTTGCTGCCCTACGCGATCCAAAGCTTGTGGAGCGATTTGCTGATATCGCGAGACAAGAATATCTTGCCCTAGGCCTGCGGACATCTCTGCATCCACAAGTGGATTTGGCAACGGAGTATCGCTGGGCCCGAATCAATGCTACTTTCGGCGAAGATGCGGATTTGTCAGGGGAGCTTGTTCAGGCATATATCAAAGGGTTTCAAAAGGGCAAAGAATTAGGGACCCAGAGTGTCTCGACTATGACCAAGCATTTCCCTGGAGGGGGTCCACAGATGAATGGAGAGGACCCGCATTTTATCTATGGCCGTGAGCAGTGCTATCCCGGAAATAACGAAGAGTATCATCTGGAGCCGTTCAAGAAAGCAATAGAAGCGGGTACCCGTCAAATGATGCCGTATTATGGCATGCCGGTTGGTACCGAGTGGGAGGAAGTCGGGTTTGCCTTCAACAAGTCTGTTATCAGTGGACTATTACGAGAGAAGCTTGGCTTTGAAGGTATTATTTGCACGGATTGGGGCCTTATCACCGACACTGCTATCCTGGGCCAAGATATGCCAGCCCGCGCCTGGGGCTGTGAAGGGCTGTCAGAGCTGGACAGAACCAGAAAAATCATCGAGGCCGGATGTGATCAATTCGGAGGAGAATCGCGTCCAGAACTGGTCATTCAACTCGTGGAGGATGGGATGATACCAGAAAGCCGCATTGACATATCTGTTGCACGCATTATGCGGGAGAAATTCGCCCTTGGGCTTTTTGACAACCCATTTGTTGACGTCAAAGCAGCTGCGGACATCGTAGGTCAGACTCAGTGGAAAGCCGAGGGTGAAATGGCTCAGAGGCGGGCCCATACGCTTCTAAAAAATGATGGTAACATTCTTCCCCTACACGAAGAAGATTACCGTTCCAAGACGTTCTACGTGGAGGGCGTCAGCGAGGCTGCTGCTCGGGCTAGAGGCCTCAGATTGGGCTCACTCGAACAAGCAGACATTGCCATTGTTCGACTTCGTTGTGCTTATGAACCTCGTCCAGGTGGCTTTGAGGCTCACTTCCATGCTGGGTCATTGGAATATTGTACCGGAGAACAAGCTCGACAGGCAAACATATTTTCTAAGGTCCCCATCAGCATTGTGGACATTTATCTCGATCGTCCCGCTGTGCTATCAGAGGTTGCTAGCCAAGTCACAGCTTTGTCAGTGAGCTTTGGGAGCAACGAAAATACATACCTTGATGTCATATTTGGAACTAACGGGGCAGCCCCAGAGGGCAAGCTTCCATTTGACCTCCCCAGATCCATGAAAGCGGTGCAAGAAAGCAGGGAAGATGTCCCATTTGACACTGAGCGTCCTCTTTACAAATTTGGATGGGGCTTGAGCTACGAAGACACATATGAAACCCAATAGAAACGTGATTAATAAAATGTGCTTCACCGGATCAAAGAACAAGTATTTTATTACAAATTGCGCTAGTTGTCTGAACCTGAATTCGCTGAAAGGGGGCGGTTTCTATCTGGTATCAGGGCCCATGGTGAAATACCTGACAACTGGACACGCAGCCAGTCATAATCTTCAGCATGTTGACCCCATCTCAGTTCGTTTCCTTCTAACTGCCTCGTACGAGCCCTGGAGTAGACAGGCTGAATTGAAGATACCTATATATCTAAGAACCTCAAAATAGAAGAAATAATACAAATAAGCCGACTTTTTCAAGGGATTCTACCAATAAATAAGCATTGTTGAGATGTTGAGTTGTAATTTATTGTCTTAAGTACGGTGTTTAGTACTAGCAGACCCGCTTGAGTGGTATGCTCACCAGTAAAAGACATTATTATGGCCGATTAAAAGCGCAGCTAATCATTTAATACTGGTGGTCAAACTTTCTGCCGGTGAATCCTGAAGAATGTATGAGCACCAGCGCTGGAGGGAACGGCCCAGGATGTCGGAGGTTCGGCGTTTCTCAATCCGATCACACGGAGTTTCGGAACAAAAATGGCCGACACGAATCGTCAACATTTCACTGGCTCCATATGGTTGTATTGCTACTTAGCTCTGATCCGTTGTGAACTGAAATTCTAACAAGTGGACCGGCATTTATCCTGTTGCGCATTCTAAAGTTGCCGAAAATTTCATTAGTCCAGATTTGGTGCACGGCACCATTCTCGTCCGTGGACGTCTCTTCGTCCGTGGACGAAAGTGTTCCCCACCTCGCAGCTTAAGTTGCCCGGGGTACTGAAACTTGATATCATGAATAGCTATAAGAGGTAAACCTATACAGGGTCAACTAGAGGCTCATAATTTAGGCAACGACCATATTTCGCAATGACCACCACTCAGAAAATCAAGTCTCGGTTCCCCGACCTCAATTTTGTCAAGCCTTTGCCGGTTGAGGCACACCCGAGGTACAAGCCCTTCAATGTTCAATTCGACCCCAAACGTGTCGTCCTGCCAAAGGGCCATGCAAAAGAGGAGGGACGAAAGCAAATGCTTGTCGATTCCGTTGTTGACCGTGACACACCGATCCCTTTACGAGATGGGCTTCACGTGTACGCCGACATCTACCGGCCAGTCTCTTCCGATGAAACCAATGTTCCCGTGGTGATCTGCTGGAGCCCCTACGGGAAGTCAAGCATTAGCCTTGATGGTATTTGGCATCGGTCTGGAGTCCCCAGAGACTGGACGTCCGGATATGAGACATTTGAAGGCTTGGATCCTGCAGATTGGTGCAGACGCGGCTATGCGATCGTGAATGTCGACGCCCGTGGTGCTCAGTTTTCGGAAGGAACATTCTTCTTCTGGGGCGATCAAGAGGCCGAGGATATTTATGACACCATAGAGTACTTGTCAAAGCAGTCGTGGTGCAACGGCTCCGTCTGCATGGGCGGCAATTCGTACTTGGCAAAAGCCCAAGTCAGCTTCGCCTCGAGACTGTCTCATCCCGCCTTGAAAGCACTGGCTCCTTGGGAAGGCTTCACCGATATTTATCGTCAGCTGCTTCGTCGTGGTGGATTTGCGATGCACAATACCTTCATGTCAAAATATCAATGGGGAGTTGCCGGGAACCATGAAGTTGAAGACATGACCCAAATGGTGAAAACTCATCCACTGTTCGACGAATACTGGGCCGGAAAGTCTGACAAAGTTGAGAAGATCAACGTGCCGATGTATTTGCTGGGATCTTTTGCCAATCCCTTCCACGTCTATGGGTCCTTCGACACCTATCGCCGCGCAGGTTCAACAAAGAAATGGATGCGCGTTCATGCTAACTTCGAATGGTATGAGATGTACGAACGCAACTCAAATGATGATTTGCAACGTTTCTTTGACCGTTACTGCAAGGGAATCATGAATGGCTGGGAACATGACACGCCTTTCTTGCGTTTGTCTCTTCACGGATGTGGATCTGTTCCGAATATTGTGGAAAGACCAGAGACCGAGTTCCCGCTTCGTCGACAACAGTTGAAAACGTATTATCTCGACGCTTCCACCAAATCACTAGAAACATCCCCCCGGGACCGGGAATCTTCTGTTTACCATGATGGGCACGGCCTGGAAGCTTCTACCTCCGTGAGTTATCCGCAATTGTCCAAAGATTTGCTTTCGATTAGATCAGCAGACTAACAATAACAACCAGGATTTTGTTCTGAAATTCAATGAGTATACTGAAGTCGCCGGCTATGCTAAGGTCCGTCTCTGGATGTCCTGCGAACAAAGGGATGATATGGATGTTGTCGTTCAACTCCGGAAGATTGATAATTCTGGCAATCTTCTTGAGGGAGTTAACTTTCCTTGCCCCGTGCCAGATAGTGAGGTGCCGGCTGCTGAAACCTCCAAGCTCTTTGGCCCTCAAGGATTCCTTCGAGCCTCCTCGTCCGTCTCGCACGACCAGATACGATCCAGCTCAGATGGACAGGAGGTCTTTTATCGACACGATCGAGAGGAAAAGATTCCACCCGGAACGATCGTTCCACTGGATATCACGTTGTGGCCCATGGGCATGGTTTTCGCCGCTGGGGAAGGAATCCTGCTTCGAATCGGAGGTCATTTTCTGAGTGCGCCTTCGGTTCTAGTGATGAAGCCTCAGGAGCCCGAGGATGAAAATGTTGGTCAACATTACGTACACACGGGAGGAAAACACGATTCGTGTGTTATAATTCCTGTGATTGCAGGAAGCAGGTCGTAAGCCAAGTTGCTTTCCGTACTGCTAGTAGTATTATGCTTCTGAAACTTCAAATTGAGAGGAAAGGCTTCGGGTTTGCGCCAGATGGCACTGCCAGGTGGCATACTTAGTACCAACACAACCGGTCACCTTTCATTAAGTTATAAATTAGCATCCGCCAGTATTTATTTGATTTAACCCTATATTGCAGAAATCCAGGGCCTGAACCAAGAAATACGAAAATAAACCAAAACAAATTAAGAAACCCGAGTTCATTATGTAAAGGTTGCCTAGTAGTGGTAGTTTGGTGAGAGATCTCTCCATACCAGTGAGCTGTCCTTAGAAACAGGCTCGCACAGATGCATCCAATAAAGTAACAAAATAGACGCTTAGTTCGTCTCATATGTCTCAGCATAGAATTCGCAATTATTGTCGTAACACACCACGGCTGAATATTAACGCTTTTGATCGCCCAACCGATCTTAAAAGCTTCAATCAATGATCTGATCGTATTGTAAATTTCTAATACTAGCTAGTACACCAGTTCTCCATACTGACAGATATGGTTCAGGGCGGGAACGTGAATAGTAGGCGGGGCATATTTTCGTCCACGGACAGAAACATGACCGTGCCGAGGCCGTGGCAAGCAAATTTCGGACCGGCGGACACCGAGCCCACTCATCATAAGTGATTCTAAGGTTGATGAAATTCAGACCGTGCCCGTTCTGCCTTAATATAAAAGGAGAAATATTTAGCAGTACAATTATTTTGCAGATACCTCCCCTTCTCATACACATAGGAATTCTAGTGTTCAACCGTGTTGTTTCAATTACCTTTAAACCAACAAGATGCCGATACCCTCTACGCCCTTCGCTATTGATATCCTCAAAGGACCCTCAAGCAAGCGTGATACTAAGGATCTCGAAGCGGGATTCGCTCGCAGGTCGATGATGCTGGTTAGACGTCTGCTAGGCGAGGATCGCCTCATCGAGCTCCTTGCTGAGGAAACAGTGGACAGCAGCAAATGGTGGAAAGAGATTTCTGCCAACTCGAATGGGCAGTGGAGGGCAGCTAGAATCTGCCTCTCTGCACAAGGGCTCCTTTCAAAGGAGTTCATCCAATGGTTCATTCCCGCAGAAGGCGGCATGCTTCCCGAGCCGGAGAAGCTTGCTGCCCACCCCGAGCACTGGGTCGTCCGCCCCTCAACCGGGTCAAAGTCAATGACCGTATTGGAAACCTTGGGCGAGAAGCCAACTCTCTTCACACTTGCTTTCGACGTGTCCCCTCCCGATTTTGTTGAAGACGAGCCAACCTTTCCGACCAAGATGACTGGTAGGGGCTATCTTGAAGATGGCACCCAGATCATGGAGCTGTACCACCAGTTCAGAGACCACGCGGATGGTCAGGGCTTCGACGTTGACTTGGCAATCTATTTTCCAGTGGCAGCCGGAGAGGATGTTGTCGAGTGCCACCGTCAACATTTACTTGTTGAGTTCAGCAATTGGTCCAAGCAAGCCTTTGAGGCAAAATCAGTATAAACAAGTTCATCTTTCTATGCGTTGGTATTGAAAGAAGCCCAGTTTGCTCTTTTCAAGCTTGGATATTCGGATTTTCAACATTTGTACATCATCAACCCTCGTTCACAGGCTTGTACGGTGTGTTCAATTCCTGCAAATATTTGAACATTACATTAGTTGAAGAATATGATTACAATAACCCACGAAACATGTCTTCGGTAGAACGCGTAATTCTATCCCATTGCTCATTCTCGTCATGGAGACAGGGCTGCATTGACGTATCGGTGACCATGTTCAGATCGGGGATTGGCATTTCTGCGTTGCAAAAACCGAGCGCTGACAAAATTTGCGACGGCCAGTAGGTACCCTCTTGAAAAGAATGCTCGTTGCGTCTGACCTGAACTTTCCCGAGGAGTGGAGCATGAAAGGCTATTTTGCGTCGGTTGAGGTCATTTTCAGTTCCCTGGAGCAGATCATTGAGCGAACGAAGTGTGGTGAAACCATTATAAGCAAACCCGTAGCCATGAGGGCCGTCGGATTTTTTATGTAGTAGTTTAATGACTTGTTCCACCTCATTCCTGATCTTTATCCTGTCGACACCCATGTCGACACCCACATCCATGGGGCAAACGGATGAGGTGTGAGATATGAGAAGAAGGGTAATTGCCGCAGAGAACGCCTGCAGGTCCAACATCTCGGATAGAAAGAGGCCCGGAGGAAGTCTCCGATTTAAAATTTGATATCGCTGCAATATTGACATACATGCGTCAACGCAGGCCAAGCGATTTAAGAGATTCTCGCCGCCTTGGCACTGCCGCAAAGTCAATGGCAGATGAATCCTCATGGCGATATAATAATGCAAGAACTGCACTATGTGGTCAGGATGAAAGTTGTTTGTATCATACATCCCTCCTGACCACCAGGCCGCTGGGGTTTGAGAGCCGAGTGTGTTGAGTTCTCTGGATAGCTCCATAGCAAGTGTGCAGGCTTCCGTCCTCGGTCCATTGAATATGTTGAAATGATCCAGATCTTGAACCTTGTTCGCGATATTCGTCAGCCGACAGAGATACACATCATTTTGCACGACACCGTTAATCGATACAGAATCGGTCGTTCCTTGTCTATGAGAACTGGTGATTGGGGAGAGATTCAACATCATTCCCAGAAGTTTGTCCGCGGCACATATCAGATCCCATAGTCGAACTTTGCTAATTTGCTGCTCATCAACAACCTCAGTAGTCATCTGAAGTTGAGAAACCTGAACCACATTGTGAAGTCCCATCAGCTCTGCGATCGCAATCGTTTGTCGCAATTTTACCCATGCTTTATGGATGTTTCCTCGGCCGATTTCACTAATACAATTGTCAGATCCAAATTTTGGAAAAGTACAACAAGAGAAAGAGCGCTCACAGCCTGATACACAGCATGAAAACGGAAAGTCCATGGACTGAGCTCGTCAAGGCATCATGAATCAGGATCTTATTTTCCACTGTCGCAGATACAGCCTTGGTGAGCGATTTTTGGCGTTCTCGTTTATCAAGCCAAGATTCCATGGTTTGATTCTTTGGTGGTAGCTGCTCGACCATTAGAGCAACGGTAAGTAACCAGGACGCAAGCCTTATGGTGTCCACATCTGGACAGTGCATCTCCTCGTAACAGGCAATCATATCCTCTCCAAATTTCACGTCGGATGGCAATGGGAAAAAGGAATGAAGCAAAGTAAGCCATTCCGAAGCTGAACTGGTGTAGACGGATATATCATCTTTCGAAGGAATCAATTTCTGCAGCGATTTTCTTGCAATACTTGACAGATGGGAAGTGTTTGTCGCCTCGTAGCCCTCTGTGGCCTGGCTTGTCGAGGAGCTGTCTTCGCTGAGCCAATCGTTTTGAAAGAGTAGACGTAAATGAAAGGGTTGTTCTGCAATAGACTGTTCCGAAACAGAGCGATTCTCATCCGACGTATATCCTGTGAAGGTTTGATCAACAACCACTTCTTCGTCCTGTGTTGTCTGAAAATTGAGCTTCTGTTGCATCTGACGAATGGTCTCAGTCAAATTGAGAACTCTGGTTTCCAGTTGTGCGATTCGATTTTTTGAAGACAAGTTGAATCCTTTCCTTCCAGTTGAGCCAGAGGTATGTGTTTGTGCAATGCATTCCGAGCCTCGTTCCTCACACCTACGGCACGTTTGGGCATTTTCAAAGCTTTGAATGCAACGGATCTTTCGACGCCTGCCTACTTCTGTTGAGCAAACGACGAGATTTTGGTTATCATGAGTTGTCACCACTTACATTCCGTGCAGCTTTTAGTACCTTTCCTTATTCTTTGCTCTTGCCCTGTCGGCATATTTCTTGTCGTCTTTAAAAATCCTTCTGGTGCCTCTCAGACAAAAATGCGAGTTCAGACTTAGAGAAAAGCGGGGATAAAAAGAAGTGCCGGGAAGAGTGGGAGGGCCCCGAGCATCGGGCTTCTCTATGTCCGACCCTCCGAGGGGGGTCCGCAAACAGGACAAACAGATAAAAAGCGGGACTTAGTCGTTTACACATAAGTTATATAGATTTATTGAGGTTTTCTGTGTATTTATCTGTGATCTTTTGAAGAATTTAGCTCTAGTTCTCTAGTGGCCACTTGGGGATTATTGGCTTCAATTATATCACTAGTTAACGTGTTTTACCAGCGAGTCAGCCAGCACCAAAAATGTGATGCCATAGTGCTGCTTACTAAATCTCAAACAAAGTATATCCACAGCTTCGGAGTAACAAATTCTTTCTATTTCAATTTATGATCCGTTTTTATAATTGATACCAAGATCCAAGTAATACTAGTTGTGATGATCGAGCGGCATGCGGTTGCATGCGAGGACCATTGTTGATGCTATTCCTGATTGGGTCTAGCGCGCAGGCCACAGGCCTATGCTGAGGCGCCATCTAGTTATCTCTCTCTTCTTCACACTTGATATTGCGAATCGAATGCACCAATTACCTTAATAGAAGGACTCTATCACAGTCTTTTTCTTGCGTAATTCAAGTTCCAGTGATGTTTTCCAAACACCTGCCCAGGTGGGCAACGACTCCAAGTTGAAATAAAAACAACTTGAATTACAGCATCCTAGGATAGGCGGGGCCATTTTTACCTACAGTAGGTACTGAATTTTACGACCATTTGCCAGTAAAATTCCATCTTGTACCTAGGTAGTAGGTACTAGTAGACTGGGTGAAGATGTTGAACTTGAACTTCAGGGCTTTCTAGTCGTGCCTAGTACCTAGTACCTAGGTAGAGCCCTGGAGCGAATCGCGTAAATGATTGAGTACTAGTAGCATTACAGTAAAACCTTGAAATCAAATACCTAGTACTAGTAGGTAGCCAGAAAGCAAAAGTATGGGGAGCAAGGGTATCTACTAAGAGTAACAGGTAAGTTATTCCAAGATTCAATTTTGACCTGGATATCTGGCGAGCCCCGCGCTCCGTGCGAACTCGCGGACATATCGCTGAGCTTCATCGCGAAGCTTTGTTAATCATTTTCATTGAGACGGAACACGAGAATTTAGACTATCGTTGTTGGGAGTCATTGGACTTACCATGATATCTCGGCGTTTGTCAACTCCCTTCCCGCGTTAACTCAACCTTAGTGAATTCGTTTTTTGAGGAGCGAACATAGAAGGAAGTTGTTTCATGTGATAACCCTTGAGAACTGGTTATGTATGTGGGAATCCAGATTCAGCCCCCAGATTCATTATCCACTGGGATCGTGGAAATCACCAAATACTTGCGTGCAAAGTACCTTTTTACACAGAAGAGGGTGAAACGGCGAGGTTCCCGCGTTTGCCGAAAATTTCGGTCGGAGATTGATTGAAAAGATTATCTGATTGATAACTTTGTCTTGGCACGGCCCGTCATATCCAATCATGCCACCAGTCACCCAATAAAAGTGGCTCATAGTGCGTCTTTAGACCAGACCCACCATGCACGAGGGGCCTTGGAATCGAGCAATCACACCTCTTCATCCTGGTGAGCTGAGTCGGGCCTCTGCGGGCGAAAGCCCATGGTGGAGCTTGGCCTACTCGCTAGAGATGGACCCTGTCAAATCACCATACAGGGTCGAAAAACCCCTGCCGCAGTCCGCGCGTGTTAGTGTTTCCGATCCGACTTCGGTGCTCGGGCGTTGTGTCCTTGATAGGTAAAAGATCACATTGACCTTCTTGGCCCTTATTATCTAGCGCACTTCGCCACGGAGTTGCTCCATCATGTTAACCTTTCTCATTCTCGGCCGTCATGGGTGTCCGTCCTTTGATTCGAAGGGCTCGCACGGTCTTTCAACATATCGCGTCCGGAGACAGCGATTCTATCGATGATGAGACTATTGAGCAACGCATAGTCCGAGAAAATCGACGGGAAGCGAAGGGTTCCTGGGATGGCAGCGTCGATCCCACAAGAAGCTCCAGCGGCTCGGGGTCATGGAATGAGCAGCCAGCGGAAACTGTCCAGCATGGTGTTCAGGATGTCGAGGCCGTTACTATGACTTGGTCGAAAACTACATTGACCTTCATTTTTATCAAGTGAGCCTTTTCCAAAAACTGCTTATCCAGCAGTTTCTGTCCCAATTTCCTAAATATGGGCACTAATCCTATGAGCTCGGTAGTATTTGGTTTCTTTACTTCGTTAACGCCTTCCAAGCCACAATTTCCGTCAGCTTGAATCCTTACGTGACAAGTTCATTTAAGGCCCATTCACTTACAGCGGTGCCTACTGCTATTGGCGATGCCTTTGCAGCTTCAACCTACCTTCCCATGGCAAAAATGATGGACGTTTGGGGCCGCGCAGAAGGGTTTCTCTTGACGATTATTTGCTTAACCATCGGATTGGTTCTTATGGCAGTATGCGACTCTTTTGAGATCTACTGCGCTGCCAATTTAAGTCTCCCACAGCCTGATAAGAAGCCCATAGCTTACACCTGTGACTCTAGGCGTTCTATTATGTCGGTTTCTATGGCTCTGAGTATGCCATCGACGTTATTACGGCAGATGCATCGAGTTTGAGAAATCGGGCCTTTGCATACGCTTTTACCTCTTCCCCATATATTATCACGGCATTCGCAGGGCCAAAAGTCGCGGACATTTTCTACTACAATATTTCCTGGCGCTGGGGATTTGGCGCTTGGGCAATAATCACACCCCTCTTTGCCGCACCCCTATACATAATGCTGAAATACAATCTGCATCAGGCTCAGAAGGAAGGCTATCGAGTCAAACGACCCAGCGGTCGCACCTTTATCGAGAGTATCTGGCATTGGACTGTTCAGTTTGACTGTGAGCACACCTCATTCGACCAACCTGTTGCAACTACTGTTATATCAAGTTTGTATCAAGATTATCAATTACTGACTCTGAGATTTAGTGTTCGGAATTATAGTATTTACAGCTGGTCTCATTCTGTTCGAGCTTCCCTTCGATATCGCAGACTACGCACCCGAGGGCTGGGCTTCGGGTTATATCATTGCTATGCTCGTCGTCGGTTTCTCAATGCTCTTCTTTTTTGCAACCTGGGAGAGGTGGATTGCACCTGTACCACTTCTTGAATGGCGATTGCTCACTGATCGTACGATTGTTGGAGCGGTGCTCTTGGATGCCACCTACCAATTGTCAAATTACTGCTGGAGCTACTACCTCACATCTTGGTTACAGGTCAACAATGACCTGACGATATCTACTGCCAATATGGTGAACAACATCTTCGATGTGATTTCTGGTATTCTTCTATTGTTCCTTGGCTGGGCTATCCGTGCAACCGGTCGGTTTAAGTGGTGTCTTTATATCGCGATCCCTCTCTACATACTTGGGCAAGGTCTGCTTATCCACTTCCGGCACCCGAACATGAGTGTTGGTTACCAAGTGATGTGTCAAATATTGCTTGCTATCGGTGGATCGATTTTCATCCTAGTGGAACAACTAGCTATCCTAGCTGCAGTTGGCCACCAGCATGTTGCAACTGCTCTGGCTTTGTTAAACGTCGTCGGTACGATAGGTGATTCCACCGGGCTCACCATCAGTACAGTTATATGGCAAAACACATTCATGAAAGCCCTTGTACGATATCTTCCAGAGTCGGCAATGCCGAGCCTGAACAATATTTATGAGGATCTCGTGACACAGACCAGCTACGCAGTCGGAACTCCCACAAGGCTTGCTATTCAAAAAGCATACGCCTACTCTGAGCTCAGATTGCTTGCTGTTGGATGCGGCATCATGGTTCTCGCAATTCCTTGGACAATTCTCATCAAAGACATTGATCTAAAGAGGAAGGTCCAGGTTAGGGGAACGGTCTTCTAGTGGACGAAATTACATAGAACAAAATTTCACAAATTCGATGATGTTTTCATTCGGCTTATCCAGTCCCACCTTCTTCGCCGTACATCATCTCTCAACCCGTTAGATTGAACCGTGCGCGGATGACGTATTAGTGCCCTACGGAGCTCTTTTGGGTTGCAACTAACGAGGAAAAGTGGAGGCCTAATCTCCTTCCCATAAGAGTTGGCCCTGGCGTCTAGATTTCCGTTTAGTCTCGTGAACCATTCAATGCCACATGGGAGTGGGGTCAAAAGCCGAGATCGGATACCGCTCCAAGCGCATAACATGCACCACCATAAAGTACTTTCTCCTAAAGGGGGGGCCTTTTGCACGGGCTTGCAGTTGGAAGCTGGTCTTACGCGGAAGACCCCACCACCGAAAGAAAGGTTCCTTGGGTTTCTTCCTACTTTCGACACATTACTGCGTTTAAAAGCCCACCGCAGGTATTCAACCAGACCTTTTGTTGTTTTCCTTTTCTATTTCCTTTTCCTTTTTCTTTACTTTTTGTAGCAACCTTTATTCTGGGCTATTATAGCTCAGACACCCCCCAGTGGTCCGTGTCGTACGATGAAAAGCACAGACCGGCCGATCGAATGAAGCCAAAAAAGGTGGACAGCCGGTACCCAACGGTTGCAATATTGCAGGGCACTATATACAGCATGGATTCGCTGGATAAGAAATTGGGAAATTTATCCCTCTCTTATCATTCTGAAGTTTCCAAACCGATCGTCTTCGATGACAATGGGGGTGTTGAAGTTGTTAAGGCCGGAACTCTAGCGGCTTTAGTGGATCATCTCACACGCCATGACAAGCTCGACGCCTCGTTTAATCGCACATTCCTCACAACATACAAATATTTCATATCAACAAATGAGCTTATCCGCCTTCTCATTGATCGATTCGATGGTATGTCACCAGATTTGAATCCGACTCAAACTCCCGAGTGGTCAAATCAGATAAAGCTATTGGTGCGACTACGAGTGATAAACATTTTCAAGCAATGGCTCGAGAGTTTCTGGGGGGGATTCAAGTCGCTGCGATGTGACGACAAATCAGGATTTGCTTGAGATTAAGGCGTTTGTGTATCGAATCAATGATGCTTCCGAAGCAGCCGCGGCCCGTCAGCTTCTTTCAATCGTCCAATGTCGCCTCGAGGGCGTTGTCAACATCAAAACAATCCAACATTCTTTATCAAGTGCACCAAAGCCTATACTCCCAAAGAATTTGAACAAATTACAGTTCCTCAAAATTGATTTCAAGGAGATAGCACGGCAGTTGACTATTATGGAATCATCGATGTTCGCTAAGATACAGCGAAGCGAATTGCTCAACAAGTCATGGCAAAAGAAAGATACCTCCGGAGGGCCAGGGCCAGCTCCACACATTAGGGCTTCGATCCGATATTCAAATCAAGTGTCAAATTGGGTAGTTGCCCTCATAATTGCGGAATCGGAACTGAAAAAACGAACCCAAGTTATTGGGCACCTCATCAATGTGGCAAGCGTGAGTCTGCACGCACAATACTGCTCTCAAAATATACGTGCTAAGTTTAATTAATACAGGCTTGCCATGATCTTCAAAACTATTCGACCGTTATCAGTATTCTATCAGGCCTGGAAAGCGCCCCAATATACCGGCTTGGCCGTACGTGGGCAATGGTCACCGAACGCAGCTGCAACACATTGTCACCCCTGCAGGCCATGATATCTAGCACACAGAACTATCATGCCTACCGCGAGACTATTAGAGCCGCAGTACCGCCCTGTATACCGTTCCTCGGTCTGTGCCACTTTGCCACTATCTTTTTTATCGGTTCTACTAATACTATTTCAGGCCTTTTCCTCAAGGACTTAACCTTCATTGAAGACGGAAATCCAGGATTGACCTCTGACGGACTTATTAATGTCCAAAAATACACAATGCTAGCATCAACTATTCAGGATGTTCAGCGCTTCAAAGAGGCACCATACTGTTTACAACCGGTCCCTGAATTGCAAGAATACCTTGCAACCAAATTACAATCAGCTCTTGAGTTGCACGAACTGTGGCCAAGAAGCTGCGAGTTAGAGCCAAGGGGCCGGGGAGATGAAAGCAGACTTCGAGATCGATATACCGCGACAGGAGGCAATACGACTTCCATGGTTGTTGCCTGCATGGTCATGGACCAGTGATTGATTCTCTTACCAATTTTTTGATACCCTATATCTTTATCCGATTTCATTTGATACAACTAGGTTTTTTTTTCCGAAATTAATCCTTGGTTGTACACTTCTTAATGCATAATCATCTGCGCGAGATACTTTATCTAGTATTTTATGTCTCGAATTCCCCACCTTCTTGACTTGTGGACTTAAGAATGATATCGGGCTCCGAGATATTTGCACTTCGCGACTTGTAGCACCTAGGGAATTACTTATTTAAGTGAGCCCGAATGATAACACATCCCTGCCACCATCTTTTGAGCTTCTCTGAAACATTCGAAAACTCTAAGATCGTGTAGTATCCTTGTTGCCATATTAAAACCTAGGTGAATTTTTGCCCGAGATCGAGTATTTCAACCAAATCCATCAAGGAGTTGATCATTTTCGCGGGAGGAGCATTGCTATCCCCTCGAGGAATCAAATAACTCTCCCACCCGGCATCTCGTGCCGCTCTATAATCTTTCTCATATTCATCGCCCACGTGTATACAAACCCAGTCATCTTCCCTATCCATTTTCGAACCGGGTGGTTGGTTCGGTATATGATTTCTAGGTAATAAACGAGCTTGCCTTTTCGCAACATCGAAGATCAGTCGGTTTGGCTTCCCTTCGCCAGCTTCATAACTGGTAATTACAAGGTCAAGGTCGACATCTGGCAGATCAGAAGAAAGCGACTTGCCGGGTCCAGGTCCATCTCGCTGCTCGAACCCCGGAAGCTCCATACTCGAGAGATCTTGATCTGCGCGTAAATCTCCTATCCGCAGTCCCAGTGCCTTGAGCACAGAAGGAACGCGATCATCCGAATTAGACACTACGCCTAGCAGAATACGGTCAAATCGACGTGTCGGAGAGCTCCTCAGCTCACGCATGCGCGTGAAAAAGGGAATAACATCTTCGTAGAGCGCGTATCCTTGGTCACTGGCGAACCTATCAAGCAACACGTCCACCATCCCCGACGGAAACTCAAGTGGCTGGCTACTATCCGATGCCAAAACACGCGTGAAACTCTCTCGTATGACTTCCCCCCACCATTGTTTTGGCCCGCCATATCTCCCACGGAGTACATCAGCTCGTCCATAATTTGGCCAGAGTTTCGTATGAGCTTGATATACGTCCTTGAAGGCTTCCTTGATCTTTTGGGAGGTGACGATATTCCGAGAAAGGCCAAATTCGTGGGCGACGGTCGCGTATTGTTCTGGGACGGGGGGGTTTGGGTAGAAAAGGGTGCCGAACGCGTCAAATGTTAGAAGCAGGGTTCGAGAATGCGTGGATGATGAAAGCGTACGAGCGCCTGTTGTGAGGGGCGCCATTGTGCGCTTGAGAACGAGAACTTGGAGAGTGGAAGAAGCATGGATGTCTGTCCGCACATCAAGTCATTTGGAGGCCTGATGCCTAAGGCTATAATTATGCCCAATCGGGTTAGATCACTAATATATAGGACCTCTTGGAAATGATTGTTTACAAGTTACAATTTTACCCATTGGGACTAATCAATGATAGTAGTCTAATTTGAATAGTTGTGGAAGGCTTGAAATATCTCTTTGATCATGAATTTAACCGTTCGGAAGCATCGTAGTACGATGTTTCTCTCATCCCAAAACTTGGTTCTCCTCGCATCGACATTCCGCGGAGAGTATCTATTTATCCTTTCGTTGTTTCATTTCTCTGAATGGAACTGGAACATACTCATCATTTACAGGTCTCTCCAATTCTTTGAGACTTGCTACTGCCTGTAATTCTTCCAGCTCCGCGAATCCAACTCTCACCAACGTAGATATCAGAGTTCTCCAGTGCGTTGAAACTTTTGAAGAATCTTCCGACCTAGTACGAAAACTTGTTAAGACGGCTTTTAAATAATGGAATGTCCCCAAGAACTTTGGAAGTTCCTACTCACTCTCTTAAAAAACGGGATTGACGTGTGACCCATTCATTGAGACGTGCAATATACGCCGTCGCAAGAATGAATATCACAGATGCTCCAGGGACCCGGCTTTCATGAATGCTTATAGCCGCAGCCAGTGGAATTGAGATAGCGTAGATCGTGCTAGAACGATAGGATTGGATATATGGCGTGTAGCAGAAGAAGAAAATCGCAAGACGAGCATAGATAAAACTATCTAGTGCAGATATTGAGACTCTATGTAGGCTGGGTATATGAAGGAGGTAAGACGCCAGGGATACTACGGGGCGTAGAATAGCCCCGGCCTGGTAAGGAGGTCGTGTGGTCCGTGGATCTCCTCGACGGAGCGTCTTCACAAGTTCGAGACTTGTCCAGCTCCAAATAAAGCAGGACAATATATCTAGAGTGCTGGGTAAGATATTGGAATGGCCGTGAGACTTCTCACGGAGCCGATATCGGCATACTTCTGTTATGCCTGTAAAGATGTGCACATAGAGGTAGATTCTTTTCTTATGAAATTTCTGTTGATAGATTGGGACCTGGTGTCGAGTGTGGTAGAGAATGATGGAAATATATCCAAAAAGGATAAAAATCAAATGGAAATAGTCATGTGTGCTGGAAAACTTCAAGTTGAAGTCCAAAATATTCTGACGATACTTTTCGTCCAGAATTTGATGGTCGAGCGATTTCAGTGGTTTTCCGAAGGGGAAATCAGTCCAATAGTAGAGGTATTCCATAATAAGCTTGTATTTAGGTATGCTTGAGGATCTGGACAATCGAAAAGGATTTGCAGGGCCCTTTTATATTTCTTCTCACAACAGAACATCCACACATGTCACCACCATGATGAGGCGTGAAATCGGTGGTGAGAGACTGATCAACGTAGATGAAACCAATACAATAATTCTTTCTCAATCTACAAATGCGCATAGCTTAATTCCGATGAGATCTTCACCTACTCTACAAATGCGCATAGCTTAATTCCGATCAGATCTTCACCTACGTGTAACACGTTAGCATGTGAGCTGTCCGAAATTAGTGACCTGCACCTATACCTAGACTCGTTTCGTTATTAGGAGCAGGGTATCTTCCTGCCGTGTAACCTATTACCGATCGCTGCTCGTAGGTACCAAAACTTCCTCCTCAGTAGCTAAGCTCAGTCACTTGCTACTCGGGGGGGGATTTGGGGTTTGTATTTCTAGGCTTTTTATAGATCCGAAAAGCATAAAGCACACATTTTCCGAAGCTGCTGGGACTGGATGCTTCAGGTATCCAGGTCATCGTGCTGCCCTCCCATCTCTTCTTACAGGCTTCCATTTTTTTTATCGTCTCGTCTCCCTCATCTAATGACCGCGTTGTTGTTTCTTTCTCCTCGTTCGTGCCCTCTAGGGTAAGGACTCCCCTCTGGCTACCAATTGACTGAATACCGTACTCCGAGGCACCTTTTACTCAGGCAGTGGGAAAGTGGATAGAAACCTGGCGAGAGCGATATTGGGAGACAATGATGTCTAGCTTTGGGTGAGAACATATGAAAACAAACTAGGCCTGTGCTCTATTTATACAGTTACCCGGGAGCCACCCTCTGGGGCTCCTTCTTCAACTCCATTCTTCTCCATATCTCCACTCTAATACTATTACTATGTTCTATCCATCCCTTTGAGTAATAGTAATGGCCTATCCAGATAATATCACCCAATGGATGCCACGGTCGTTACTTTGATGTCCCGTCCTCGTTCAAAGCTGACGAATAATCAGCCACAGTTGGGTATCAAAGTGCGCCCATCTTATCGAATTCTGCAGCTCGGGCTTCGTTGGTAGCAGGAATGGCAGCGATGACATGCTTCCACTTCTCGACCCATTCTCCCGGAATCGCCAAAACACCACCTTCCTCTGGATAGGCGATATGATCACCGAATGCATGATCCTTACATTTAGTTGGCTCTTGACTGCTTGTAGCCACCGCTCCATTGGTTCCCAAAGAGCGGCGCTCGGGCCCAGAACAAGCTGCAAGCGACGGGCAGCCGATAACTTTCGACCAAGAAGCACCTCCGGCTCCAACTTCACCAGATACACACGCACCCTTTCCTGCTTCATCTGCTTGGGCTGAACCCTCAATTGTTGTGCAATATTTCCCAGGTGCACCGCTAGGATTATCCGAAATCAAATTCTGATAATTAACCAGGGTCTTTGTCTTTCCTCCAATTTAAACAGCATTCTTCTGTATAATACCAGATTTGCAACATTTATCCTCAGCCCAATCATAGCATGTGACAACGGTCTTACTTGAGGCCGAGCAATCACTACCTTCTTAAAGGTGGACATACGGACCAGCATTACATCCAGAAGCAGTACCAGTTTGTCGTCCCAAGTCTAGGGCATAAGCGTACTGCCCACCCCGCTTTCTGGAGACACCTGGTTTCTTATAAATTGAGCTTGTCTGCTTATCCATCGGCAATGGAAGTCGAGTATCACACTCAACCCATACAAATATGGTTGATCCATCGGATGATCCGTTATCATTAAGTTGGAGCTGCTGTGCACAGTAATTGCCGATGTTTTTCGCCTCGCCAAAGCAAGTGGTTGGAGTTTTTCTTTTGGATGACATGGTCCCGCTTTAGATCATCATTAGCATTTTTGATATAGTTAATCGAAATCAGATATTTAACGTACCATTTTTCCTTTATTATGGGCACCCAAGTGAAATAGCCGCATTGGCCATCCTTCAAAGTCTTTGTGTGTGCCAGAGCACGAGCAGTCGCTTCGGCGTCAGAGTAGCCAGGCCCCCAAATGACCGTTCCCTTTTCCCTCCCTCTTCCCTCCAGGGCTGTCATCTACGGGTCTGAATCGATATGGATAAGGTCCAAATTATGGTCCCCGTCGCCACCTAAGCAACTGGGCACTCGAATGGAAATCAATACTAACTGCAACTCGCAGATCCCGCCCGGAGGATTATCGAGACTACCTCTGTACAATTAGTATCATTTGAACTATTTCCAGGCAATGGGTCCAAATCCTATGTCGCAGGTCTCGAACCTTGCAAGCCCATATCCAACAAGGCTGATACATACTAAATGGAGTCCACGGGTGGCTTTTGGGACTAACAAGGATTGAAATCAATGGCCCCTTGCAGCAGGATTTGTACAAGTAGTAGTAGCACAGTCACGCCCCACCTCGTGAGACGCTATATTGGGGCCACGACGGGCCGCAGTCACCATGTGTCTCTGCAATTCTATCACTTCCCCTCCACAACGATCATCTCGGTAACAGCTTTGACTATGTACAAATTATTTGCCCTGATATATCTCCTCTTTTCTGTGCATGGGACTGCCACATCTCAGGAACAGAAGCGGCCCCACAAGCTCCTTCGCAGAGACGTATGCGACGGAATTGACGATACACCGGTCCTTTACCACCGATATCTCAGTGATATTTGTCGGCCGAAGTATGAGCCGAGCTCGGAGGGTGTATGTGATCATATAGATTACCAGACAAATTCCTGCCTGGCGTTTTGTCAGCTTTCAACTCGATTCATCTATGGGAGAGAGTTTCCTTTGGGCGTTTGGTGTGATGGGCCACCTTGTGAAATTGCTGAATTCACGAAAACGTTGACTTGGTCTATTGATATGAATCCAAATTTTGAAAAGGGTCTGAATGATGGGATCAGTGGAGGCTGGCAGTCTAAGTTGACATCCGATGTTGGACCTCGAAAGATGGCTCTCGAAAAGCCTTTGAAGGATGGACAGTGTGGGTATTGGAGTTGGGTTTCCATTGAGAGGACAGTTTGGTAAGTTATCTTACTATTCATCTTCGTTTATAGTTGTGGGATGAGGATTGGTAGAAGAAGACCAAGCTAACTTGAAATTATATTCTCCTAGTGGAACAATGTCCTTCCAGCAACCCGAAGCGGATCATTGCAGTGGAAATATGCATAATCTAGATGATTATTGCGTAGATGATCTACGGCTCAATCCAGATGGTACTGTCGATGGTACGACAATCTTCGTCTACACGGACTGTGCGACTCGACTTCCACTGCCTATGAATCAACAGACGAGCCGGGTATATAGGATTCCAGGTGTCGCTCTAGATAGCGAGGAAATTTCCATACTATCCCAAGGCCTAGGATCAGATCGTGAGCCGAGTATGATCCCAATAAACTTGGGACAACAGGTGCTATGAAGGGCCATGCAAAAATATTACTGGGCTTCATCCGATGCTCTTCATTCGTTCATTCGTTCATTCGCTCGCGGTATTCACTTCGTCTTTTCCAATATCCTTAGATATAGCGGAAAATGGGCTTCTCTCCCCGCTTTGACCGCCATTTATTCGTGGATATCATCAACTCGGGGCACCCACGTACAATCCAAGCCCATTTCTTGAGAAAGGCTTCGGTAAGCTCCCAATTATTGATATCCCACGGTTCACCCCAGACGATCAGACCTGAGTTCTCTGCGGAACCTATATTCCAGAATCCCATTATATCAGTGCAAAGTTTTTCATCATCCCATTCATCGCCCGCTTGGATCATGTTGTCGCGCATTCTAGGTAGAGGGAAGAAGTCTAGCCAGGGGTGGTGTGGTATGGCTTTTTGAACTCGCGTCGGTCGCAAGCTAACCGGCATATTGTCTTCCAATAATTTATTCCTCGGTGCCTCCGTATTGAAGTGAGAGATCGAGTCATCGTCCATATTGTCCAAGCAGCCCCCAGCCATGCGAAGGTTATTCCCAAATGCGCGAAAAACATTGACTTTGGTGAGGGTTAAGAGGTGATCCGAGGTCGGTGAGCCGGTTATATAGCTTTCATATGCCGTACTGGTGAATCTATTCATCAAGGCGCGTAGAAAATCGTTTTTGAAGCGCCGATCGCCATTCTCCAGGGCGCTACTCTCTTTCGAGCGGACAAGTGCGGTCGCGGAGGATGGGGGCGCGGAGGCGACTACACTTTTTCGGGTGGATGTCTTTATTCGCCTCGGATCGTTGTCGTCTTCCTATACCGCGAGCAGATTGTTAGCTACATATTCTTGAAATGCGCGCTCTCGATCAGATTACACGTACGGCGGGCACGCTGATTAATTCGATTTTGTCGTCTGCGGCGTTCTGCCGGGTCGGTTAGACCTGACCAGTCGTCTTCAGCCTTGTCATCATCGATTGGACTTTGTTTAGTTAATTGTGGGGAACTAGCCATTGTCACGATCAGCACTACTAAAGCGTCAGCAAGGTGAGATGGAGAAGTAGAAGTTGAAGCGACCGTCTGGATTTTGGCGGACAGGTGACGCAGAGAGACGCACCGCTGCCAATCAGAGCCATGTCGAAGCGGGTCTATCGGTATTCAGGGATCTCGGGGTTAATCACGGGGTTAATCTCGGGATAATCTCGGGGAGATCCCGAGACAAACGGAGAGATACTGCCAGGGCTCAGTGTGCAACCGTGTATCTGGGACTTATAGTTCCTTTATAGTACCTACTTCAATTTCTAGTTACCAGTAGATATCTAGGTACTTATTTCTGAGATTCGTGATTTACTAAATGATAAATGGAGAGTACGCTTAGAGGGAAGAAGGAGGAATAATTCATAGAGCAAACCCGTACTGAGCGACCGTCACCCAGCCGAGACTGGCCCAAAGTGAAAGCAATTTCGATGTGGCCGAGAATAGCTGAAGAACGGAAATGTCTGTTATTGATACAGCGTCGCACAAAATATTTTCATAAGTTACGACGATGAGAGTTGTTTTGAATACTACTTCAAATTCAGAATTCCTTATTAGATATTGATACACATACCCCCATGGGGGGGTTTCCTTTGAACGCTGTTAGAAAAGACCATCGACCTTTGTGTTTTCAATGGCTTGGATAAAAGAAAGGGGATACTCGGGCTACCACACTAGAACTTTGCCTCTTGGCCTCGCAGGTTTTCTTGTCTTCCGCTTATTCTTCTCCGAGCATCACCAAACGTCTTCGCTTCGCTTCTTCCAGCAGATACAGCTGCAGTTGATATTCTCCATCGCCTGCACTGGCAGTTCCACGCTCGAGATGCGAGAAATCATTCATATTTTGATTGCCGAGCGCGTCGAGCCTTTGAATTTCCGTTTCGGTGTATCCCATCTGGCGGAGCTTTGCGCAGTTATATCGCTGTTGATTTTCAAGAAGAGTGAGCATGTTGTAAATGGCGGCTTCATCCCAGCCCAGCTCGCAGAGCTTGTCTTGAATGGTCTTTTGAGGGGGGCTCAGGTTGGAAAGGTATTCAGTGATAACCTCGGCGGGTGTCACTTTCGATTTCGTGCTAGCAGTAGCTTCGGTAGCATTCTCGAGCTCTTCCTCAGACACGAATCTGAGGGTTTTCCCAGTATCGTCAAGTATCCAGATACCCTCGGGGGTGGAACTGATTCATGCTGTTCAGTATTCATGACGGAAGATTGTATTATGAGGGTATGAGCAAGGATGAAGATAGGCGAAAAGTGAATGGTGAATGGTAATGATGAGGCGAGGACTTGTATACGGGATGACTCAGCACGCTAATGTCACTCAAAATATTTGCATTGTCAAGTCGATGGAAGTGCTGAGATCAAGCCCTGGGCTTTCTTACAACTTATACGTCTTGGTCTAAGGGAGTACCCCCTCCATGTTCTGTTACACAGGACGGGCTCAAAACTGAAGCATGATACGTCAGAATGTGCACATATAAGGTTTGAGGCCCCACAAATTTTGGAGGCTTTTCCCATGTGAAGTAGTTGCAGCACTACTACTACTATTTAGCTATTCCTTTACTCCGTGCTGCTGTGGGTATGCTTGAATTGAAGATAAGGCGTACCCTCACGCGCTGCGGGTATGCCGTACTCTATTTATTAGTCCTTTCTTTTTGACCATTATTCAAATGTATTATCTACCTTGTGAATAATTAAAAGTTATGCCTTCCAAGGTTATCTATGATTTATATCAAGAAAATATTTGGAGCAGTAAGTCCTACTAGATTTCAAGTTGTGCTTCTTCGTTGTAGAATAGCTCCGAAGAACAAACAGTGCATGAAATTCCAACCTAGCTACAAATACCATTTCTATCTCTATCAGAATAGTTACAGTAGTTTCCAGTCCGCGTGCACTGTGGTGTGTTTGTTAAAGCAATTTTTCAATCGCAGGGGCGGTTCACTTACTCGGTGGTTTTGCGCACATTTTCCCCAGTACATCCGTCCGTTAAGACAGAAGTTACATCTTTGGGTATGGCCTGCCGAACAGTACTACGTAATATGATTAGCAATGTCGATTTCAGGCTCCAGGTCAGAAAATATCAGAAAGAGAAGATGGAATTACGCCTTCATAGATAGTTTCTATTCCATTTGGTGGGTCTGCGGCTTGCCTGTCCTGCAGATCATGAATGCCGTGTTTCTCCATGGACAACTCCTGGGATAGAGCGGCGTCCAGAACACGGCGACATTGTAGAAGATCTAATGGGCTTATCAGAACTCTCTAATTTTCCCAAATTTTAGAAAAATGCCAACTCTGAGAATCACCAGGCTCAGCCTGAGGAAGGCCTGTGACGAGTACAGCACAGATCGAAATAACATTCACTATAGCGTGTGGAATCTGCATTTTACTAGAGAATATCGAAAGAAACTTTGATTTCCAAGGTTTGAAATTTCCACTGGAGGTTGCCTGGGTGACTGGATGATTTGAATCGGAGCTGCTCAGAATCCTCTGCGCTGAACAATGGAACCGGGCATTGTTTTATACACTAATCTCGAAAGCTGCTTCGCCTAGTCCGTCCATGACCAATTTTCTTCTATCACTTGGTGAGATTATGCTAGTACTATGGTTGAAGTGTGTTACAGTTATCGGGATGCCAGGTTATTTTGAATTTTGACTGTGTAATATCCACCGTGGCCGTGACACATTTCTCAATGCTACAGTAACATTGGAGGACAAGCCTACTTAGGTAGGTAGTAGCAAGATAATAGCCCCTGAGATCATACTACTTCCTGCTACACTATATAGTATACATTGTGATAATTTATGCGAAGTACCCAGGTAGATAATACAACATGGATTTCTAGTAAGAACTTGAAGTCCAGCTTAAACGCAGGCCCCGGGGCCGTAGTCAATAAGAAATAAAATCTAGAACTTGGAAATTGCTGGCTGCTAACCATCTAGTAACCGGCACTGATAATATAGATTGAAAAGCTGTAGAAGACTCGGACCGCATCTATGAGACTTGCGCATATTCAAAATCCGCAGGGCTCAAGACTCGATGGCGTTCACCAAATGCATATAGCCCAAACATCATCCCGGTGAAACAGGCTCCAATGGGAGGTGCTTTTGTCGCTGCTTTGTTGGAGATAGTCCCGACCCACCTGATATCTGCAAGATTCTGCTGACGATATCCAAAACGATACTCACTACCACACTGGATAGTTAATATCACATCCGAGGTCAAGTCTATCTCCTCTTCCACAATGTTGTCCTCTGATGGCTGAAATCGGATAATTCGCTTCCCCCCTTGTGCGCGAATTCCCAGACAGGTGTACGTGAAATAATTCCACCATAGGACAGTGCCTGCTTCTGTATGCTCTGAGGTTGGGTTGAATGATAACTTTGTCTCCCACGTGCAGACGAGATGGGTCTGCTTGCGTAAGAATAGTGTTGGACAAGCCGGAACAGCAAGATCATATGGCCCACCGTAAAGCCGCAGATGATTAGGTCGCTCGGTCAGTGAGAAATCGGATGTGAACGGAGTGTCTAGATACAGATAATCAGCAAATAGCCTTCTGAATGATAAGCCAACTCACTCTTCCTGTACCATCCCAGTTGCATGCTCGGGCTAGAGAAGTCATCTCTCCACTGTACGGGTACGATATGCTGGTAAAGACCCGGACCGGTTGATTGAAGGGTAATCTTGTTTCCTCCATTTATCACTGGCCAGTCGTTCTCCCATGAGACCGGAACTAGGAATGATTCTCGGCCTATCATATCTGGTAAATAAATGATCGTCACGGTTGTAGGAATGGACATACCGAGCACAGAATCTTCCCATCCACCCTCTTTTCTCACAGGTCGAACACCAAGGAGTACCGCCCACCAATTTCCATCTCTGTCTTCGACTAGATCTGCATGTCCTGTGTTTTGTACTTCGTCTTCCAACCCATTGCGCCAAAGGGGATTATTGGGCCCCAACACCCAAGGGCCCAAGGGTCCACTTTCGCTGCGACTAACCCATTCACAATGTCCGCTCTCGGTGCCACCCTCAGCGGTGAAAAGATACCAGTATTGGCCCCTTCTAAAAATATGAGAGCCTTCTGCAACCCCGGAAGAAGACTCGCGAATCAATTTTGGCTCGGACGTCGAGTGCCCGGTTTCAAGATCAACGGTGCATATGTGAATGGCGAAATCCTTCAGTTTAGCCCCAGGTGTGGGCTTAAGCTTGCGATAGGTGGATGAAAGGTACACAGTTTCATCGTCGTCCCAAAAAAGCTATGTCATTTCATTTTTTTTTTAGTAATGTCGATCCCGTCGTGAGCTCGGGAATACTCACGTCTTGATCGAATCCAACCTGGTCAAAATAAACAGGATCCGACCAGGTACTATCATCCCATATATTGTTTGTTTTGACATAAAATCCTTGGGGCCAGACCCGATCGTCGTGCTGGGGGCGATAACGGTGGAAGCTAGCCGTGACGATGTAGAATACGCCGCTGTGATAGCGAATTGTTGTAGCCCATACACCACCTCCAGGTTCCGGGGTGTGAATTTGAAGTTGGCTCGGTCTTGTTAACGCGTGTCCAATCAGTTTCCATTTTATCAGATCCCGGCTATGATAAATTGGGGCCCCAGGAAAGTATTCAAAGGTTGATGTCACCAAAAAATAGTCTTGATCAACTCGAACAATAGAGGGATCGGGATTGAACCCCGGAATTATGGGGTTGGTGAAACTCATTGTAATTTTACTGAGCTATGCTGATTGAACGGGTCTCAATTGATTTAAATGCGGAGGTATTGGATCTCTTTGAAGCTCATTGGTGGATAAATAATACATCTGGTAAAAGACACGAGGAGGTGGAACTCATGGCTTTACCATATATTAAGCCCAATTTCCAAACTTTTGACGTGGAAAGCAAATTTCAGGGCTCTGCTTCGATTTAGGCTATTTATACCAGGGTATTCGAAGTCAAACATATGTATGCCGTGTTTTGAAGGCCCCTAATTACCCTAGCTGAGAGCCAATCCCGGTCCGTCAAAAAAGATGGTCAAAGTCCAGGCTTGTCCATTGACTTGTGGCAGGCTCTTGCATTAAGTCCGATATTCCCCATGGAATATTCCACTCCCCATCGCCGAATCTCGATTTGCGCTCTCTTTACCCAAAAAGAGTAGGTGAGCGCATCGGAGAGTTTCCGCAAGCGGCAAAGCGGGCGATGCTCCACCGCCAAGCAAACCCCTCAGAACGATGCGGTGGCAAGAAAAGGACCTCCCAGCCAGTGAAATCAATGCCCAAATCAGCAGTGAAAGAGCCTTGTTAGCTAGCAAGCTTAGCTGGTATAAAGTCGAGATTCGGTCGTGGTCGCACGTTTCATCTCAACTCCTTGCAGTTTCGAATTCGGATTCGCATCAGTCCCCTTGCAGATACTAACATTGCGGTTTTTCTCCGATGCTATTTGCGGGGTAACTACACGTTCAAGCTCACTTCAGTTGAATCATGGCCTCCACTTGTGTAGTGCAGGAGCAGTCGCGCGATGCCAACACAATCACTCTCCAGACTTTGCCTCCGAGTGAGCGCTCAAGAACAGATTCGTCCGAAACATCCCATGAGGGATTTGCGGCGCTGGAGAAGTGGAATGAGCCTCGGATCAATGCATATCGCTCGTTTGCGACTTTCTTCAGCTTCCTGGTAATGGGCGCGAATGATGCGGCATACGGTGTAAGTGAGACAATCCGGGAGAATACCTTGAAGTTTGAAACAACCTATCCCAGAGGGATTTTCGCTTATGTGTTTGCTAATCTGGTTTTCGCAGGCTTTGATCCCATATGTAATACCAAGACCTGAGATTTTTACCTTGAAAATTTGAAGTCCCATGCTAATGAGCCTAGCTTGAATCATATTACAACCTCTCCTACACAGTTGTGTCTCTCGTCTTTCTGTCTCCGCTGGTCGGATATGTTCTTGCAGCATTCCTTAACAATCGAATTCACACCTCGCTTGGACAGCGCGGCCCCGCTTTGATCGGACCAGGGTGCCATCTACTCGCCTATATCGTCAACTGCGTCCATCCTCCCTACCCAGTCCTTGTGATCTCCTTCATCTTCGCCGGCTTCGGCAACGGCCTCGAGGACGCAGCATGGAACGCGTGGATCGGGAACATGGCTCATTCAAATGAGTTACTTGGACTGTTGCATGGTATATATGGATTAGGAGCTGTGCTGAGTCCGCTGATTGCGACATCGATGATCGCGCGGGCAAATATGCCCTGGTATTACTTTTATTTCGTCATGGTAAGCTGTTTTCGCAATGAATCTCTGGACTTTCGCTCATGGTATCTGTCTTCCCTAGGTCGGTTGCGCGGCCATTGAACTCATCGTTTGTGGCACCTGCTTTTGGAAAGCAACAGGCGCAGTCTTCCGACAAGCGAGGGCCGACACCGGTGGCGATAGTAAAAAGGGTGGACTCAGGACAGCACTCTTTACACGCCCCTCTGCACGAGTCACTTGGCTGTGCGCGGCGTTCTTGCTCGGATACGTGGGTGTGGAAGTTGCGCTGGGTGGATGGATTGTGACCTTCATGATTCGCGTGCGAAACGGGGGCGCTTTCGCCAGTGGAATGACAGCGACTGGGTTCTGGTTAGGTATCACAGTCGGACGGATTCTACTGGGCTTTGTGACGCCGCGAGTAGGAGAGAAGTTGGCGATTTCAGTGGGTTTCTCTTCCATATCCTCGTTTCTCAATTGTTTAGACGAGCATGGAGCAGTCCACGCTAACGATATGCGATCATAGGCATATATCCTGCTATCCATCGCCTTTGGACTCGTCCTCTGGCTTGTGCCACAATTTTATGCATCGGCAGTCGCAGTCTCGCTTCAGGGTTTCTTCCTAGGCCCCCTTTTTCCCGGTGTCGTGGTGATGATCGCCAAACTGTTACCTCGACACTTGCATGTCAGTTCGATAGGATTTGCAGCGGCATTTGGAGGGTCCGGGGCTGCGATTCTGCCATTTGCTGTAGGTGCACTGGCGCAGGCAAAGGGTGTTCAAGTGTTACAGCCATTCATCATAGCTCTATCCGGAGCTATCTTCCTCATGTGGTTGGGACTACCGCGGGTATCGAAAGAGCAGCGGGATGATTGAGTCGGAATAATGCGGCGAGAATGCGAGGCCCCTTAAAACATCATGTGTTTTTTGATCACGGGCACTGAACGGGTGAAATGAATGAAATTATGACATTTTGGGTGCACCGAATTGACCATTTGACACGTTCACAATTTTTTTTGTGTGTGTTTTCACAAGCAGAACAGTGCTGACATGTGAACATGTGATAGTCGGGACCCGATTAGCTTATCTGATCCGAGAGTACTTGAGTATTCCGAGCCGCTGTGCTCCGAAGGGCTCCTTCGAATGTTTTCCAAGGTCGCTTGTATTGAGCGAACTTCGTGGAGCTCTTCAAATTAGCGGAATTGATAGAAAATGTCATCATGAAGATTATATTTCCATCTCCAGCATTATTTTGCCCAACTAAGGATTTCCCGGCCATTCGGCTTGCCCCGAAGAGAGAGTTCAGGTGTTCGGCACATATTTTAGACAGCCGCATTCACTAGTAGACTACTGCAGACTATCTTAGTGGCAGGGATGTAAATATTGGGGCTGTAGAGTGTGTTTGTAGGGCCATTCGACCGGTAAGCATGTATGGAGTACAACCGGGGCTGAACCGAGGTCAAATGGCTGACCCGTCGACTTGGTGTAAGGGTTCGGCTTTCGCCGGAGAATCAGCCGACCAGGGGGACTAGGCGACTAGCCAAGTGACTATCGATGACTCTAAATTTGTCTGTCTTAACAAAGTCGGCGGGAGCCACGCTAAACCTAGTTAAGATGGGGGCCCCGATTTCGGGGTTGGGTGACCCCGGGACTGCCCCAGCCGACACCCCGCAAGCTGGGGATGTGGATGTGGATAGGGGGAGACACTGATGGGGGTGAGAATATGGAGTATTCTATACTTGATATAGAACAGAATATAGCATGCTATTCGCTCTCTAGTATTAATATCAAGTATATTCTACTTAAGTACAGTCTTCTCTACTTTAATTCTCTCTGCGCGCTCGGCCTTATTCGGCGCTTGACCCGATTGGGACAGCCTCGGCACTTTCCTTTTTGGGAATTCCTCGGCCTAGAAACGTCACCCGCCTTCCCCAACTTCACTCACTTCATATCTTGAACCTCTTCTCCCTTCTTCTCCTTCTTCTCTATCTTTCACTTCTCCCTTTCCCCTCCCTCCACATCTTCACAATGCCTTCTCCTCCTCCTGATTGGGTCAAGGCCCTTACCCCCGCGGGCCCGCAGGGTTCCGAATTGCTCGCTCAAGAGCGTGCCCAATCCAACATCAATGTCGATAAGCTCTCCGAATTACTGCACACAAAGGAGTTCCTACAGCGTCAAGACCAGCTGGTGAAGCTCCTCCAGCCTGAGAAGGTCTTCGACAAGTCCCAGAACCACTCCCTCGGTCGCGTTGAGCGTCTTCAGCGATCGCTGGCCAAGGCCAAGCGCCTGCAACAGCTGGCTGAGAAGCACCAATGGTCCATGGAGGAGCTCCATGCCGCCAATGAGCTGATTGGTGAACCTACTCCATATGGTCTGCATGCCAGCATGTTCCTGGTAAGATCCATCCTCTATGTTCCATGAACCGATGAACCGATGCTAACTGGCCATTTTCAATTCTAGGTGACCCTCCGTGAACAAGGTAGCCCGGAACAACACAAGCTCTTCCTTGAGCGCGCCGCCAAATACGAGATCATCGGCTGCTACGCACAAACCGAGCTGGGCCACGGCTCCAACGTCCGTGGTCTCGAGACCACCGCCACCTGGAACCCCGACAAGAAGACTTTCACCATCCACTCCCCTACCCTCACTGCTTCCAAGTGGTGGATTGGCTCCCTCGGTCGTACTGCCAATCATGCTGTCGTTATGGCCCAGCTATTCATTGGAGGAAAGAACTACGGTCCCCATCCTTTCGTGGTGCAAGTTCGTGACCTGGAGACACACCAGCCTCTGGAGAACGTCTACGTTGGTGACATTGGTCCCAAGTTTGGCTACAAGTAAGTAGTCCACACTCTGCAAAACCACGCATCAAGCAATGACTAACCATTTCCCAGCACCATGGACAACGGGTTCCTTCTCTTCAACAACGTCGAGATCCCCCACGTCAACATGCTTGCCCGTTTCTCCCGTATCGACAAGGAGACCAACAAATATATCCGCCCCGCCCTCCCTACCCTCGTCTACGGCACCCTCACTTGGGTGCGCTCCAACATTGTTCTGCAGTCCGGTGGCGTCCTGGCTCGCGGTGTGACCATCGCTACTCGTTACGCCGCTGTGCGCAGACAATTCCAGGATCGCGATGCCGACGTCAACGCCGGAGAGAACCAGGTTCTCAACTACAAGATGGTGCAGGTCCGTCTTCTGCCGCTCCTGGCATCCATGTACGCTCTTCACTTCACCGGCCGCGGTATGATGCGTTTGTACGAGGAGAACCAGCAGCGCATGAAGGCTGCCGCTTCCCCTGGTCAAGATTCGCGTGGTGCTGGTCCCGAGGAGCTTCGCGCAGGAGCTGATCTCCTCGCCGACCTGCACGCTACTTCCTGCGGTCTGAAGGCACTTGCCAGTACCACTGCTGGTGAGGGTCTTGAGGTCTGTCGCCGTGCTTGTGGTGGCCACGGTTACAGCAGCTACAGCGGTATCGGCTCATACTACGCTGACTACCTTCCTACTCTGACTTGGGAGGGTGACAACTACATGCTCACCCAGCAGGTCGCTCGTTACCTGCTCAAGTCTGCACGTGCCGTTCTTTCCGGCAAGTCTGCTGATAATGACACTTCACGTATCCTCCGCAACTACCTTGACCGCCGCGAGAAGGGTGCCTCTTTCGATATCCTCGAGAACGATGCTGATATTGTGGATGCCTTCGCTTGGCGCACTGCCCACCTCACCTTTGAGGCCCTGAAGCACCGCGATGCTGAGAAGCGCTCGTGGAACAGCCTGCTGGTCGACTTCTGGCGTCTGTCCACTGCTCACTCCCAGTACATGATTGTGAGGAACTTCTACGAAGCTGTCTCCTCGCCCAACCTGTCGCAGTCCCTTGACTCCGATTCCAAGACCATCATGCACTCTCTCTTCCGCCTCTACGCCCTCCACACTCTCGAGCGCGAAGCCGCCGAGTTCTTCTCCTCTGGTGCTGTGACTGTGCGCCAGATCACCCTCACCCGCACCGTTGCCGTCATGAAGTTGCTCGACGAGATACGCCCCCACGCTATTCGTCTTGTCGACGCTTGGGCTATTCCCGACTGGCAACTCGACAGCAGTCTGGGCCGATCGGACGGCAAGGTTTACGAGGACCTGTTCCACCGTGCCAGCCAACAGAACCCCGTTAACGACCTGACTTTCGACCCCTATCCTTGGAATGAGAATGTTCTCAAGAACCAGCCTGGCAAGAGCAAGCTTTGATCGCCGCCCCTCTCCTTTCACGTTTTCGATTCCCGATGCTGTATTTTTGCCCTAAATTTCTTGTACATGTTTGAATGGGTAGACTAGAGATGACATAGATCTCATAGAATGATATTTGATACCATATCACTTTCAATTTGAATACGCAGACGGAGGATAGTCCAGACCCTGAACAGACATACTCGCACAATTCAGGTGCACAGGCCTAGAGCAAGAGCCCTGAAAGGGTTTTCCTTCCAAGGTTTTTGTTCCCAGATGCTTTTCCTCACCTCCAGGGCATCCGATGCCGTGTATGGATTACAATTTTCTGCGAAACCCTTGCCCCTATAGACCGATTGTTTCTTTTCCAATGGGGAGATGAAAATCAATGGCTACATGCATGGTTTGAGTCTTATTGATCCTAGAGAAGCTATACCTCTCACGACGAAGGATCTTCTGCCCTCTGCGACATTAGATGGAGAAAGAGGCGGTTAAAGGCAGATCACGGCTAGATCGTCCAACGTAAACCTTGTACTGTCCATCCTGCAAAGCCCATTCCTGGGCATTCACGTCCCAACTACTCAGATCCCTCCGCGTGAGCGAGAAAGTGACAGACTCGCTTTGCCCACTGGCGATAGAGACCTTCTCAAATCCACGAAGTTGGCGAACAGGACCGCCAGGAATTCCAAGATACAACTGAGTAACCTCATCACCGTCCATACTACCGGCATTCTGCACCTCGGCAGTGACTGTCATCAACACGTCCCACAAATGCGGGTTTCCGCCCTCGACAATATTTGCAGATGGAGGATACTTCGAACTGGATTTACCCGAGCTCTTAGTCTGCAGACCAGAGTACTTGAAGCTCGTATAAGACAATCCATATCCAAACTCAAAGCGTGGAGGAATTCCCTTCTTATCAAAAGCCCGATAATCAATAAACTGACCCTCAGTAAAGTCCGACTGAGGGAAAAGCCAATAATCACCGTCCGGCTGTGTCGGGAGAGAAGATCACCATAGTCCGACGCCTTCTTAGCCACAGTATAAGGAAGACGACCGGAGGGATTAGCGCGACCATAAAGAATATCCACCAGAGCACGACCCGTATCCTGGCCTGGAAGATGGGCAAAGATAACAGCAGTGACATTCGAATTCTCGATCCAATTATCGACGACGCGAATTCCAGCGTTGTGAATGACGACTACCGTGTTGGCGCATTTACTCGCGATGTTTGTGATGAGCGTATCGCTGTATTCATCGCTCAATCCGGGGCGATCAAAGCCCTCGGTCGCATAATCATTGACGAGAACAACACAGACGTCAGAACTCGCATCCACATCGGGATTCTGATCGTAGAAGTTATACATGACGGACGAGTCGTCTTCATAAGCCTGACGTTGGATGGCATCGATTGGAGCGTCGATGTATGCTGCAGAGCCGGCACCAGATCCCCCGGCAACGTAAAGTGTGCTATTTTGGTAAAGTGGGCTGTCTTGTTGTTGGGCGAGCGACACTTCGAGGAAATCCGAGGTGGCAGCGTCGTATCCAAATACCGAAACCATATTGGGGGATTTAAGGGGGAGGGCGCTGTCAGTGTTCTTGACAAGAACATGTCCCTCGATTGCCCCTTGGAGAAGGATGGGCTTGGAGTCTGGGGATTTTCCGATCACCTGCTTGTGCGGTGCGGTAATATCTGATGGCATTCCGATTCCCGGGTTCTTGATTCCTTCAACTTGATCGAGTTGGTACCAAGTCGCAATAATACTGGAAGTATGGCTAGTTAGTCTATTTCCAGATTCGATTCTGCGAATATCTAAGCCCTGGCTTACCGAGTGGCCATATCATCCAATCTGGATGCTTCCATAGAACCATTCTTGATTGCGATAGTGAGGTTATCCCCCCCACGTCTGTGATGAGGGCATGACCATGTCCAAACCGGCATTCGCTCCAGCAATACCAGCATGCTGAGCACCCCAATCGGTAACAACATAGCCTGTATTGCTATTAGTCGCGATGAACAGAGTGAAAATTAGGCTTCGGAACTCACCCTGAAAGCCCAACTCAGTCTTCAGAAGCCCATTAAGCGTCTTGCTATTCTGACAACCGTACGAGTTGTTAATGCGCTGATAGGAACACATGATAGATGCACTTCCAGCTAGCACGGCATCCTGGAATGGCCAGAGGTAGAGCTCATGCATAGTCTTATCGTCAATATTCGACGAGACCGCCTCGGTATACTCTCCTTGTTCATTTGTCTCTGGATTCCGATTGGTCTCTTGCTCGTTCCCGATATAATGCTGGTTGTAGTCTGGTCAGAACACTTCGAGCCTACCACACCACACAGCGGTACCCAAGTTATTACTTACCTTAGTCGAAGCCCCGACACCCGCGGACTGTATACCCTGGATGGTATCAAAGACCAAGCTACCAGAAAGATACGGGTCATCGGAAAAGCCTTCCCAGTTACGACCACCCTCAGCAACCCGACCCAGTGGACCAACCACAGGGCCCAGTAGTAAATTGACACCCTTTCGACGAAACTCAGCGCCCATGTGTGCGCCACGTTTCTTTGCAAGATCTTTGTTCCAACTAGTCAAATAAATGAGCGAGATGAGTAAACAGTGCAAGAAGTAATCATTCGTACCTGGCTCCCACGTGAAGCCCACTTGGCCAGCTGTTGACGAAGTCGGTTCCCCTCTAGAGATCTATCGTCAGTGAAATGAACTAGATCGAACTGAATGCAAAAAAGACTCACTAGTCCATTCCCAGCATCAGAGACGCAGAAACCAGGGAAACCGAGGCGTTCAATCGGTGCAATATTCCCAGAACATCCATTTTCGACAGATACTCCGGCAGTCAAGTTCACCTTCTCTTCAGCAGATAATTTGCCAACAAACTCCTTGGCCTTTTGGTAGGCGGATTCCCAATTACCAGACCCTGTTCCTTCGGCTGGATACATAACTGTTAGTAGAATGAATCAACCTGGGAATGGGGACGCGACATACGAGAAGGATAAACAGGTGGCGATTGTCCGTAGAAGTGAGTGTCGCTCGTTATGTTCTCTGCATGGACCGAGAAGCTCAAGAAGAGGAGCGATAGACCTAGGCAGTAGGTCTTGAGCCCCATGTTTGCGTCTGTGTATAATTACCAGCTAGCACTAGCTTGAGTGTGGTCGAGGTTGGGGCTGGCTCATCAACAGCGAGCGATCTGTCAATTTATAGACAACCTCCGCTCGGAGAATTCAGATGGGAATTCCGAGACGGAAATGTCACGCTTTAAGTAAAGTTTAGACTTTCCTAGCTCATCCTCGGGAAGCACTAGACCGATGCAATATCATTTCAGATATTATCAGAAGAGTCGGTTGCGGACAACCGAGGGGCGGGGGAAGGGGAGAAAAGGTGAGGTACAGCCGCGATGTATCTTCAGATCAAGCCGTATCCAAAGTACCAAAATTGCGGGGAAGTTCTTCAGAATCGAAGAAAGATAGCAAAGAGAAAGCAAAAAAGGCAGTTCAAAATTGCGCGGGAGGAGCAGACGCGATCCAGAACGGCGCGTTCAACACGTCCACATTCCAGAGCCAGATCATATCTGCAAGGGGAAGCTCTGTAAGCGATGTGATGCAATTCGACCCTCGTGGTTCAATTCTCGCGATGTGTGACATAGTAGAGTACCACTGAGGAGTCGTAATTTGAAAGAATCCGGTAGTTAAAAGGGTCGATCTGTGAAGCACGGATGTTTCTGGGGTGGTATCAAGATTTGTTGTTTGCTTTGCCCTGTTGTACTAACTATAAAACGGGGCTGTTTCCCCCGCTTCCCCGCAACATGTGGGGCCATCCATGGATACTCTCCTTAACTATTTCTACCGCACCGATCGCAATCGCATAGACCTGCTATAAATTAAGTAAGATGAGGCAGTAGAAATATTGCAGTATGCAGTAATCAATACTCCTGGGCGGTAGATGTGGAATAAAAGTTTTCTTGAATTCCGCCCGTGGACCTTGAACCTTGGAAGGTTCGATCAGCCCCGGGCGGAGTAGGCTAGATAACTACTCCTGGTAGAGCAAGCGGCACATACTAGTACTGTTTTTTCAAGCTCCTATAGCCAAATGCCAGTGGTGAATTCAAGTTATTGGATCAATGGGGTGGTAATTTCAACAAACGGCTGCTTACTATGATGCAGCTGATCAGTTCGGGACCGCTTCCAAGCTTCTTTGATACTAGTACCTAGGTATGCAGGTCTATTCAAGCTCAATGTTGATGGGCGAGTCCGATGAGGAATATCCGGTGGAGGACGGTGCCTGGGTGGTAACGAATTCGAACTAAAAGAATAACCTTCGAAGTAATACTAGTTTTGGTTTATCGTCTCAGGTGTTGACTTTATTCAGTCCCGATTCCGACAAAGTTCAAGAAAGTCGAAAAACAAGAATAAGTTAAATCGCCACTCCTGCGATGTTGAGGATTTAATCTAGTCTTTATCGCATGCAAGAATGTCTAGTCCCCTCGGATGTACAGTGCGGTGAATGGTGAGTGCATAACGCGAGAGGTGGTCGTATCCGTGGATTGTAACATCATAAGAGCAAGCGAATTTTGCGACGAACATGGGAGAATATAGTAGGTGGAACTATATTGGGATTTACAGTCCACGGGCCGCTGAAAATTATCTAGTGATCCGGTGCAATTGAAGGAGAGGAAAGGCAATTGCAATTTATGAACGAAGGGGAAGATCAATAAGTATTTTTAGCTGGTAGGAGATTTTCCCCCAACATGGAGCTTTGAAATTTCCTAGAAACGCTTTCCGGCCAGATTTAACCCAGTTTTAAAAGAACATTCAACGTTATCGAAAATTGCGAGCGAGCGCTCGGGTACTAGCAGCCTCATTGAAAATGGAAATAACCCGGTGGTCTCAATGCAACACCCAAGAATTAGCCGTCATTTAGCCCCAATAGACGTCCTATCTTGATATTTAAGCAGTTCAAAAATTGTGTCAGAAATCAAGGCATTGGTTATGCATTAGTAGATTTTTGAGAGCCACAACCATATTTGTGGCGTAGTGCTCTGACCTCTCAAAGACGCCACCATCGTCCGGTAAGATCACCACCCGGGCCGCTCGGCAGGATGCCGTGCGTAAAAGCTGATTTCCTTGGTGGCGCCGCCATGTGGCCTATGGTAGGCGAGCCGATTCGTGAACAATAGCTTACCTTCATGGGTGGTTATGATTCTCTTAGGCTGGTCAATATTCGGGTGCAAACAAAAAACGATATGGCTGTAACTATAAGCCTTTGGTCATCAGGGCAGATATTCATCGACCTGTTAATTTACGCGTACTCTGTAGTACAAAATGATGTATTACAGTCTTTCTGGGGGGGTTTGAATCACGGACGAGTCGAACCGGCTGCGTAGCCTTCACGTATAATCTGTGAATTACCTAGGTAGGTACATTGTGTGATTGATTCTCCATGTACAGGGGTCGGAAGCTACTGCTTATCGAGATTTAATTGACCATATTTAGCAGCACAGCTCGGATAATTCCCATCGCTGGCGTCGCGTGTTTGATTTCACCATGCTGTCATATTATTCGCGCCCACCTCACTTCTTGAGACATGACACAACCATTGATCCGGAAATCGTATGAAAGATAGCTCTACTCCGTAAGAAACTTTAAATTGAGAGAAATTTCAACCTGGCCATTCACTGCCAAGATCAATAGACTGCCTCTCATTTGCTTCCGGCGGGATGCATAGTGTCTCGGGATCGGTGGCCGATTGACCAACGCATAACCATACGGAGTACTCTGTAGTGAGTGAGCGAATCCAAATTCTGCCGTTAATTTATCAACATCCGAACAAATTTCTGGCACGAATCACCCCGGTAGAATAACAGGCTATTGTCGGTGGCCATGACGTCGGCATGCCGATCGGTGGTCCCTGAACAAACAGGCAATCTTTCCATCTTCGATACTATGTTGAACCCAACACGACGCGACATGGCACAATTACGTGTATAGTGTTCTAGATGTCGTCTATAGGCAAATTATTCCTGTTTTCCTCCACAGCGACCAGAGCTCAACCTCTTGGTAGAGAGAGACTTTTGGAAGAATCTCGGCAAAGATGAACTGAAACCTTACCTGTCTCAAACCGACTCGGCGGCTAAATGCATCTCGCCTTCGGTTAAAAGAGTGGCTGCAACCGAAGCCGAAAGACCCCGCAATTCCTCCGACTGGCTGGGGAAGTCTGGAAGACAGGGGTGCTCCGCCAATGACGCCGCCCGCTTCCCCAACTTCTGCCCCAGAATCCTCCTCCAGGCCATTCCTCCACGTTCCCACATTTCCCCCGGTCGATCCCTTCCACGACGGGTCATGCCCCGGCTCAGAAGTGGTGCGATCTCATTCCGCCACAACCGTTTGTTGGCGTAGTTAGAGCTCCTTCTCAAGCCCTTCCCGAACTGTGCATTGACCGGTGGAACCGATAATGTTGACTTATAAAGCTACCTTGGGCTGCAGAGAGGTTTGAAAGATCAACTTCTTTCGAGGCCCGCTGCCAAGATGTATCGAATTACGAATATCTACGGTATTTCTCATCGATTTCTCAATCACTTAATCCAAAAATTAATGCTAACCTGTGACTAGTCCTCGCCGCGTTCGGCACCATCGGCGGAGCACTCTTCGGCTTCGATGTGAGGTACGCGAATCATTCAATTGACTCAAGGGTTGGACATCACTGACTCGGTACAGCTCGATGAGTGCCTGGATTGGCATTGACACATATACCGAATTCTTTGGGAACCCGGATTCCAATCTTCAAGGAGGAGTATATTAGCCTTCAACTCTCAAGATATTCCAGCGTACCAAGCTAACCTCAATATTTCTAGATCACTGCTTCTATGTCAGCCGGTTCATTCGCAGGCTCCATTGCAGCCGGCTGGTTATCCGACTACCTTGGCCGTCGCGGCGCGCTCATGGTCGCCTCTCTCGTCTGGATTGTTGGGTCTATGGTACAATGCAGTGCACAAAACGTCACACATCTTGTCGCTGGTCGTGTTGTTAGTGGTCTCGCAGTGGGAGTCACTTCCTCACAAACTTGTGTTTACCTATCCGAATTGGCCCCGGCAAAAATTCGTGGTCGCATTGTCGGTATTCAGCAATGGGCTATTGAATGGGGTATCTTGATCATGTACCTCATTGCCTACGGTTGCTCGATAGGTGTGGCAGGTCCAGCTGCCTTCCGAATTTGCTGGGGTATTCAGGCTGTCCCCGGTCTGATTCTCTTTATCGCACTATTCTTCTTCCCTGAATCACCTCGCTGGTTGGCCAGCAAGGAGCGCTGGGAGGAAGCCCTTGAGAACCTTGCTCTGATTCATGGCAATGGCGATCGCAATGACCCCGTGGTACAGGTTGAGTTCGCAGAAGTTCAAGAGGCCGCTAGAATTGCGCATCAAGCAAAGGACATCTCGTTCCTTGCTCTATTTGGGCCGCGTATCTGGAAGCGGACCATGTGTGGAATGAGTGTGCAAATGTGGCAGCAGCTGCTTGGAGGCAATGTTGCAATGTACTATGTGGTATACATCTTTGAGATGGCCGGAATGGTAAGTCACCTCTTTCTTTTTAGCAAAGAATCTCAACTAACATTAGTAGACTGGAAACACTACTCTCTGGTCTTCGGCTATTCAATATGTCATCTTCCTGGTTACTACCGGCATCATGCTCCCATACATCGATCGAATTGGTCGACGACCTTTGCTCCTAACTGGCGCGGTGACCTGCATGGTTATTCACTTCGTGATTGCTGGTGTTATGGCTAGCAGGGGCCACTCGGTCACCAATGTCAATGGAAATTACAACCTGACATGGTCCATCAAAGGCAGCTCTGGAATGACTGTTATTGCATTTTCCTATATCTTCACCGGTATATACGGCTTTACTTGGGTATGGACTACATTCAAATCTTCCAAATTCTCCGTCATAGTAACCAGAGACAATAGGCACCGGTCGGATGGATCTATGCATCCGAAGTTTTTCCACTCAAGTACCGTGCTAAGGGCGTTGGTTTATCTGCCTCGGCAAATTGGATCTTCAACTTTGCACTGGCTTACTTTGTCGCACCAGCATTCCACAATATCCAGTGGAAAACATACATCATTTTTGGAGTATTTTGCTGTGTTATGACTTTCCATGTCTTCTTCATGTATCCCGAAACAGCTGGTCGCTCACTGGAGGAAATTGATGCAATCTTTGACTCCAATGTTATGCCGTGGCGCACCAATCAGATCGGGAACAGATTCGGAGAAGAAGTCGAAAAGCACAAGCAAGCCAACGAAAAGGCTGGCAGGGATTCCATGAGTGCCACCCATGAAGAGGTGGTCTGAACTACTTCACTTTTCAGCTATTCATCAGTATTTAGAGTCTTTTATAGACAGAACGATGAGAATGAACATTCCTTAGAATAGACATGATTGATCCTGGAGACTATTTTGACCGTAACCTTGATGTTTCATGATTGCAACCTTTTCAAGTATCAACACTTGGCCTCAACTATTTCCAAACTCTACAATTGACGAATCATTCCTGTGAATCAAAGATGCAAGACAGCACCCGCGGTGGGCTTTCTCATCAGTGGAGTCTACCGTTCGTAGACAAGAGCTTATTGCTTGGTGTTGTTGCTTAATCGGGATGAACGAGTAGCTATAGTTGAGTGAAGCATGATCTCCTCAATATTCAAATTTTACAAGGCAAGATTATGGATCATCAAGGGGATCAAATTAATTATAGAACGTCGGTCAGATATGGGTATTGAAGACTGATCTCGAAAGTAATAAGGTACAAAATAAAACAAGGGCATTTCTTCGCGCCCAGCACATAGTAAGTCGTGATGATCATCACGGAATGCCAAATATCCCCTCGTATATCGCAAGAAAATTCCCCACGATTCTCTGACCCCGCATTATGTATGGGCGTCATGACCTTTTGTAAGGTTTATTTCTCCTCGCTAGTTGCTGTATTGTCGTCGCTATCTTTCTCGGCATGTTCGCGGTGAGTCCGGGCAATATTCTTGTTGTTCGGGTTGGAAAGAACACTTGCACGACGAACTGCATCATCCTCGACATCATCCAGAGTACGAAGAAGTTCACCGTTGGGGCCGTACATGTGAGGTTCGGTACGGGCAATATGAACGACGTCGAAAACGTTTGTAGTCTTGTGGAAGATACGATCCATCTCCTCCAGGGAGCGCATGGTAGTCTCTGGGAAGAAGAAGTACACAACAGGCACAATTGCGGCGTTACTGGAGACGTTAGCGGGGGCTTTTTGTGTTATAGTAATATAGAAGGACTTACATAACAGCGAAGATGACATAGGTCTTGTAGCCGATAGTGCTGAAAGCAACTGGTGTGATCATGACGACCATGAAATTCCAGATCCAGTTGGATGAAGTTGAAAGAGCATTGGCCGGTGCACGGATCTTGAGAGGAACAATCTCCGCGGGTACAGCCAGGTCATTCCCAGCCAACCAATAGCGAAGAAAGTGTTGAAAACAAACAAAAACACCGTCTGGGCGATACCGGCAGCGACACCTGTAGAATTACCCTTGTTGGAAGACGAGATTGAATCGCTGATGGCCAGGACAGCCATAGAAACTGACATGCCAACAGCACCGAAGAGCATAAGCGAGCGACGACCGAATTTCTCAATAGTGAACACAGCGACCCAGGAGGCGGCAAAGTACTCAGTTCCGTTGCAGGCAGCAATAAGACGTGAGTTAATTCCACTGAGACCAATTTGCTCCTCGATAATAGTAGGGATATAATAGGTGATCAAGTTGATACCGGAGATCTGCTGGAACATCTGGTTGACGTAGGCAAGCATGGTACGGTGGAAGTGACGATCAGGGCCCATGGTAAACATATCGCGGAATGATCCCTTGGCCATCTCGAGGACAGTAGCTTTAATAGCGATAAACTCGGTGTCAATGAAGACTTCATCGGTATCATCACCCATCAAGCACGCTAAAACCTCACGGGCCTCGTCCTCGCGACCCTTCAAAATAAGCCAACGGGGAGACTCGGGGAGGAACATGACGAAAGCCAAGATGATGGCAGCGAAGAAGATCTGGAAAGCGAGCGGGAAACGCCAAGCGACCTCATTGGGATCGGCGAATAGTAGACCGAAATCGATCCAATAACTAATGGTGATACCACAGGTGATCATAGCACCCTCAATCATGACCAGTTGACCTCGTCGGTGGGACTTGCAGCATTCGGATTGCCAGGTGGGGACTGTAGATGTGTTGATACCGTTTCCAAAACCAGTGACCAGACGACCAACGACGAGCTGGGCGAGCTCGTAAGATGTACATTGCAGGATCGCGCCGATGCACATAATGAATGAACCGAGGAAGATAGCCTTGCGGCGACCCAGCATGTTACCAACCCAGATTGTGGGAATAGATCCGGCGAAACATCCCAAGTTGTACGCAGCGACGGTGATGCCCTGGCGAGTTGACTGATTGGATTTAGCCGCAGCTGACCAGCCATCGGTGTGAGCTGCCGTAGTATCAATCGTGGGGAAGTATTTTCTGAAAGAGTCGAGAGTAAGAAGGCCACCAGTCACGCCTTGATCGTAACCGAAAAGCAAGAAATCCATACCAGCCAGGACACCGATAGCGACCTGAAGCTGGGTGCCATTGAGGCCGAGAAATCGTTTGGTCGGCATGTTGACGTAGCAGTCGCTCGGTTGTTCACCTCGGAGGTGCAATGGCCTTTTGCTTTATTTTTTATTCAAAAGCTCTTCCCTTGTCGAGCCAATCCAGTCGGTAATAAAGGGAAAGGAACAGAAAAGAGATTTCCTAATAGAATCAGACAACAGCCAACATCTAAGAGAAAAAAAGACAAAAAATGATCATCGAGACCGGGGCCTGGTCAGTTTTAAAAGCCCGCTGTGCATCCCCATCCATCTAGCCATTCGGGGACCGTGAGTGCGCCCCAGAACTCGGGTTCCTTTGTTTGTCTGGTCAGGAGTTCCTTTTCTTGTCAGCGGCAGGACATGATTCGAAAAAGACGCCCTGAACAGGGTCCACTTCCATCACCGATTCTCCATATTCATCGGCAGTGTGGGCCATGGTTGGCTCATACCCCAAGGTCAACTCCAGGTCTGCACAGACACTTTGCGGACGAATGTGCCAACGGCCCCCAGTATCCTGATTCATCTCTCGTGTGGTCTTCCAGGCCACGCGAAGGACCGAGTCACCAATAGGAGATAGCTATGCCGGGCAGCGGGCGATGGTTTCCGGGTTCTCCAGGTACGGTTAGCACAGTTCAAGGCTTTCCTGCCGCGTCTCCAGATAAAGCAACGCCCCCGCCGATCATTGTGGCCTCTCAGCTTTGAGCATCATGAGGCGGAGTGGAGCTTCTCCTGTTGGTTGCCTCCGCGACACCTCCGAGGGACCGACAAGGAATAGCCAAAAAATAAAATTCGATCCGCGATCTGTGGGCCTCGGGGGGAAATTGTCACCCCAGAATCAGCACACGAGTCGTTTTGATGTAGAAAGTACTGCTGTTATGGAATATAGATTACTGTGATCACATTTCTCTTGCTGAGGCTACTATTAACTGCCACTACAGACATAGCTTATGCAAGAAAAAAAAGATGGTCTACGTAAAACGAAAATAGGGGGCCCAGCCGAGATGTCACTGTTTGTACACAGTAGGGCCTGCGTAACTCAGATCGCCCTCCACGAATCAAATAATTCCCGAGATTAGATGCACTAAATGCCTTTAATCTCCAGAGCTCCAGAGTAATACCACTGCTAGTCAACGGGTTCAGTTCCGTTACGCCCACCGGATGAAGTCGTGAAGTCGTGAACCCGAGACGATCCAAACGCAAAATGGCGCCTTGGCGCCTAGAACGCCTCCATGAGCTTCGCATCTCTTAAGTGGTCTTGTCTACAAAACAAGCTCTCGATAAGCCATGCCCAGAGAAGGCTTCTCTTGACCTCTTGCCTTGGCCCAGTTCAACTTACCCCTGTCCAGATATGATAGTATGTGTGGTTTGAACCTTGAGAATCCGTATACACAACCAGGGGAACGGATAGCTACCGAGGATCCCGTCGGCTCCTAAACCTGCTTCCATCCGCCTGGTGGGCGGTGGCGTTCAGCCCCCTCATCGTACCATTCGCGGGTCAGGGCGCATCACATCAAGCATGGACAGGCTAGACTTCGGCCAAGAAACCCCATACATTGCAACTGCCACCCCATCGTCAAAGAGAAACAAATGTGTAGGCAAGGACTGCCTCCTGGAGCAACATAGCCTGTGTTCTCCTCAAAATAAACCGCGCTAGCATTTGCTCACAAGCCGAATGTATCCGCCGACGTCCCTGAGTGGCTAGTACTGCGTCACTTTAACCTGTGTCGCTCTCCCCGCTACGGTTACGACCGAATCCTGGGGGATAAACAAAGCGACTTACTCAAGAAGGCAGTTCCGGGCATGTCGCATGGCACACAAGTCCCTCCACTTCTGCTATCCCGCGTCGCGCCCGACCTCAGCTAGTTTCACCTGCTGTTTACCCGCATGGTAGCTTAATGCACGCCATGCGTTGACTGATCTCTAACATGCTCTCCATCTCTATTTCCCCTTTTAAATGCGATATTCTAGAATAGACCTTCCCCACGTCGCCTGATCTTTCGACCAAAGTCTGCGGCAACTCACGAGGCGCCTCCCGCCAGCCACTGAGGTCACTTAGCATAATCCAAAAATCGCGACCTCCGTGCGAAGGTTTGCTGGTCAAGCCATGGCGTGTGGATCATTGACAACCGGCCCCCCAGGCCGCTTTGGTCTGTGCGGTGTCGCAAGGGCCAAGTCTGCGTGTTACCTGCGCAGAAATATCCCCCATCGGAGACCTCATTTCGGTCTCGCAGGAATCAAAACTATATTCTTGATTCAATTTCCAAGTTAGTAATGATGAAAAACCATCATCGGCCTCCATATGTATAGTATTAAAAACCCCTGTCTTTGTAAATCCACCGTCCAAGGTCCACAGTAAACCACTGTTAAAATAGCTGTGAACAATACTAGTACTATATAGATCGATGTTTTCAAAAGATGATTTCGGGTATACATCATGATACAGCCTTATGCGCACTCCATATAGAGTAGATTACATATGGCGTGTTATTTTAGACGTCGCAGGACCACACGTTGGTCCATGTGTTTTCTGTTTCCTCGGAAGTCGGATGTGATGTGGGCTGCCCCCCTGCGTCGACGGTGAGGTCGTAGGGTGCCCGGCTACGGCGCACCGTACATATTTTGCTTAGAACACGCATTTCTAACCCAGATCAAGATATTATTGGTTTGCAGGTGGCCTAATCTCACGGCTCTTCTCTTCTGGAAGATGAGGCTCGGTAATTCCCAGATCGACGGGGCGTTGTGCGCCCGCATCATGTCCCCTTCTGGAGCCAGCCACTTGAAGGTGCATAATCCTTTCCCTGATGCCTGGATGAGATAGTACTCATCAGATGCAGTGTCAGGATTCAGTGTTACTAAGTATACTGTATGATATGGGGCCAGCCCCCATAGGTTCGGGGCTATGTGGAGTTGAGCATGGCCTTCTGCAAGGGCGTGCGGGCGCAAAACGCTCCACTTCGCACTGCCGAGGAGTTCACCGCTTGAAGCATCGTGTTTCTAGAACACCGATCGCACAGCTCACCAAAATTAATTGGGCTTCCTGAGATTCGACTTGGCATTATATAAACCGGGCGTTCGATGGGAGGCACAACGGCCTGAGCAGACCGATAGGACTTAGGTGCCATCCGTCGATGATTTCATGGAAGTCTACAAGCACTTATAAATTTGAAAATTGCCAAGTCAGGCCCATTCGAAAGGATTTAATGATAGTGGATAATAATTCCCATAGGTACTCATACTACCTAGGTCCCTTGAGAATGCTCATCGAATTTTTATATCTAGTTATTCTATTGAAAGCCTCATCCCGACACATAAGTGCCCCTTACGAGCTACGAGAAATCAGGGAACTGTTCCAAAGATTGCCCCAAGTGGGTCGGTCAAGATCAGAAGATGTCGGCCAGCCCGGGGATGCACATCCGACAACCTTGACCCAGGATTCTCAAGCAACATTCCAAGGCAACACGCTCATCCATGTCGTCGGGACCCCTTTTGAATCGCTCCGTCTGAGCGCTCGAATTTAAACTCTATAGCCTCACCCCTTTCCTTTCCTTCCTCTTCCAGTAGAGCTGGCAAACGTAGCACAAAGTCCAACGGCTTAAGGTACCGCGAGCCGTTACCGGGATAACAGTCCTGATAATTGTAAGACCCGATTCGATCAGATAAAATTTCGTGTAGGGCGACACATTTCGTAGTCAAGTAGTGACAAGCTTTACAGGGATACCGACAGAGCTCATGGGGGCCTTAAATATCGTGAGACTATCAGAAAGCCTTTGAATTCTCTACGGAAAGATTGATCGGTTTCCATCTGCGACGGTGTGCGTGAATGTTTTTCGTTCCTAGACCAGGTTGATTTAAATGAAATACTAGGCAATCGAGGCTAGGTGACAAAATTTAGTCACTGCTATGTTGCATGGTATAGGGTAACACAACCAATGGTCGAGCTCGCCTCATATCGAGACAGCGGAGATGCCATTCGATTATTTCAACCTCTAGGAACCGAGCTTCACGGGAGATGATAAGGGGCAAGATCTCAAGTCTGTTCGATTCTCAATTCCCCCTCGCGCCTCATAGCCCTTGATGAGTTCTGATTTCTAAAAAAAATCAGGATAATAGAGCTCGTTAATACTTGAAAGTCCAAAAAGCCATAGAATTTTAAAATCTTTGTAGGTGCGTTGTGTGCTATATGCCAGGATACTGGTACTGATGCAAGTAGTATTATTCAACGTCGTCATATGACATGACGTGGGTTCTATCCACGGAGTAATTTGTTTCTAAATAAATCTCCGTAAAGACATAAATTAAATTTAAGCGAGCACATAAACCAGTGAATAAGCGAACCGGCACCGGGTGGAATGAAGGGATGACTCGCGACAACGCGGACATGTTCAACTGATAAGAGCTCAAAACCCTCACTCTCCTACCAGAGGAAATGACCACAGGTTTAAATGAAAATGAATCTTGAATCGGGAATGAACCAAATCAATACTAGTATGAACAGAATAGCAAAAGCAACAGGTCATGCTATAGTGGGCTTCCTAGTCCATAAAAACTCCGCATGCCAAACATTCAACAAAGGAATGCTTAGGAGCTTTAACACGTACGAAGTTGATCACACAAGGCATCCCTTGTTAAGATATGGTTGCAGTTAATTTTAAGGTTGCATTATCGCTACATGGAAACGGACATCCACGTCCATGGTCAAGCTTAGCATTCTACTCTCCGCAACATACTCTTCGAGAATTGCCTCCGGATGTGCCGATTATCTTGACAAAAAGGGGTTTCAGTCTAATCGGAGACTAGGAAATCTTGCACCTGGTTAATGGCAGCCAGTTCGGAAATGAAAGGTTGCCAAGATGGCTTTATGGAGTCTCGAGATGATATTCCGTTGAAAGAGTCCGGAAGCGATGGTGTTCTTGATGAGCAGAAGGTGGAATACCCATCGCCGACCAAGCTAGCGCCTATAATTCTAGGTTTATGCTTTCAATCATTTTGCATTGCTCTGGTAAGCTTGCCACCAGGTTACACCAATTATGGAACTTGAAGCTGATAAATGTCGGAAATAGGACAATACAATCCTGTCAACCGCGATCCCCAAAATCACAGAAGAATTCAATTCTCTCGAAGACCTTGCCTGGTATGCGAGCGCATATCTGTTGACGACTTGTGCAGTAACCCTCCCTTTCGGCAAAATATACACCTACTATTCAACGAAATGGACATACATCATCGCTCTTGGGTTATTTGAGTTGGGATCTTTGATATGCGCAGTGACACCGACGTCGAAAGGCCTGATCCTTGGAAGAGCTATTGCGGGAGTTGGGTCAGGTGGACTTTCTCCGGGCGCTCTCCTTGTCCTCGCAAATAGCTTGCCTTTGCATCGCCGTGCTCTATATTTTGGAATAATTGGTAGCACCAGCGGTATCGCGACCGTGACTGGTCCATTGTGAGAAAATCATCAAAGCAAAAACTCCTCAGACTTTTGACTAACATCTGGACAGGCTTGGCGGACTGCTAACTGACCATGTCAGCTGGCGATGGTGCTTCTATATCAATCTCCCTCTTGGAATACTCACCGGATTATTTATAATATTGTTCTTCAAAGACTCAAATAACACCCAAAGAAAGCGCGAGCCTGGGAAAATAAACCAAGTCAAAAGAATGGACCCTTGGGGAATTCTCGTTTTCATACCAGCTATCATATCGATATTGCTCGCCATGCAATGGGGAGGGACGAAGTACGAATGGAAGGACCCGCGGATCATCATTCTGTTTGTGATATTTGGGGTTTTTGGCTCCGTATGGTGTCTGATTCAATTTTGGAAGCAAGAAGAGGCCACGGTTCCTCTCCGTTTGCTGAAGAATCGCAATGTTCTTGGCGCCGTCATCCATGCGATGTTTCTGGAGGCTCGTTCTTTGTATTTGGATACTATGTGAGTTAAAGTGTCGAATACTGTTATGTGACCAAAAATCTAACCGATTCAGCTCCCCATTTGGTTTCAAGCAATTGAAGGAGAATCAGCATCAGAATCCGGAATCAATAACCTCCCCATGGTGGTATCGATGATAGTATGTTCAGCGATTGGAGGATTGCTGGTCAATCTTCTCGGGTATTATACACCTCTCATGTTTCTCGGAAGCGCACTCCTCACAATCGGGTCGGGACTATGTACGACATTCCAAGTTCAGACATCACACGAAAAAATGGATTGGCTACCAGATTATTATAGGGATCGGAGCTGGGGTAGGATTTCAACAATGCATTAATGCTTTGCAGACGGTCCTGCCATTGCATGACATACCGATTGGAATCGCAATCATTACTTTCTCGCAAAGCCTGAGTGGTGCACTCTTCATCTCAATCGCCCAAAATGTCTTTCAAAACCGACTAATGGCAAGCTCCTCGAAAATGCCCCCATGGTTAACCCTATTTCTGTCATCCGATCCGGAGCCGCAAATTTGTCACATCGGCTTCCCAAGGAGGCTCTTCCCTCGGTTCTTTTCGCATACAATATCGCTGTGACGCAGACATTTTACGTTTGTGTAGCAACAGCAGCTCTTTCATTCTTTGGGGCGTTATTGGTGGAATGGAAATCCATGAAGCGTCAGAAAATCAACTCGGAGTCTGAACAATGAGGCAATCATTCAATATTGCAGTCTCGAAACTCCAGTTATCGATGCTGAGACTTGACCAACATCTTCACCCACATGTATCGGCTATTTTTATTGTGAATAATTATCAGCTTCATAATTAAAATCAATCAACTTCAAATAACGCATTATTTTGACAAATGACGTTCTAGTATATCATTAAGAGCACTACTGGGATCATATCCCCTGGTTTGCAACATATGATCAGATAGTATAGCAAGTTATTACATCATGCAACAAGACTCAGGGCTTGAATTGCCGTCAGAAACTTGAACATTAGCTGTAAGCTTCCGAGGGCTGTCCGGAGAGCCGAGATTACTAGTCCCCTCTGCTCCCGCCATATTTTGATAACTGCCAAATTGTCTCCTCAGCCACATGGCACGCTCCTTCCAGTTGATTTCCTTGAAATCAGATTGGTAATCGGCCAAAATGGAGTCAATGCGATCCAGCTGATAGGCGTCTTCTGCTGCAGCCCAAGCAACGACGAGACACAATGCGATATAAGCGGCACCAAGTGGTCGATAGCAAGAGGCAAGCTCGGCTTCAAGAACGATCTCATCGCAGAAGAAAGCCGCTTCGGCAGATAACATGAGGTTGTCCGGATGGAATACACGGAGGAGCGTATTCAACATAAGACCCAAGGTGATCAAGGTAGCGTATCCGGCTTGGTACCGCGAGCGTTGCATCACTACAAGGGAAGACATAACTGTATATCCCGAGACAGGCCAATTATCAAGGTATTCGCGCATTCTTTGGGAGTCATTTCGAATCCGCAAGTAGGCCGCCGCAATTTCAGGTAGGTCTCCCGGAGAAAGATTTCTGATCCATTCCGGAAATTTAGCGATCGTGGGAAGTTTCGTCGAAGACCTAGGTATTTCACTCCGTTGAGAAGATACCGGCGTGTTGTCGTTAAGGTCGGAAACTAATTGAAAGAACTTCGGCTCCATCTTGATTCGTGGATTGACAATAGCTTCGATTATCTGTATCGGTTAGCCATAGTACCGGTTTGGCCACCTCAACGTGGTAAAATAATAAATATGATAATTGAAACGCCAGTCCTTTTACATACCACTGGTACGGTCAATGTGATTATGATGTCTCGCTCAAAATTGCTTTTTATTTGAGTGAAATCTGCCATTCTCAATAGATGAGCAATGGCTTCCCCATGGCTGGCCAGTTGATCGTCATATTTCCCAAGCCAGCTCTGTAAACTAAATTAGCATTGACTGTGCCTCAAGATAGATGGGAAATTTTAGAATTTCAATATACCTGGCAAATAGTGATGAGATAAACCGCACACAGGGTATTAACCGATCGAGCTTCAATGTCATCATCCAGAGTATCTCTCAGGGAGCGGAGAGATCGTCCATAGTGCATAAGCACTTCTGGCGGGAAATCTCTACTGTGAAAGTATGGATAGGCAGTGACCAATGCTTTGACAGCGGCATCAAGGGCGGCACTGCTCCCCAGACGTCTCGGAATATCCTTCAAGAAGTAGCCGTAATACTCCAGTGCGTATCGAATATCGGTTATTTTGAGTGTTCCAATGAGAGATGAAGCTAGCTCGCTATCGGGAATATGCATCGTGATTTGGAAACTGGCTGCGGCTCTAACTGAAGGTACAACGACCCGACGCTTCCCGACAGCCGTTTGGCCAGTGGTTGATTTGGAATCGGCATGCTTGAACTTAAATCGCTGTTTGCCACTGCCGACACAAATTATCTGCAGCCGACGGCATCGAGAGCAAGGCTGAAGCTCATCGCACTGGTCTGTGCATCAGCTTGGGCTTCCAATAGTAAAGCCATTGACTAGGTCTTATGTCACCTTCTTCTTGATTTTGCGACAGGCGTCGCATCCCTTACTAGATGGGACACCGGGCATTTTTTTTCTTGAAATCTGGGGTGTCCGGGCGCAACGTTTTACGCGAAAGGGAAGAAATGAAAGAGAGAAAAAAATGGATACGATATTGATCAGCAGTGGCGGCTTTGCAGTGACTATAATCCTTCAAGACGCGTCCACGGCACCCTTGGATAATTTTAAAGGGAATAAGTATGACAATGACGCAATATTAATAGACATTATAAGGCAGATTTGACAGCGTAGAAGCCAAGCCTAGCTGTAGAAACATAGCTGGCTGACAGGTGAAGTTGAGAGAGCTGAAGCTTGGCGGTAGAAACGGCCCCAAAATGTCTTCCAATCATAAACCGCCAATGGAGGCATCGTAGCGACAACCAATGAGCACTTCCCGCGTTTCAAGGCATCTCCCCACCCGGCGCGACATGTATCTCCTTTGGGAAGATCCAAGCCTCAGCTTTCAGGCTTCCAAAATAGAGCCAAGCCTGGCGCAGCCATACATGTGACAAACCGGCCCCAAAATGGGGTATCCTCAGATCAGATAGAAAGCTGTGCGGTAGAACTCAAAAGCAATAAGCTTACCAGTCGCAACCCTCATTTTTTATTCACTCATTCAGTAAATCCTTGGATGAACCCTTTTTTCTTAATTTCTCTTCCGACATGACAACTTTCGTTTCTTTTATAATTCGACCGGCTAAGTGGGATTCAAGTAGGACTTTGGTCCACCCGGCAGGATATCCCATCGAAGCACCACCGATATTTTCAATCACAACATCTAAAGAACGGAAACCTAATGTTGTTGCTTTTTCAGGCTGGGGAGCCGGCCCTTTTGACATTATTGGCGATGGAAATTTTCCAAAATCATTCCATTCTACATGCCACTTAACGCTCCGCGGACAGCCTCTAGAGATGCGCCTGAGCCAATCAGGATCTGGGGAATGCAAATTCGAGCACCCAACGATGGGTCAGATGAAATGGAAGCCAGACATGTTTTCGTCAAGTAAGATGGAACTTCGTGACGGTTCAGGCAGGCGAGTTGCAACGTTCGGCAAGGGAAAGTCGGGCGAAAAGACGCTGGAAATTATTCAAGGCGACCCATACTTCATGGAATTAGTACTCATCTCCGGAATTACGGCGATAAACCTCAACAAAGGGATGACCGAAGTGGTCGGAGAATTATTGGGCGGTGTTCTAGGAGCATAACTGATGCCCTAGACTTGACTAGACAGACGCTTGCGTTCAGCTTTAGCATGGAGGGAGCCTGGGAGAGTGTGATATCACTTTTGATTTTTTGCCCGCAAATCCATTATTTGGCTTACCTATAGCTCATTTTGTCTTACTATTGAGATCTAAAAAATTGTACTAGTATTAGTGATCTTATCTGGATACCAGTAATATATCTGCAATTATTCGGTACTTTGGAGTAGAAACAATACACGGGTAACTTAGGGGCGTGTCCATAAGCTTGAGCATCATTACAGAACAAATTAAGACATGTCTTGATTGGATCCAATTTACGATTTATCTCTTCCATCAATTCCCTCTGAGTTCTATCCTATGGTAATCAAGTCGTCATCAATCGTAAGTGTGCGTTGAATGCCCATTCCGGGCCTCCAAATCACAGATCCTGCTTCTCGCTTTTTCGTTGGAGAGCACTGAATATACCATTCTTGCCTGGTGCTCGGTGTTTGAAATCCTCCTCGATCTCATTGAAAGATCGACCCTTGGTTTCAATCATAAATATGGCAGCGACAGCTGCGCCAATGACGGAACATCCTCCAAACATGAAGTAGGCACCACAGTTGCTTTTGGATAATAGGACAGGAGTGACCAAAGCAACCAAGAAGTTGAATATCCAGTTGCTTGAATGAGCTAGTGTTGTAGCGGAGGCACGGGTTCGCTGAGGCTGTATCTCAGCACTGTAGACCTTGACCGAAACTGCCCAAGTCAAGGAATATATGACTGCGAAAATGTAGATGCAAACGATAACAACCCAGCGTCCTGCACCAAAGGTAGCATGAACAGCATTCCCAGCGTACAGACCGCCAATAAGAAACATAACGAGAGCAAGCCCAAAGCCACCATAGATGATACTGTGTCGCCTTCCCCATTTGTCACAGTAGATCAAACCAGGGATAGTGACGGCGAAGATGACCAGTGCCGAGACACCAGACGCGAGAAAACTAGCTTCGGAGGATTCAAGGCCAGCCTGCTGGAAGAGAAGAGGGGCGTACTGAACGTAAAGTTAGCATGGGATGAAATAGTAGGCAGAGAAAGCCTTCGAGTTTCAACCTACATATAAGACACCATCAATGCCGCTGAGCTGCTGAACGCCCATTAGGAAGACTGCAAGGGCAGTGCGACCCCGGACATCTTTCTGAAAAACTCGAATAATTGATGAGTTTCCTTGTTGTCTGTTTGATCGTTTTCAGCCGGAACTTCTTCCACTGCAACTTGAAGTTCAACTTTCTCACGCTCCGCATGAGAAACACCAAGCATATTCCACACCGCATCTGCCTCTTCCTGGTGACCATGAAGAGTTAGCCATCGAGGAGATGGCGGGAGAAACATAAGGGAACAAGCCGATAGAATCATAGATAGAGATGCAAGGATGATCCACGGGGTTCTCCACGAGAGCGATGATGCGATATTTGATGTTCCGTAACAAGTGAAGTATCCCGTAACAAGGCCCAAAGTAATAAGCAGCTGGGGACCTGTCGTCAAAGGCCCTCTAGTGCTAGTAGGCGAAATCTCACAGATGTAAACAACCAAGTTACCAAGGAAAAGTCCTTCTCCCAGTCCCTCAATCACACGGCCACCTATGAACATGCCCAACGACGTGGCCGCAGCTTCGATGGCTGCTCCGACGCCAAAAATGAAAACGCCAATACTGATGCCTTTGGGGCGACCAAGTTTATCGGCAAGATACCCGGCGAAAAATGAAGACAGAGCCGCAGGAATTAGAATGGACGAGACGATAAGACCATGAATTGTCGCATTTTGACTACCTCCAAACTGAGATTTGAAATCTTTCATATCGGTTACTGGGCCGATCACACCAGTATCCATGCCGAAAAGGAGTCCATTGGCTGAGCAAAGCATGCACGCCAGGATATATGGAGGCGGCATTCGCAAGTAAGGGATAAACCCCATTATTAGGGCTGTGAAAGGTGCCAAGCCTTTCCGTAAAAAGATTTTTTGAAGTCGTGTTTCTGCGAAACAAGTCGTGAAAAAGTGCCGATGAAACGGTCAGATAATCAGTTCAGATGGGAGGTCTGACGATGAACGTCTCGAAATGAAATAGAAAGAGAGAAGAAAACGGTGAATGTGGTGGGCTTGAACGAATTTTTCATCGCCTAATCATTTTCCCCTCCATCCCACACCCACGGGCTGATAGATGTTGTCCACTGCTCCACTCAACCCGCAGCAAAGTGGATGCCATAAAGATAACGAAACAGGAAGGATTTACCGCAGGTGAGATTCTGGACTGGTTCGAAGGCGATAATTCTCGATGGCGCCACTCACATCAATAAGCACTATTATATCGTGAGCGGTACCAATCTCGTTTGAGTAGCAGATAAAATTCCGAGGCGAGATCAAGGTGTAGTAATGCCAAGATGATAAGGGTAAATTCACCGGTCGCAGTGCCTAGGTATGCCAACGTTTAAAGTACATACATGCTGCATGTACACCCAAGGAAAGATGGGCATTGTTGCTTTACCTTGGCCCAACCAGAATTTTGGTTGGTATTTTCTCTGGTTTACTTAGACGGCTATGTGCGGGCAGCTTGCGACTAAAGATTTCGATACAATACTCCGATCCGGATTTTCTTTGGAAAAGAAAAAAAAACCTCCATCGATATGAAGACGCTCACTGACTCACCCCCTAGGGCGTTTTTTTAAGAGTGTGGGGTTTCGAGAACCATCACTGATGGTAATTGTGCTCTTCAGTGACTTGATACTATTGAAGAATGTTGGAAGTCATCACTTTGAAATTCTTCATATCTAAACTTGACAGGCTGTTGAGGGCTGGTGCCTAGGTACCGGCTCCTCAGGCGTCCAGGCCGCCCCTGCCTTAGATAGCTTCGTCTCTCTCTCCGCTTCATATCATCACCAGTTTCGTACATCTGCTTTGTCCTCCTAGTAGTGTGCTGTTGATACAGAGTAGCTAAAACTATCTTCATTTATGTAATCACTCGTTCTTAGAGGACCGCAATCCCGGGAACCCGTTTGTCTTCCATCAACTAGCATCTGGATAGTTCCAATATGATCACATAGAACCATTCCGTGGCGCGATTTATGATAGTCCATCGTAAGAAGGTCGTTCATCCACTGCCCAGGTGGTTCAGGTATTCACAGAGCCACTCGGGGCGCGGCTTATATGATGAGAATGTGTTCCAAATTTCTTTTGAAGTTCTTTGGTTAGAAAAATTATGACGGTCTAACTAATGTTTGGTTGTGAAATTATCTGGCGGGAAGGTAAGATCCAGGTCTGCAGACTCAAAGTCCATCACGAGCGTATCAATCAGCATGCCTCGATCTTAAAATGTTTTGAAATCGGAGCACCCCATTTCCTGTTTGATGCGGCTATTCCCCGACTGGCAAATAGCGAAAAAAAAAAAAAGCTCTGCAAGGCCGCAAAGAAGGACCAGTGAAAGCCCAGCCGCCCACCGCAGCCAAGTTGGCTACGAACAGTGCGTCCGTCATTTACGGGGCCCCAGAGTTGCACGTTTGCATAGAGGGTCGATATGTGGGTTTCAAGAAATGGCCCAGGCTGCCAAGTCAGGAAAAGGTCCACCTCATCCTTGACGGAAATACAAACAATGTAGTCTAGCGTTTTGCAACTATAGACAGCGCGAGTCTCCGCCGAAATTTGATGCTTGGTCAGAAGAAGCAGAGGCAGGCACTTTGAAAAGCTGGCCGTGTCATTCTGAGTGTAAAGTCCGGCCCCACCGTGAACGCATGCCGAATCATGAAATGGCTTTCCACTTAGTTCAAGAGTATTCGAAGGCGGGTTATTGGGAGCATAGAGCACGTGTTCCCGAGGTCGATGGTGAGGTCTCGAAGCTCGAGCGGGATATTCAGAAACCGAGACATGGATCTTTCCAATAATTTAGATGGATGAATGAATTAAAGATCAAAATAATACTAAGTGTTGAAAGGTAAGTGAGGATAGGAAGTCCGCGACTGACTCAGGCTCTCCATATATAGATTTGGCTCCATGCATTTGTTTGGCCCCATCGCTTTCAACTTGAGGTCAAGACTGCCAGTCACCTGGGCATTCATTACCAGTAGGTATTCATTCAAGTTATCTGCCCACGCGGTAGTACGAAAGGCAATTTTGTGACAATGATTTGGCTTTGTGACCATTGAAAGAATTCTTAGGATCAACTGACAGAAGCTAGGAAATAGATAGTGACTGTTCATGCGAATGATGAGATGGCTAGGAGCGAAGAGGGCGCAGTTGAGGAAGGCAATATTGGTGCCTGAGGCATAAATGGCCAACACTAAGCTTCGTTGGCAAATGTGTTGTAATGCAGGTGGTCCTTTCGGTGTTCTGCCTATACGAATAGATTGATGGTCCATGTGACCGCGACTAATCTATTGAGAGATACGGAGTAGAAAGTGGCCTGAGGTCTGTTGAGGACTGGTGCCTAGGCACCCATCCTCAGGCATTCCAGGGCGCGTGCCTGCCTTCTGATGGCTTCTCTCTCTCCCATCCATATCATCATCTCCTCCTCGTCTACTCCGTAGTTCCTGCTAGTATTGTGCCTCCGACAAGGTCAAATAATGTGCCCTTTGCATACCATTTGTTGCGGAGAACGTACCCACAGGGCGCGAAGTAAAGAAATATCACAATTGGTCAATATGCGGTATGAGGCACCACGTGCTGTCAGCCATGATTTAGTTGGGCTCATAGTTTTGCTGCGAAAGTACCATATGGGGGCCATTACCAGCAAATACCGAGAAGCTGACAGGGAATCATCCCTCCTTCCGCCCCGCCCCCTTTAACCAAAACATCGCCAAAGCGGCGTTCTCTGCCGGCTGAGATCATCACGAACTTGAAAGCAACATAGCTCTTCGAAAATTCTCACTGGACGATATACTATGCCGAGATTCTCACAAACCATTATCTGCATTAATCCGCGCCAATGCGGTTGTTACGTAGTAGTAACACCGTCTGTACATGTGCACAGAGGACGGAGCATTGGATAATAGAATGGGATTTTATGTAGTGGGGCATAGCTAACGGGAAATTGCATTAAACGTATTACTGGCGCCGCAATGGGCGTCATAGCTGGGCCCAGGATAAAGGGGAGCACGGACTATCAGCCCTTCCCCAGGCGACCTGGTCCCTTACCTGGACTCCAGCAATTCTGACAGTTTACCCTGAATAACAAAACTCCTAGATGTAACCGGCTTTCTTCGCTTCTCAGACTTTTGCACACATATTTGGGTAGTTTCAGGATGCTAGGCATCGGGTGTTCAGTCTTTGAAAGTCAATACCCACTATCATTTTTGAAATGCCCCGTTTCTGCAAGTTTCCCAGCCTCAAGCATAACATAGCGCCAATCAGTGGAATATGAAATTGGCCCCCATCTGGCAAATTAGGGGCCCCGGAAGGTAACACTCCAGGGCTTCGCCGGTGAGTCTCCAAATACTTTCACTCTCCTCGCTCAACGTGTCTGACTGGGATTTCGCAGTGCATCATCACGGCAGAATGCAGCCATCTCATTCTCTTTTAATGATTTTTGAGCTACTGTCGCTCGCCTCAGTGGGTGCGGGCTATGGCTGCTTCTCGCCCAACGGCACCCAGTCTCCCGATAATGGAAGGAAATGTGTTTCTTTGGATAACACGGCGAGCATGTGCTGTGGTCAGACTGACCTTTGCCTCCCCAATGGCCTCTGCGAAGTTCAAGTCGATCAGAGTGAGAGCATCTACTACCGCGATACGTGCTCTACGCCATCATGGCCTGAATCGGGTTGTTTGAAAGTTTGTGATGTGAGTAGTATACTAATATTCTTCTGAACGCCCTTGATATTGAACAATCTAACAAGCAAATTTATTTCCAGAGCGAGAGCATCGTCGACATCCATGGGAACTCTCAAATAACCCCTTGCGGTGGCTCGAAAAACGCCGAAAAATGGTGCTGCGGTAATTCAACAAGTTGCTGCGGTACAGCAGACGAAGTGATTGTCCCCACAATCAACATCTACGCCGCCACGTCTACATCCACCTCCACCATTGCTTCTACCTCTACAGCCAACACAACGACCCAATCGACCTCATACTCTACCTCAACCACAGCTTCAACCTCGAATTCGACCTTAACCTCGACACCGAAGTCATCGTCGGAGCCGGATTCTCCGGGCCTTTCAATTGGCGCGAAAGCAGGCGTGGGCGTTGGAGTTTCAGCGGGCGCTATTGCATTAATCGGACTACTGGCATTTTTCCTTCGACGACGGGGAAAAAATAAGGATAATATCCCATCTGGAAACACATCCTCATCGGTATTGATGGTGTCACAAAATCCACGAGAGCTCGAGGCCCCCAACTCCTTTCATGAGAAGCCGGCTACCGACTCGGACATGCACGAATTACCCGACAACTCCGGGTCGCAATATATGACATATGGAGGGTGAAGAATCATTCTTCCCATCATTGTAACGATGTGAGATTTTCTCGTTTGATACTCAGGTTATATTGTCATTCAAAGCCCATCGGTCATTTTTATTCTCACGTTAAAAGCTCTGGTAAAGCCATGTCTCCTTCCATTTCATCATTTTCATACCACTCATTATTTATTCGCTGGGGCCACCTCCCAAGTGTGTTCTGATATGATTTTCTTTTTCCAAATGACCGTTCGTCTGGAGGCGCATCATTGACATTGTCAAGATTCCAGGGCCAGGAGAAATGCGCGCCAAAAAGTATCGGCTCTACCCAGTTCAAAGGCCGAAGTGACCACTGACATACGTTCCTCGCCACGTCCCATCTCCCCTCATTTTGTTACATGAGAAGGCTTCGCCATGGGTTTCTATGGATGGTTTTGAAATTTCCCAAAGTACTCTCGAACCCCTAATCATGGATCACATGATAGGAATGGCCGATGGGTGACGATGGATCTACTCTCATACGACTCCGAAAATATCTGACGAGGATAGGTCTTAAGTTTTGAGCAAAGACTCCCGATGATGGAATGGAATTGCCGGGGTGGGAAGATATCGTATCCCAAAGCGCCGAGTCAAAGCTGCTATTCAACTAGACCTGAGCATGTATTTTTTTACCATGACCTACTACGATGTGTTCAGGTTCGCATTTTATGTACATGTATCTACAACTGCCCAGTATTATCGACTTAGATTTGCTAAATTTCAGCTTAGGAGTTCTAAACTGTACCTTTAGTATGACTCAATCTGCTACTGGTACAGTCCCGGGCCGGTTCTTGCGAAAATTAAACCAATGAAAGTCCCCATTTAACCTCGGCTTTCAATTCTAGACAACAGCGATCCCCCGACATGGAGTCTCGAATTCTAGATAAGATTCGTCTGACCCATTGGTTCTGCATCGTATTGATATTTCGGATCAAATCGGGGGGATTAAGGTTCCTAGAAACGCGCAATTATCGCACCGGGTTGTTTTGCTGAGGCGATTACGGGAACTACAGTGCACATCATAGAACAGCCATTCTCAACGATACTATGACACATCTTCGAGGAACATTCTACATTGTGCGTTGTAGGAGGCAGAACCGTTTGAAGTATAAGAATCACTATTTCCGATCGCATTGTTTACATCTCTCGATTAAATAACACAAGTCTTCCGAAGTCCTGATCAGTTTCATTTTTTTTATTCAATTCAAGTGGCACACTCGTGGGTCTTTACCATAAATTGAACACCAAAATTACTACAATATTCAAATATGAGTCAAATAATGCGACCGCTTGGTCTCTCAATAAGAGCTCAACCAAATTCTTTATCCAGATGCAAAGGCCTGGTCATACCGACGTCCCTGAGCCTGGCAATTCGGCAACATTCTACTTCGACACATCTCGCTCAGAAGTCCTCATGGACGCATCCAAGGTTAGTCTACACTACTTGCGTGATCACTTGCTTCTCTAACTCATTTACTTTGGGCAGCTACACAAAAAAGCAAATCGTCGATGTTCAAACTGCCCATCGCAAGGCATCCAACTGGCAAGATAGAGTTGCCCTGAGTACAGTCAAGGTCCTTCGCTGGGGCATGGACTTTGTCACAGGTTACGGATCATATTCACCGATCAGCATGTCTGTCCCGAAGACTCGCACAATGACCGAACAAAAGTGGCTCACAAGATTTATCTTCCTGGAGAGCGTGGCGGGTGTTCCTGGCATGGTAGCAGGCATGCTCCGTCATCTCAAGTCTATTCGGATGATGAGGCGGGATCACGGATGGAAGAGAGACTCCCCTTCTCAAGAAAAATTCTGTTCTAACACACTGCAGGATCGAAACACTCCTCGAGGAGGCCTATAACGAGAGAATGCACCTTCTCACGTTCCTCAAATTAGCCGAACCTACTTGGACTATGCGCTGTATGGTCCTTGGTGCCCAATGGGTATTCTTCAGTGGTTTTTCCCTCGCGTACTCGATTTCACCGCAGATCTGTCACCGATTCGTGGGATATCTCGAGGAGGAAGCCGTCATAACTTACTCGAAGGCAATCAAGGATTTCGATGATGGACATCTTCCTCTGTGGGAGAAACTTGAAGCACCAGAGATGGCAATCAAGTATTGGCAAATGCCGGAGAATAATCGCTGCATGCGGTCGCTTTTGCTCTATGTTCGAGCCGATGAGGCCAATCATCGTGATGTCAACCATACACTTGGGAACTTGAACCAAACCGACCCAAATCCCTTCGCAGCGAAACCCAAGATTGATATTGGACTGCCCACTCTCCAGCAAAATGGACAAGTGAAGAATTGAGTGATAGAGACATAATTATAGAAGGTTGTGACTGCTTTGTGTTAGACTAATTAGAACGCTCAAAAGATATATTGGATTTCCTTTGCCACCTGCTTCAGGTTTTTAGGTTTCGAAATTATGGGTGAGCTGATCGATGATGGTATTGAAATCGTGAATGCAGGATATTTTGAGTGTGCTCAAGCTGCGGAGGGCTCATCGCTTGGACACTAATATCGAACATGAACACAATCCAGGCTCTTTGGCCTCCGGGACAACTGTTTGTGTATGTGAAAAACAAGGGTGAATGATTATCTGGTCTATTACCTGGGTTGTATTGAAGATTCATTTCTGATAATATTGTTCCAAGCTTGAAGCAGTCCAGAATAATATACATAAATATGGTCAACAAAGGCCAATATATGAGTAAATCATGTGACTAAATTAATTTGAATTCACTGAAAACAGCTCACAATCAATTATTCCTAGTGAGGTGCTTCTTCTCAAGCGACGACAGGCAACATTACCCTCGGGAAAACCAGCAACGAGATGGCGAACAAAGGGGACGTGGTGGGTTATGCCCTATGAGAAGCAGTGTTAGACATCACATAGCATGGCAGATGAAAAAACAAAAAAGAATCCATATCGGAAATTTCCGGACATACTTTCCTGATACCCGTCCTCTTTATTCTCTTGTAATTCAGCTCATCCAACCAATGGAAGTGTCTCGGAATCTCTCGGAGGTCAACAAAGGAGATAGAATCCATGGGTGTGGAGTTTGTGGTTTTTGGACCTCAAAGACTTGAAAATCAAGATCGGAAATTGAAGCTGTGGGTGTGAGAACTCGCAAATTCTCAATGTAAATGGTAGAAATTGAACATAGCCTTCTGGACAGCCTTCAATTTGTATTCGATTCGATTTGATGTTTGTGTTCCGAACACTGGGCTGCTCAAAGGCAAACATTATGGAAAGCGGAGCAGATTGTCTGAGAGAGTGTTCTTTACCACCGAACAATAGTCTCAAACTTAAGAACTTGTTCAGGTAGACATTCAGGACACCGTTGAAGCGCAGACTGGAGGTGATGGAGCTGACAACCTGAGCAATGAGGCAGTTCAGGTGGTCGAAGCTGGGGCGGGGGATATCCAGATTGTGACAGCAGATATCACACGGCCTCATTGTCGACCAGAAAGTACAGTCGAAGTTGTCAATGGTGCTATGGGTGGAGAGAACAGCGTTGTAAGGCTCGACGACAGCAGGAGAAATACGGGCGAGGGGTGGATGCAGAACTCGAGCTTAGACTTCTTGTTGATATTTGGATGGGATGCAGGGAATATCTTTCAAGGTAGCGCTCCTTGTAGTCGGTAGCTTGATGTAAATATCCTTGGAAAGTTCTATTTCAACACCTGCCGTCCTAAGATGCAATACTGTTGTGAGGCTATTTTGATACTGGAATGCCTCAGGCAGCCACCAATGCCTTCCTCCGTTGTTGCCTCTCACTCTGTACACCTCTCTTCACATCCTATCGCCACTTTCAAGGTGAACTTTGCTCATGCGAAAGCACAGAACGCCAGAAAAGATAATATTCGCAAACTCGGTCCGAAGATTCCTTCGCGCAGCCCGAGTTCCAAACATCGAACCCAGCGGCACTGCTAGTCCTACATCCACCTCTCTCGATTCGGTTCCACCAGCACTCCCCAATAACTCGGATTCTCCCTCTAATTCACCAAATATCGTGATTTCAACTCTCCAAGACTGAGCTTTGATGGTTCCTAACTCTGGGGTTACTAGTTGACATTCCTGCCTCCCGTCAAAATGTCTCCACGCCGAGAACCCAAAAGCTCGACCCCAATACCCAAGAGCAATAGCCACCGTCCAGAAACCAGCACCCCAACGAGAAAGACCCCTCCTCCCAAACCCGCAAAGAGGAAATGCCCAGCAAAACAGACATATCGAAGCAAGAAACGCACTTTGGCAGCCAGTGTCGATCCACTACAACTCGCAATCAACCGCTCCATACATGTCGTGTTTGTACAAGAAACAGTCTCCGCCCTCAAGCGAGTGCTAGCCGAATTACAACAATTGCAAGGCGTGTACGGCCAATTTATCGATGCAGCGCAGTATCTCGAGGACAATTTTAGTGCACGGTGTGGTGAGGTGGATGCCGAGAATGCCTTTTCCGACGAACTTGAGATACTGGCGCGTAGGGCGAAGAAAACATCGGGCGACGTGCTTCGGTTGCTTGGAAGACAAGAGATTGCGATGGAGGTGGAGAGATGCATGCTTAGTATCGCTGAGAAGGAGCTTGAAAGTGGTCTTTAGGGGTGGAGGGTTTCGATCGAATGTATCGGGGTTGCTGAGATTAAGTTCATCTATGGGAGATCTTCAGCGGGGTAAAAATAAGGTTAAATATCGGACTAAATGAATTGAATTCGCCGAGCCCATTGTTGCCTCACTATTACTAGCACGGAGGACTACTAGTAGAGGTACTGGGTACTTGAAGTTCTCAAACTTTGTAAGTACTCTAGTATCATGATACTAACCTTGGGAAATAAAATACGATCTACTAGTACGTGAACAAAGATCATTGAGTAACGTTGTATAAATATAAGTAATGACGTTAAATATAACGATATCATTAGGCGCATTAGTTCATATCGAATTTCCAATCATCGGGATGCACATGATGGTCATTTAAAACAAAAAAGAAACGTCTAACATCACTACAGCGAGTTCAACAGACCCTCAATCAGAGGAAGGAATGATGAAACATCAGCAATGATGTCAGTGGTATTCTTGACGAACGACTTGCTCAGAAGATCCGCGCCGTTACCCAGGAGAGTCTCAATCTTCTTGATGCTCTCGGGCTTCAGCAGGCTCTGGATCTCTGGCATCGAGTCCTCAAGGTTACCCAGGAGACCCTTCAGGCTCTTGACCATCTCGGGGGTGAGCAGCTCTCCAGCCTCGGTGATGAGGTCGCTAGTGTCAGCGACGAACGTCGGGGTCAGGAGGGTGGTGCCGTTGCCCAGGAGGTAGGTCAAGTTGTTGAGGGTAGTCTCGTTCAGGAAGTCCTTCTTGATAGTGGGGACGACGGGAACAAGACCGTTAAGCAGCTCGTGGAGACCACCCAGAACGTACGGCGAGAGCAAGTCGTCGGCGCCGTCGATCAGGTGGCGGGTCTCGTTCACGAAGGTGGCGTCGAGGAGGTCGTTGGCGTTCATCAGCAGGCTGCTGATGGCCGAGATGGTAGATGGCTTGAGCAGCTTCTTCAGCTCGGGCAGCAGAGGAGTAACCTCGCCGAGGATCTCCTTGAGACCGGAGACCAGGTCGGGGGTCAGAAGCTCGTCGGCGTTTCCAACCAGAGACTTGGTCTCGTTGACGAAGCTGGCAGTCAGCAGGTCGTTGCCGTTGTTCAGCAGAGTGGACAGCTCGTTGAAGGTCTCCTTGGTCAGGAAGCCCTTCAGGGTTGGAACCAGCGGCACAACAGCGTCGAGCAGGGTGGTAAGAGCATCGGTAGTCTTCTTGGTCAGGAGACCAGAAGCACCAGCAATGAGGCTCTTGGTTTCCTTGACGAAGTCGTCGGTGAGCAGGCTGTTTCCGTGAGACAGCAGCGACTGGAGCTCGTCCAGAGTCTGCTGGGTGAGCAGCTTCTTCAGCGTAGGTAGCAGAGGAGTGACCTGGTTCAAGAGGTCCTTGAGAGCCTTGCTGGTAGCCGGGGTAAGAAGATCCGAAGCAGCATCGATGAGAGAGTTGGTCTTCTTGATAAAAGCGGTGGTAAGCAGCTGGTTGGCGTTGCCCAGAAGGTTCGAAATCTCGTTCAGGGTCTGAGTGGTCAGGAGCTTCTTCAGCTGGGGCAGCAGAGGAGTGACCTGGTTCAGGAGCTCCTTGAGAGCATTGCTGGTGGCGGGAGTAAGAAGATCCGAAGCAGCATCGATAAGAGAGTTGGTCTTCTTGATGAAAGAATCGGTAAGCAGCTTGTTTCCGCTGGACAGGAGATTTTGGATCTCGTTCAGGGTCTCGGTAGTCAAGAGCTTCTTGATCTCGGGCAGCAGCGGGGTGACCTGGTTCAGGAGATCCTTGAGGGCCTTGCTGGTAGCCGGGGTGAGAAGATCCGAAGCGGCATCGATAAGCGAGTTGGTCTTGTTGATGAAAGACTTGGTGAGCAACTTGCCACTGTTGGTCAACAGAGTGTTGATCTTGCTGAAAGTGGCGGGGGTCAAGAAGCTCTTGAGCTGAGGCAGAATGTCGACAACACCACTGAGGAGAGTCTCCAGGGCATTGACAGTCTTGTCAGTGAGAAGCTTGGAGGCCTTGCTGAGAAGACCCTCAATGTTGTTGACATTCTCCTTGCTGAGCAGGCTGTCGGCATTGACAACCAGGTCGTTAACCTTGTCAATGTTGTTGAGCAGCTTCTGGAGGTTGTTGAGGTTGTTATCAGACAGCAGGTTGTCGGCCTTGCTAAGAATGCTGGACAGAGTCGCGGTGTTCTTGTCGTTCAGCAGCTTGCCGGCGTTTCCGATTAGCGTACCCAGTGCCTGGGTGTTGTCATTGGACAGAAGAACCCGAATGTTGGTGTCAACAGGGGGAGCCAATGAGGTGGAGAGATACTTGAAGGTATCCTCGATCTCACTCAACAGGTTAGGGTTGAGCAGACCCGTAATGCCCTTCAGAAGGCTCTCGAGATCATCACCGAGCGAGGTGAGACCAGAGAGAGCGCCACCGCTTCCAGTGAGACCACTGAGAAGAGACTCGAGGCCATTGGTGGAGCTGGAGGTGCTGCTGGATGTGTCAGACTTGGTAGAGGAACCAGTGGAAGCAGTCTCCTGGGCCGAAGCGGTGTTGGTGGCCTTCGCAGCAGCAGCCGTCGCGGTATCAGCCTTGGCTGTCGCTGTGTTGCCCAGAAGAGTGTCGACGATGTTGGCAGCCGTGTTTGCGTTGGCCGTATTGGCGTTGGCCGTATTGGCGTTAGCCGTGTTGGCATCGGCCGTGTTAGCTTTCGCCGTATCAGCCGAGGCGGCAGCATCATTCTCCTCTGAGTTGTCGGTGTTTTGTGTCGCAGCCTGAGTAGTAGCAGCGGCTTGCGGGGCGTTCACCACGGCAGTCTTAGCAGCATCATTGCTGTTGGCGCTATTCGCATTGTTCGTGTTAGCAGTATCGGCAGCAACAGCTACGGAGGTTTCCGCAGCGCCACTGGAAGCTGCAGGCGAGGCTCCAGTAACATTGGAGATGGCGAGCAGCGCCGTCGCAATGACGGGAATGAAACGCATATTGACGATTGGGCGGGCTTGTCGTAAACTTGTCGTGAATTCCGCTCAACAGGGCCTTCGTCTCGGGTCGGCAGGGGATTAAAAAGGAGCCGCGCGAGATGGAGGAAGAGCCTGGAGACAAGAAAAGGGGGGGGATATAGTTCGGGTCGAGCCAGGTCTTTATTTTTTTTTGGACATCCCCGATGATCGACCTCGAGGGGTCTCATTTTAGGAAACAATCTTCCACGGGTCATCGCACTAGACTTTGGCGGCCTCGGTGGATGAGATGGAGACGGAGAACTGGGGCAAGTGGAGCATCACCGAGGCAGAGAAAGTAGACCGGCTTCCATACTACCATGTGATGGGGTAAATGTCGCTCCGATCACATCGCTAGTGCTGCTTGATGCCGACTCCATGCCTGACATCACGGCTGGCCGGTGCCGTCTGTCGTGCTTGAGACCGTGCCCATCGCAGACCTGTGCTTTTTCTCGCCTCCTCTACTCCGTAGGAAGGGAGAGGGGCTTGAAGGCGCATGGAGACCCTTGATTATGGGACCCGAGGCTTGTCTGCAGGGTCAGGGCCGTCAACTATGGCGAACGCCCACTGCAAGAACCGTTCACATGCTCTTGGTTCGGTCAAGAATTGATTAAATTTGCAATCCAAGCCGGCTGCCCATGGGGTTCCGAGCGCGATGTGGGCATTCACCTAACCCTAAACGAGCTCAAATCGCCAACAAAGGCGGGGATTGACTCCACCAAAAGTTAAGCAGAACCTGGTCAAGCAAAATGAACAGAGTGAACAAAATGAGGGGGTTCGGTCAAAGCGCCCAAATAGGAAAGGTGACCTACCCCGGACCACCCACGAAATGTGGGGAATTATTGATAATTCTACACGATGATTGGTAAATGAATACGCCCATTATACGGGCTAATGTAACTTGCGATGATCATTTCCCCAGGAACACAGAATGACTGAATTCCAGAGGAACGAGCTGACTGAGAGCTTGTAAGCCCAGGAACAGTCCCTGATGCAATATGCAAATGGCTCGGGAAATTGAGCCTCGCTCTTCTCCTCTTCCACATGATTTTTTAATTTATTTTCGAAAATCCCCGGAGCCCATAATCGATCCCCATAATCGATTCCCCATAACGGGATCCCATAACGGATCCCAATTGATCGGCGACAGCTTAGACTCCGCCTCCGCGAGTGGCGCTGCAAACCCGAGCCGTTTGAAGACATTTTTCCTTCCTTTGCAATGATTGAGTCAGTCATTGTTTCCCGTTGGTCACGATGATTCTCATTGGCTCTGGATATTCCCCGGTCGTGCAGGACTCATAAGACATGTCCATCCTTATTTCCCTTCTCTCTGCCAATCGACTAAATGGCGTCATGGCGGAAATTCAAGCCACCCCGAGTCCCCATTTCACTGTCGCTCGCGATGTCTTACCTTACTTCCCACGAGGCTAAACTGTAAACTGTAAACGAGGAAAAATCAACCGCCGCTGACATATTTACATAGGCGAGGTGCGGAAGGATCTCGTCAAGTGACGCCAGCAGGATTTTCAGTGCACGAGCCATCGCTCCATTGTGCATCTCCTTTTTCCTTCTCCCATGCTCTAGCTCTAGTTGCTTCATTTTCATCCAGGCCAATCTTCTCGTCGATCGTTGAAACGACCTTAAATTGAAGAATTGCCCCATCATCGCCCTGCTCATCTCGCTATGGGCATAGCATATACTTTCAATGGGATCGAGTACTCGGTACGCTCGTGATTCTTGGCCTTTGCCTTGCAACATTCGTCATATCCCACATCGCAAAGTCCCTCATAGTCCATCCGTAACCGAAGGTAGCACTACGAAGGTAGCACTAAGATCTAAACGATCGCGTTTTTGCCCCCAAGATCCTTCTTGGCCTGTGTGCCCAGACCGCAGCTCTCCGCCAAATGAGATCGGATGCCCGACATGAGCTATCACTATCGCCCGACACTGACCAGTCCCAAATGAGCTGCATGACGGCCGATTTCTTCCAATCTTGCATCCACAAAGGCGGTCTCCACATGCCTAGGTGGGCCATTAGTAGGCTCAATAAAAACAAGAAAAGGGGAAGACGTCCAGACCCATTGCTTGTCTAATCTAACAAGATAAGACTCAGGCACGAAGCTCGGAGTACGGCGTCCATGTCGCGACACAATACTCGTACTACTCATAGCGGCTCTACAAAAGTCTCGGCCAAAGCCCCAAAAATCCTTCAACTCGAACCAGTTCGTCTCATATTGTCGCACCCTGTTTTTCAGCCACTGCCAATGCTTTTTTGTTCCGGAGCTTCTCCGTACTCCGTTGGCAGATTTCCAATGCCCAGCTGGGCAGGGTGGGGGCGTAAATGAGGCGCGATAATTTTCCACCTCAAATCTGCGTCTTTCCTTGCGGGAGACAATTATTTAGAAAAAAAAGTAGTACAGTACTACATAGTACGGAGTAGACAACAGCAAATAATGCATGGAAAACGCGCGATTCTCAGACCTTGTGAAACGCGAAGAAAAACAAAACATACTGTACTCATCACGCTGCAGGGGACAGCCCAGGTGGTCCCGATTGTGCTGCAGGAACAGGAATAGGAACCACATCGCGTCGGCCTTGCGCCAGGAACAGCGCCATTCTTCAATTATCGACAGATTCATAGACTGCTCCGTAAGGTATCCCCAACAGATTGTCCGTAGAATAGGCGTCGATCACTTGAAATTTCTTCCTTGCGCGTTGCTATAGGAAGTTCCCAGTTCTTGGTGGGTCGGAATGTGGGGCCGAAGTGAATCATGAGGGTCGAACGGAGGCTTGGTGAGCTTGGGTGTATGATAGTATAAGGAGTAGGAAGTATGCTTTTATTCATTTGGTATGGGATAGTGTGGCATGGAGTAGTGGTAAATTAACATGATGCTCATCAGGACGGAAAGGGTGAGCCTGGGACTCCGCGGCGGAGCTAAAATTTCCGGATTAGGAAGAATATGGAGGTACTTTTTGACAAGTATACATCACCATATATATATTGAAAGAGTTTGACATCAACTTCAAAAATTTAGAACTTAAACACTCACCTGGGCATAGGAGATCTTTGGATAACGATAATCACTATAATTGAACGAAAGTTGATCAATCTTTAGTTAATTTTTCCAGCTTGAAGAGGGCTTAGATTACCAAATAATAAATACACCCACAAGAAATGAATTTACCCCGATCAGTCGTCAGCGAGTGGACATGGAATTATTTTCATAAAGGGCAGACCAATTAAATAGTGCAATTATAGTAGAAGCTTACTGATGAATTCTGCGATCGGTGTTGCGTCGTCAGTATAACAGCCATTCAAGTGTATTTTCGCTGCTTTCCAGGGTTTCGCGGATCAGGTGATACCAAGGTCACACGCCAACTGGGAACTACAACTACAACTACAAACAAAACTATCTCAAATGAGGTGTAGAGATGGTATTGGAGAGAAAGAAATGGAAATTAAAAGCTAACCCTAATCTCAATTCCGCCACGACAGAGCTGAACAGCATTAGATGGCCACAGTACCTACCGAAAGAACAGCGAGAAAATCGTCAAGATGCTAACTGGAGTAAACGGCAAGCAAACACTGCAGTAGATGCAACAAGATAGAAAGAATCGCCGACGAAACGAATTATTGCACCGAATGCATTCCTCTTTCTCGGTGAATTGGGGTCCGACGATTCTCATTGATAAACCGCTTGATAATGAATCGTCGCACAACCTTTCTCTGCGGGTAATTAGATGGCTTGAACACAGAATTCTCCTCAGGAATTGGATCCAGACTCGATGCACGATGAGAGCCAGCAGGACTTCGAATCCCATCAATGACAGGCTTGTTTGTGTTTGTATCGCGCTCCGTAGCGTTCTTGTCGCCGCGAGCATCATTGATCTTGTCACCCGGACGAGATTGCCCAGGTTCGTTTCCATTTCCGTTTCCATTTCCATCCTCGAGTTCCATATGCCACAAACCTTGCTCAAAAGCAATCCGTCGAGAAATCTTATGGACGCGGGTAGTCGTAGTTTGAAGAGGCTTGTTCGCCAGCTTGCCAGGCCCAGCAAGGTTTGCAGGCGGGTTCTCTCCATTGGTAGCTTTCGCAACATCTTGCTTCTCCTCTCCGCTCGGCGGTTTCTTCGTATCCTTCTGCTCTCTAATAATTTTATTCGCAGATGATTGATACGGATGGAGTACGGGAAACTCAGCCGTCGACTTCCACAGCTGGAAATCCGTCTCAGAGAATATCATAACGAACGAGACCCGCGGATCCGGGACGTAGACAATGTGGCGGAGCATTGGGGGTGGAGATATGGGCAAACGGCCAGCCTGGATGTCCTCTCGAAGGACGACGACGATGTGATCTGCGGCCGGAAGATGGGTGGGAATGAAACTGCGGGATGGTGCTGGGTTGAATGATGAGGTTAGTTACCACCGTGACGGCGGCATACTTTGATGGTACAGTGCCATGGGGGTCATTCGCGATGGACGTACCGGTGGGTGTTGGCGAGTCGGTTGATTCCAAGTCCTTGGATCTATTTGTGACGAATGGCTGCGAGTAGCTAGTAACGCCCCCGGAGCTTCGGTCATCACCACGGTGGACATTGTGAGGTTTTCCAGAGCCGTGAGTGGAGGAGGGACCATCCGCGCTATCACGAGTAAATGGAGTAGGTTCGAGATCTGTCACGCCGGGGGTTAGTTAGCGCAAGAGTGAGATATGAAACGAGACGAGAGAAAAGGAGTGCCTGGCTACTTGCTTGGCATGACTAGTTCCAGAGGAGGAATGGTCTCATCGCGAGAGGCGGACAGGCGCGAAGACTCTTTCGGCCTGGGTGTTAGCAGATATTCGGAAATCAGCCGAGGCCACCTGCCTAGACCCAGTAGTTGCAGGGCAGCGATGGTTCTCTCGAATGCATCCATGATTGTGAAGCGAGAGGGAGTGAAGTGACGAGTTGAGTGGGAAGAAGGTGAAGTTTTTCTGGTCTGGAAGGTGCAACATATCACTACTAGTAGTAGAACTCGTTTTTTCCCTTTCATTCACCGATAATCTCAGTCTAAACTGCTCTCGTAGTATTTCTATTTCTACTTCTTCTCCTAGACAGCCATAAGAAAGAGGGAGAATGTGCTACCATTAAGAAGATGGGACCTCTATGCATACTCAGAAAAAAAAATCAAATAGAAACACAAAAGCAAGAGAAAGAAAGAATGTACTCTGTATAGCGTAGAGAAAAGGCACAGGAGCCAATCTCCAATATGAACAGATTAGTATTCCTATTCCCGCGCAATCATGAGAGAGGCATCTTCGGATTGGAAGAAGGCTTGGGTACTAGTATTCCGAGACTCAATCCCGTCCTCAATTCCCCCAGTTACCATGACACGGGGTGTAGGGAGAAGAAGAAGAAGAGGGAGAGAAGGAGAGGGCGGAGACGAAGAAGTATTGAGGGACGAGGTGGCTGCCTACTGGAATGACATTCACTACTGGAACAACACAGAAAACACAGAAAAAAGATATCATTTGATTCACCAAGTCCATGGAAACCCTGTATCCATCCAATCCAATCCGACAAACTCCATCATAAATCATCAAGTTCTAACCCGAAACATCGCCATATCATATCATAGCCCCTAAAGAACACTCAACTCCCTCCTCCCAGCACTCCTCATACTCCCCCAAGCCCCTGACTCCAATCCGAAGAAGACGAATCTCCCCTCGCTCTGGAACCACTCATACTCGTGGTACTAGTACTAGCACCAATACTAATCCCCGCCGTCGTAAGAGACTCATTATCATCTAGCATCGGCGTCCCAGCACCAACCCCAACCATAACAGGGCGAATCTTCGCCCCGACAAAACCCCTCCGATCTCGACCCGTCCGTCCTCGACCAAGCCAGTTATGCTTGAGAGTTTTCCCGAGGATTTCAATCTTCTCCTGCGCCGCGTCGTCAGTCTGGACGCTGGCCAACACACTCACGCACTGAAGCATCCGACCAACAGTCTCCGTAATGACATGGGAAGAATCAGCCGAGTTAGCGCGATGCATAACCGGAGGCCTCGTCGAAGGCGGGGAAATAGCCGAAAAAGCAGCCGCGTCCGGGTTCGAAGACGTATTCGACGCAGCGCGACTGCGAGAATCACTACTCGACGGACGGGGCAAATTCGCCGCGGCCAACGCACTCACCGAGTCGGAAGAGTAACTATCCGCGACAGTGCTGAGCAGAGTCGAAGATTGGGAATTGAAGCTTCCGAATCCTGCGTCCAGTGAAGCCGCTGTCCCAGGCCGGCCGCCGTGTCCTGTACCAGTTGTCTTGGCCGTTACGCTGAGCGTTGGGAATCCCGCATTGATGCTGTCGAGACTGAGGCGGGAGAATGTAGCCTTGAGAGCATCGTAGCGGTTCAGAATGATGCGATCGCGGAACGCGATGAGGACGAGATTGCGAACATCAAGACTCCCGCCTGCGGGCATGTCGCCCCAGAATTCGCGCGCCTCGCGACCGGTCATTATTGAGCCAACGCCCTTGAATTCATGGTCCAAGGGGAGGAAAGCAGCTTGAATGAATGGGAGGATGGTGCCGAAGAATAGGAGCCAGATTTGTACGAGGTGCGGGACGACCTTTTCATCGGGGATGCCGATGAGGGAGCTAGCATTGAGATTGGCAAAGCCGGTTTCGAGAAGGTCTTGGAGGTCGGCGATGATGGTTGTGGGTGTGCGTTTGTGCACGCAGCGCTGGAGATGCACGATGACCAGCTTGTTGAGGTCTTCAATGGCGATGCGGACATCCTCGCCGTCAAATATGACCATGAGTTTTGCTTTGAGGAACTCCCATGCGTCTTCGGGGACATATTGTTCAGGCCAAAGCCTTGCAGTGTCTCGCGCAGCATGGCTTCCCCGAGAGGTCCGGTGGTGCTGTTAAGGGAAGAAGGACCCGCGGCGGGACCTGTGGCACTATTGGAACTGGCCAGCCATTCCAATTGTTCGCTTTCGAGTATCGCCTCTTTCTCCTTCTTTTTTGCTCGGCCACCGTGCAACAGGTCTAAGCCGCTGACTGACTTGCCAAAGGTAGCCCCAGGCGCTGGCGAGGCCGGGTTGGTAAACGAGTAAAGCGATTGTGGAGCATTGGGGTCGGTCGGTCGAGAATTACTCGAGGCAGAAGAAAGAGGCAGGTTAAAGTGATCGTCACCACGGTCCTTCAATTTGAGCTTCTGCCGCGACAAGAAATGGTGCTTATGCTTGTCCTTGTCCTTTTCCTTATCCTTATCCTTCTCTGGCGGGGCGGGTGGGCGATCCGCAGGAACAACCGTGCTGACCGATGCATTGGAGAGATTGTACATGGATGAGTTATTGGAAGGGAGATCGGCCATACTCGTGTTGGAGGAGCTGACCATGCGCGACAAACTGGGTAGCTTGCTCGGCGAAGGAAGACCGCGATCCTTGAAGACATCTTTATCTCTGCTAATGCCGATATGTTTTGGTTTGGAAAAGAGCTTCTTTTTCTTTTGTTTCTCGGGTTGAGGTTTGGGGGGCTGGGAGCCTGCGCGAGGGAAGACGACGTTGGCGGCGGTTGTTGCGACGTTGCCTGCTGTCGGCGGTGGAAGCGACGGTGTTGGCTGGTTGATTCGTAGTGGAAGAGGGACCAATGGCGGAGAGGCACTAACGCTCCGGCGCGAGCCACTATCTTCCATGGGGGAGACTGGATGTTGCGGGCGTCTTGACTGTTGTTGTGAGACTTGTAACTGCTGCTGCTGTAACATTTGTTGATGCATGGCTGCCTGGGCGGCGATCCGAGACGCCGAGACCTGCGGCGGCATCTGCTCGGAGGAGGCAGTGGGGAGGGAAGGTTCAAAGAAGCCCTGGGAGTGATGTCTTGAGCGATGTCGCTGCAGTTCAATAGACGGGCCCCGACCCGACGGGCGACGTGAGGAGTCCGGCATTGGGCGTGCGGTGTGTTGGTGTTGAGGCGATGAAGTGGCTGAGTTCGATCGTGGGTTTGGGGAGAAGTAGCCGGCTCCCGGTGGACGATCTATGGGAGTGATGGGAGTGGCGGAAAGTCTGGTCACATTGGAAGAGGCATCACTGCCGGAGGAGCCGGGACGTCGCAATTCGTCGTCGGAGTCGTCATCATCATCGGAGGGAGGGCGGTGATGAGGGTGTTGCTGTTGCGGAGGACGATTCATAGTGGGCCATGCAGGGTGAGGGTAGAGTAGGAGTAGTACTCTGTCAACTTCAGCAGGTAGATGCAATGTAGAGTAAGAGTAGAAGTGTAATTGTACTCTGTGTAGGTGTAGATGTAGATGTGTAGAGTAGAATGAGTGATGTGGTTGGGTGTTGAGGAAAACAAGCTGCCTGCTTCGGGTTTAGTCAGGTCGATCTGCCTTCCCCGCCAACTTTTCCCTTCAATTCTTCACTTTACACTCTCTACACTCCATAACACCCACTACTCCACTCCTCAATGTCATCTCAAGCAAACCTCCACGCAGTCTACACTGCCCCAGACACCGACCCCAAAACTTTCTCCCACGAATTCCCCTCCACCGATGGTTCCCTCGCCAGCAAAACCGCCCACCTAACAGCTCTACAATCACTAGTCCCCAAAATTCAGGACGAAATCAATGTCTACCTGACAGCCCGCATGGAAGAAGACAAGAAGGCTCAAGGCACTGTCTCCGAGAAGGAAGCCAAGGAGGAGGACTACTACGGAGAAGAACTAGTGGAAGAGGATGCTTGAATTGGCCAATGCTATAACTACTGGGTATCAAAAAGAGGAGACGAAACCAAACCAAACCAACCAAATCGCAAAAATCAAGCCACCTACCCCCAACACTGGAAACTCGATTCGCACAGCCAAGGTGCACGACGGAGTTGCTGGGAGAGAAGGGTTGGTTAGCACTGAACTGCACCACACTGCACCACACCACACAACAGAGAAGGGGAAGGAAACATACTCAGGAAAAACATTAATCACACTCCCACCCAACCGCTTATGACAAACCCCACAAATGCGTTCCTCCGTGACCGTGACATGTCGAGCGCGTGTCCCACCGCTGATAACCCCATCGCCAAGAGCAAGCTGGGCCTGGATCTGAAGATCCCGCGCCTTCCGAAGCTGAGTCACAATGCGAGCTTCATTGAAGACCGAATTGGCCGCGCGCATGCGGCCCTTGAAGTAGAATTCTAGTTCGCGCACTTCCAGCTCGGCTGGGATCAGACCTAGTGCGGCGTCGGCCGGGAGTCTGGAACCGTGTTTGGCGAGGATGGCGAGGGCGGGCCCATTCTGGATTTTCTGGTTGTGGGGTGGTGTGAGATAGAGGGATAAGAGGGTGAGGTAGATGGTGTCTTCTTGGTCTTGTTCTTCTGAGAGGTGGACGTGGTTGCAGTATCTAGAAAAAAATAAGGTTAGTTGGCGAGAAATGGCCGAATAGTTAGGAGATTCATCAAATACTCACTCTTCTGCCTTTTCGTGATCTTCCAGCTTGAACACGTAGATCTCCAGTACCTGGCGATGCTGCCCCATCTTGCTGAATAGAATAGCTCGGGCCTCGTAGAAATTGGGGTCGTCGCGGTCAAGTCGGTCCAGGGTCTTTGCGGGAGAATACTGCTCGCTGTCTTTGAGCATGGCCAGGAACTTGGAACTATACTCCGTGGCTGTGTCTGTGTCCGCATCGCTGTCCTTGTGCGCAGTAATCTGATCCAGGTACAAGACCACCAGGCGCTGATGCAGGTCCGGTGTCAGGTCATTCCATTCCTGAATGACATGCTCGAGATACCGAATGGCAAGCTTCGCATCAATACCCTCGAGGAACGAGAGTACACGCGGGCGAGACAGCGTCTCAGCATTCTCAGTTTCAGCGAGGAAAATTTCCATCCCCAGTTCGGGCTGGGTGCGAACAGGCCAATCTGCAAACTCAAGGATCAGGTCTATTTGATCTGGGGGTAGATTCTGAAGATATCCAACAGTACGCATCGGACCGCTGAGCAGACCCGATTCTTCCTGCCCAAATCGATGAAGCAACTCCAGAGCTTGTCGATGCAGCTTCTTCCCGTAGAGAAAGTCAATGAGGTCGTTGTATCGACCCGTTTCTTCCAATCGCTCCATCACGACCTCTGGGTCGCAGAAATTGGCAATTCGGAAGAGAGATCCTGCAAGCGATGGTGTAGCGTACATATGAGCGCGGAAAAGCGTGGTGTCGACCAGTCGAGCCTTGTCACGGATGGTATCCAGAAACTCATCTTCCGAGGGAAAGTCGAGTAATTTCAGAACAGAAGCGCTGGCTTCATCCGTACTAGCTGTAGGGACAGGGAGCTTGAGGGTTCCATCGGGTCCGAGGAAACGCTGGAAACGTCGTCGAACATCTGCCAAATATCCTTGCAGCTCTCGAACAGCCATCTTAAGCTCCTTGTCCTTGTCCTTCTCTTTATCCTTGTCTTCACCCCGAACGCTGCTCGTATCGCTGCCTTCTTCGGTCCTGCGAAGTAGAGACAGCACCGAGGTTGCATACATGGACTGTCCAACTGGAGGCTCAGACGAACCATCCGAACCGCTGGGTTTTGTATCCGACTCATTGGCATTGACGTTGGCGGCAGCTTCTTCGGGATCCTGAACCGGAACTGCCGAGAGCTCACCAGCAATGAGCTTCGGATAGAGGCGAATAACAGTCTCGGGCGGAGCAGAAACTTCAGTAAACAGATCCAAAGAATGACGGAACTTGTGCAAAGCAAAGAGACTCTGAGCCTTCTCCAACTGCGCCGAGCGAAGTCGGCTAGCCTTATCCTTGACCAGAGCATCCTCAAGCATACCAAGGAGACTGATAGCCTCATCAAGATAACCCTTTTCAACCAGCGCATCAATCTGCGTATCATAACTCAAAGCCTCCATGCGCCAAATAGTGCGATCACTCGCAACAAGAAATCCCTTCCCCGCATGCGCAAGACTAATATTCGGCTGCGGAATATGCAAAATACCGCAGCCGGCAACGGAATAGACTGCAGCAACGAAAGAGTCTCGGGATTCCGCACCTCCAGCACCCCCTTGGAAGAATCATGCAAAGCTAGCAAAAACGGATAAGAATACCCGACTTCCACCGGCGCATGCGACCAAGTAATCTGCCTCCTCCCAAGCGAGTGGCCCTGCAAATCGATAAAATGCGTATTGATATCCTTCGCCAGGAGAATCTGGCCCTCCCTCAACCTCGTCGCCAACGGCCTCGGCACCATCCCACCCATCCCAATGTAACTCATACTCGCCGCACCAACGCCGGTAAACCTCCCAGCAGCAGAAGAAGACTCCTCCATACTCCCCGGACCCCCAGATAACTCCTCCACAACAGCGGAAACAACATCAACCATAACAAAACCGGACGAAAGACCGACAACAATCTTCGTCGCAGACACCCACTCCAACGTCTTAACAGCAGCAGGAAGACTCAACTCACTAACGGGGCCCTCATCTTCAAGCTCCATATCTCTCCAAACCCACATAAGAATCCTCCTTTTAACAGCAACGACCAATCTCGACACAATGGCCGGAACATTCGTATCAGGATCATTCACAACATTCGACGTAATGGCAAAAACAGAAGCACCCTTCGCCTGGGCCAACGTTTGCAAGAGCCCATAATCCTGCGAATCGTGCAGACTGACGACACCCCCGCTCAGACTGACCAGGACCTTCGCTTCTTTCACCAGGGCGAGTTGTTCGATCTTGTAGCGGGCGAATTTGTCCAGTTCGCGCAGGAGTTCGGTCTTGCTGCCACCACCACCACCATCGCCGCCATCGTCATTGTCATTGTTGTGGTCATTGTCATTCCTGTCGTGAGCTTCCTCGCTCAGGGTATCGGTGACGCGATAGATGCGGAGAGTGCCGTTGTTTAGGCCGGCGAGGATTCTGTCTCCGTAGGCGAGGACGGAGTCTATTCGGGAGCGATCGCGGGGTTTGAGGTCCACCAGGGCTCGCGCGGTGAAGGCGGATAACATCGCGCCGCGCGTAGAGCTGTTAGAGCTGTTGCAGCTTGACTGGTTGGGGAGTTGGAGATGGAGCTATTGCGGTGGTTGGAGTGACGTCTTGTTAGTCAGCGTGCCTGAGGCAGAAACAGTCTACTCCAGCAGAAATACCTACATTTGCATTTACATCTACATTTAGATCTATTACAAACACACAATTGCTGCAAATGTACATTCAAGCCTCGCAGCTCCAGCTCACAGCTCAAAATTACAATATTTTGGTATCGATGAATCACCAAGAATCAACAATCAATCCAATCCAATCCACAAACACCAACGCCAACGAATGCAACCAACCCATCAAGCACCCTTCTCATTCTCAGCCGGAAACTCCTGATGCTTCGCCGAAGTCCCTTTGCCCCTCCAAGTCGAAACAGCCGGAATATCCGCCTTGAAGCGCTTCTCCTCGGTGCCATAAGCACGAGGCGTCAACTTGATCAGCGTATGCAAGGGCACCTCCATCCATGGACTCTTCTCCTGAGGAACATTCAAGAAATAAGAATAGATGCACCGAAGCACAGCCTGGTGCGTAACGATAATGACGTTCTCACTGCGCTCCAGTTCCATGATAATAGGCTCAAGACGGATAACCACATCCCGATACGACTCGCCGCCACGGTAGCGGTAGTTGTATTTATCGTCGTCGCGGGCCTTGAAGTCTTCCGGGTACTTGTCGGCGATCTCCTCGTAGGTCAGACCGTCGCAGACACCTGAGTCGAGTTCGTCCAGGGCTTTCCATTCTAGCTTTTCGAACCCTGTTTCTGCTTTTAGGTGGCGGGCGGTTTGGATGGTGCGTTTTAGCGTCGAGGTCCAGATTACGATCTTTGTGTTGGGGGGTACGCCGGATTTGCGGAGGAGGGAGGGTAAGGCGCGGGCGTAGGCTTCGCCTCGCTCGGAGATGTTGGAGTCGCCGCCGATTTTGCCGGTGAGGTTGTATTCGGACTCGCCGTGCTGGGTTGCGTCGTTTGTTAGCTTTTGATGTGCTGACGGACTCGGAAAGGGCGCTGGTGGAGATTAGGTCAACTCACTCGTGATAGCCAGATAGATCGAGGCTTGATGTGAAGGTTTTGGATATAGTAGACAAGACGACTGGACAAGTAATCCTTGATCTGGTTGATGATCACCGTAGAGCCAACATTGATCAGCTTAACATAAGTATACTGCTTCTCATGGTCATCAATAGTCTCATAAACCTTCTCATAATTACGAATACGCTTGCGGAAGTCCAGCGCCGCCAGCTCAGGGTCCTGCCCCTTGTAATCAGGAGAATCGGTCTTGACTTCGAGGATATTGTTCATGATGAGATCTTCGTCGTCACAGATGGATTCTACGAAAAGGGTTTCGATATCGGCATCGCGACACCTTTCGTAGATCCACTTGCGGCGGTCCTTGGTTGAGTTGGTTGCGTCGAGGATAGCGACAACGCCCTTTTGCGTGTCGTCGTGGAACCAGTTGATCATGTCGGCGACGGCCATTTCGGCGGCGGCGCGACGCATGCGCTCGCCTTCTTCATTGTGTGGGTCGAAGAAGGTGGCCTGGGGCTGCGGGGTGTTACTGCGACGATAGGTACCGACGTTGAAGACCTTTGCGGGGATTCCGACCCAGGCGAGGTATCGCATGGCTAGGAGGAATATGTATCAGCGGTGGTTCATAGTGGTATATCACAGGCATATGGGCTGATTGGCGGTTCCGATGTGAACATACCTTTGCCGGCGATCAGACTCTTGTTGGCGGCAAGCCGACCATCACAACGCATATTCTGGATTCATCGGACTGGATAGATTGTAAGTTAAAAGCCGATGAGCCGCTGGGAGACGTTTTGTGATATGTAGTGGTGGAGAGCATGGTTGGTGCAGGTGGGAATATAACTGGGATCGGGTGATGTTGATGGGACTGGTGGACTGCAGCGGAGTTCAACTGAAGGATCACACCTGCAGTCAGACGGAACAAAAGATCTCAAACTAACGTCGGATCGACGGAAGCGATTGCAGCTAAGAATTTGGCTCATTGACCTAGCCATTCACGCTCGTCTCCCCGCGGGGAACGGACCGAGGTGAGAGGGGCGCAACCCGCGATACCCCTCATTGAGGGGCAGAATAGGAAAATAGACAGGGGGGAGATGATAGAAAGGAATCCCATAAAGGGGAAGAGAACTTACACTTGCGACAAACACCTTGTGCTGCTCCTGGCTCCGAATAACACTTCCTGTCGACATGGCGAAAATGGGTGAAAGTGGAAGAGTCGGGAAGAATAGGAAGACAACTTGAAGACAAGCCCAAGTACAGCCGGGGAGGGAGGGCAGCAAATCAGCAATCAGCAATTAGCCAAGCCGTCAATGGAAATTGAAAATAGGAAATAGAACAAAGACAAAGACAAAGAGAGAACGAATGGGGGGAGATTAAGAAGATGAGAAGTTGATGAAGTTGAGGGAGAATGCGGTGAAGCGGATCCACTAACGTCATCACTTGACTTCTTCTACTACTTGATACTTTTGATACTTCATACTCTGTCGATACTCTGTCGATACTCTTGATACTCTGCCGATCTATACATCTATTCAGTCTATACATCTTTATCATACACATTACTTCGCCACCTGCTCTCCTCGGGCCCGTTGCACTCGCAATGGCCCTCCCCACGGTCCATCCACCCCATTAAGGCTGTCCATTGCCCGTTGGGCTTCTTCCACACTCGCCAACTCCACAAAGAGATAGTTGTGCTCACCGGGCTCGAATCGCTTGGCCGGGTGTGGTGCAAACAGCTTACTCACTTCTTGCCTATACACATCCACTGTTAGTACACTTGTCTCTGACCCTGTCTCCCCCACTAATACTTACACTTCATATCCCTGGAAGAACCCTGTCACTTTGCTCTGCAACTCCTCCTGATCCGCCACTCGTGGCAGTCCACCCACATAAACCCTTCGGCTGGAATCACCTTGCGTCTTAGGAGTGCTGAGGCTGGAGCTGGAGCTGCCAGCGGTGGCGCTTTGGTCCGGACGGCGCCAACGGTCCATGCTGGGAGATGCTACCCCAGATGTTCCCATCATTCCCATACCACTTGAAGTCGAAGGCGAAGGTGACCCCGGGTTTGCCGAAGATCGTTGCACACCAGGCTTAATTCTCACCATGCGTCCCAGCAACTCCTTCCCATCCAACTCAGCCATCGCGCGGGCTGCCTCTTCTTTAGTTCCCACGTCGACGAAGCAGTACGACGGGTTCCGGCCAGTGAAAGGGTCAACGGCGATATCGACACGCTCACTGCAGATCAATCATCATCAGCGACATTCAAACCAATCCAAAAAGGAGGGTGGTGATCTTCGTCTTCCCCAATGCTCGCCAGCAAACACAAACATACATGGAAAACTCGGCCGCCGTGAACAACGCCTCCACATCCTCCGCCTTCGCCGTATATGGCATATTTCCGACGTATAAGCGGCGACCGTCAGTGATCGCCTGTGGGGTCTGTCCTCGTTGACCGAATGAAGGGCGAGAAGTGCTGGCGCGAGGGGAGGGGGACGCGGGGGCACCACCTTCGCCCTTCATACGCCAGTTGGGCGACTCAAAGGCACGACCATTCGTGCGGACATTCTGGAAAGGCGAGCTAGGCGCTGTGAACCGTGAAATATTGTAAGCATTGATCCTGTCATGTGTGCAGCACGATTGTTTTGACGGAGGTACGCACATTGCTCGCTCGGGTTGGTGATCTCGGTCTCGGCCATCTGCTATGGTTAGTTCGTGGACAAGATATACACACCACGACCTCGACTCACTGGAAATATTCTTGGAGAATAATCTTCGGTTCACTTTTTTTTCTTTCCCGAAAATACCAAATGAGAATCGACTCACCCCGCCACGCCAACGCGAGTCTCCCTCGCCCATCTTTTTTTTTGTGCAAACAATGCAAACTGGATCCACCACCGCATATTTAATTCTCTTGCTCCGCCGCAAATTTTCTCTTTTCTTCATCCCTTCAACACAATTCCCTCTGGAATTTGCCAATGGCAATATTTTGAGCGGAAGTTCCGGGTCTTGGATTTATTCCAACCAGGCCTGCGTCAATCGCCGTCTTAGCCAAAGTCGCATCCCAACACTGGCACAATGCAAACTTGATGCAGTTTCGCAATGTCGCCTCAAAACATCCATTGCAGCTGGGCCTTGACAAGACAAGCGTCTCTAATTGTCCCAGCTGCTCCTACTAACTCGGTATGTCGCAATCCTTCGTCATCTTTCCACTTTTCTTCTTCTCTGCCCACCACGCCGCCCCCGCCCGCTCTTATGATGAGAAAACCATTTCACACAGACCTGTTCTGAACTTCTTTGTTGATAAAACTTGTCCAACTGCTATCTGACTGAGCTCCTTTACTCCTTTTCTGTCATCCCATGCCAAGTGATAGCATCGCGCTAACATTTACAAGATTCACAGGTCCTTTGTCAGCATCGCTGCATACTAGATACGCATAATGATAATGATAATGATAATGAATATTTCCTTCAAACCATTCTTCCCATCTGTAATATCCGAAACATACCTTGCCAAGTCACTGGAGCTATCGGTGGTAGTGGACCAGGACCGGAAGTTGCCTTAAGACCTACAAACGATACTGCCTGGCAATACGAGAAATCTCCATCTGCTGGATTCATCTTACGAGGAGACGAATGCTTTTCTGCGATCTACGTTGGTCCGTCTCTTGATTAGTCCATTCATTGCCAGGGTCGCTCTGAATCCGGGCTGCGGGTTCTCTTGATGAGATCTCCGAGAGTAGAACTGGCTATCCTGATCCTATTCGTCATGACCGAGTCCAGCTATGCCATCAAGCATCCCGGTGAAATCTTCCGGTTTTCGAAGGAGCCCATTGATGACCTGGGGGTTTGCAGTGTCTTGTATTTTGTCACCGTAGGCTTTCGGAAGTGCTGGAGAGCCGGAATAGAATGAATGCCTTTTCGACTCTTGGATAGTGCAATGGAAACTGGGCCAATTATGATGCACGTTACCATCGCTTGTAATACTAATAGATCTCATTTCAATCGGAGCATTCCATTTGATCAAGAAGGAGTAAAGATGCGAGAGGAGGTGAAAGGGGAGATTAGACGCCGTGCTTCACTGGCAGTGTGTGGCATTTTGCTCATTCATCTAATGTCCGTGGAGATATACCAATCCCCTCTTTCTGGGGACGTGGCGTTTGGAAAGTTCACCATTCCATAAAAGAGGGCTATGGTCAGGGTTTAATCCTTGGCGATGCAGAATTCGCGTGTGCCATTGTCGGAAACACTTGAGATCTAAAAGGGGAAATTTACGCTGCATACAGGGCAAGTCGGTATTAGGAGTTGAGAATAAGGACGCAGGATGGATTCGGTACATGTACTAGAAAACTATCCTCTCGAACCAATCGATAAAAGAGTCATAAACCAGAGCTCCCAACGAGAGAAAGAGAATAAAGTAAGAACATATAAATTTCGAACAGCTCATCCCATCAGTTCCTTGAAAGTTGGTAGTGCTTGTCAACTCGTTCTGACTCAGTGGCCACATAAACAGGTCCTTCCACAGACAAATACAATTGTCGCCGGAACAGACAAGCTCGTCCACCTCGATAATATTCACCGATCGCTAGCCGCTATCAATATTCTCGAGAACTCGCTCACAACCCCGAGGCCTGCAACCTGGAACTCTCGACCACAGCCTACTTTTCAACTCAAAGTGCGGGGATACTCCAATCCTTTAGAATCACTTCTTGCTGTGTTTTGCTGTGTCGGCATTTCGATCCTCTTCTTCAAAGTCATCAGTACAGGACACTGCAATGGGAACCAACGTGCTTACCTTACAAAATTCTTTCGAGAATGACCTGATACCTTTCCTTGAGTTTCTCCAGGGTCCAGTCTCTGAAAGCCTTGTCAGTCATCGTACCCCTTTCCTTCCTATAAATCTCTCTCATATGGAATTGATGAACTTGTCAATGACTTAATCATAGCGCGCGTCATACGGCTGGTCTAAGGGTAAAGCTTAACCACTTGGTCACCAGCTCTGTGACGTCACGATCTATTATCTCTTTGAGTTCTTCAATTGTTCGTGGCTGACTGGCCGTGGTGTCTGTTGTTGGGTCTGGGGGGCTTGACAGAGAGGTCACATATTGCGGTTCATGACCGGTCGAGGGAGACGTTCCTGGATTTTTCCCTGTGTTGGGTGCCGGGTCTTCTTCCTGATCAGCCGATGGCTCGGGTGCCTCATTTGGAGGTGTATTCTCTTCCCTTTTGTTCGCCCTACCACGTGGAGGATCCGAGGGGTCCTTCAAATAACACTTGGTCATTGCGGAGATACGGGATCGAGGATGGATGTGATTGTGATTGTTGTGATGTCCATCTCGAAATTAGACTCCCCACAAGATTGGATGTTGGGCTCAGGTGGAAAGTTCAAAGGGGAAGAGAAGATGGGCGGGCTATTGAGTGGATGTGTGCAGCAATGATTTTAGTCAAAACCCCCGAGTATGCTTCTTTATCACTGTTGTAGCCCGTGGGACTGTTGCGTGTGCAGCGTGCTATCGGCGCCTCGGAATGAGGCAGGCCGGAAGTTTCAAAGAACTGGATGAATTGAGGCGAGCTTTGAGGCAGGGTGATTTTTGGCACCTGGACGGAGATCCGAAGTTGGTAAACACTGCTCGCACCACTCTGGCAGAGCTGGTGTCGGGGAGAGCTTGGGACGAGATCCGAGATTTGGGTGCGAGGAAATAGATGAGAAGAGATGCGTTGGAGGAAAAAAGAAAAGAGAAGAAAATAATGTGGATGAAGAGAGGAGGAGAAGAAGTTGAGGGAAGGCACGACCATTTACTGCACCGTCACTAGTGTTACCTAAGGTTTAGTATACAGACTTAACGTGAGAACGTGTTTCACCACCGAACCGCCACCACCACCGAGCCGCCACCCCACCTACATTATAACGATATATATTGAATATTACACAACCACCATATAAAAATATATTGCAAAAACTAAGCACTATTCACAACCGGGCACCTATTCCGCTTGTGCTTGGCTCTTGCAATTAGTACAGCGCTGTACAGGCCTCCTGAATCGTCGTCTCTGTAGCTGCCGGAATACGCCGTGGCACCCGGGGGTATTGCCATTTGGTGCTCATGCTCAATTTGTAGACGCATTGACTTTTCGGCAGTCATTCCACCTTCGTATACCAATTGCTTATTAGGTAAGGCCTTTTTTTGCTGCTTTTGTCCATTCTCTGCCATTACACGCTCATATGTAGTCGTCAGCATTACAAGCTGATTAATAAGTATGCACCTTTGGTAGTCTGCTCCGAATTGCTGTATATATATCGCTATTGGGTGAAACATCTCGATATTCTAGTAATCGCTTGATTGATGCTGCCTGGCGTTGGAATTGATAGCTTTTGATGGTGTATGAGGTATAAATTTAATGACACTTAGCACTACCACGTGATGGTGGTAGTGCAGGTGATGGGATGAACCTCAAGTTTTGAAAGTACTACCTCAGGCGCATATGAATGATACCTGATGCCATAAAACTGCTAGCAATTGTAGAGGTTGTGTATGTCGCCTGCACGTGTTGTAGGGTACAGATGAAGGAAATCGAGCTTTTTAATATCTGTAGAGCCTATGCGGGCAAGATCTTGCACAGCCTGACCATAGAAGTGCTTCAATATACCGAAAACAAATCACATCGCAAGAGGTTGTAACATATGCCGATGAAAGCGTATGGCATGCAGATTGGGACAATATTGTTTTCCATGCACAAAGCATCAAATTGAAGGGTAAGAATGACTCCCATGGCCATCCATGACTAGGAGAGACCAGGGACCACTGTTGATGCTTCTTAACGTATGGGATGAAAGAATTTTCGAGCCATGAAATACCAATTTGATCAGCAGTCCATTCACTTGTCATTATTACTTTGAATGAACTGTTGGTACAAACTGTATGATAAATAATAGAAGCCTATTACTATTGTTTGTGAGAGAACTATCGAAAACTGTATTGAATTGAGGAATCATTTCCGTTGTCAATGACGACTTTTCTTTTTCCCTGCTATTTCTGATGAAGTGATCGTTTGAAATTAGTGATCTCGATTGCGAGCTTGAGTTTCATTGAAAGTTATATGTCGTTGTCAGGATG